CTGCGCCACACTGAAGCACATGGAGCACATGTGACTTTGTTCGAAATATGCCTGTGTTCACTAAGCAGTGAATGGATACCCGGTAGGAGGACATGATGACTTTTAACCTTCTAGCGCCTCTCAGGCAGATTGGATTGTATACTCCCCAGGGAGCTGATAATGAAAATCGAGTACACACTGATCAATTGACCGGGGTGATAAAGGTTCGCCTTGAGCATGATATATAGCATGAAAAAACTCAATACAAATACAAATAAATTAGTGAGTGAGTGAGTTGGGTTTAACGCCGCTTTTAACAGTATTCCAGTTATATCGCGGCGTGTCAGCTTAATGTGGGAGGAAAGCCCGAAGTGATGCAGGTCTCAGACGTTTACCACTTCGGTGAAACCCACGGGCACGGGTATGGTGCTAACAAACCTAGAAACATAATCGGGGCGAACCGGGATTCGAACCCATAGTAGTAGAAGTAGTAGTAGTAGAAGTAGTAGTAGTAGTAGAATTTCAGCTAGTAGTAGCAGCAGTAGTAGTAGTAGAAGTAGTAGTAGTACTAGTAGTAGTAGAAGAAGTAGTAGTAGTTGTTGTAGTAGTAGTAGAATTTCAGCTAGTAGTAGCAGCAGCAGCAGCAGTAGTAGTAGTAGTAGTAGTAGTAGTAATAATAGTAGTAGTAGTAGTGGTAGTAGTAGTAATAGTAGTAGAAGTAGTAGTCCTAGAAGTAGAAGTAGTAGTTGTTGTAGTTTTTGTAGTAGTAGTAGTAGTAGTAGTAGTAGTGGTAGTAGTAGTAGTACTAAGGTAGTTCAGCTATCGGGACGTGGTGGGAAAGCAAAAGTGATTCTAGCCCAAGACGTTTACCATTTTGGTGTAATTCACAAGCTCTGATATTGTGATCATAATCGAACAAACGATTATTCCTGGCAAGGTTAGGGACACAACTCTCTACGTCGATTTGCAGAGATAGGTCATTCCAACTTCAGATGGGTTATCCGAATAAAGCGAGTGAGTATTGTTTTACACCGCTTTCGGCAATGTTCCATCAACATCACAAAGGGGGACACCAGAAATGAACTTCACACAGTGTACCCATCTGGGGAATAGGACTCCAAAAAAAGAAGTGACTAAACAAATGTTAATATTGGTTACCTTAAATGTTTAGGATGGAAAGACGTACCCTCTTCTCCCTTGTACATCTCGTAGTTCTCCAGCAGTGATCTTTAATGTTGGTTGTAGAGTAAGGGTTTGAATAACTCGGTGCCCACAGTACACAGTTACTTCAATAAATAATAACAAATGTAAATTTACGCTTATATATTCACCAAAAGCGACGTTAGTCAAAATTAATATATTCGTGGAGTGACGATTTATTCTGTCGACACATAACTTTTCAACCAGTTTTGGCTATAAATTCGGTGACGTCGAGCACAATGGATGACTTTATTTACATGGCGTTGATATGACGTCATGTTGACGTGCAGCTTCCAAACAACGAACACAGGGGAACAATATGTGTGATCTAGCCAATCAGCATGAAGTAAAAACAATAATGTTCAAAGGGAATTACTTAAAATACATTGCACCCCTATAAAGTGTATTATACGAGCATGTGCGTCATAATGATTTTACGAGTGAGTGAGTATGGTTTTACGCCGCTTTTAGCAATTTTCCAGCCATATCACGGCGGGTAACACCAGAAATGGGCTTCACACATCATAGCAATGTCGGGAATCGAACCCGGCCTTCGGCGTGACGAGCGAACGCTTTAACCACTAGGCTACCCGACCAAAAGGAGTCAGAATTCTTGTATTTCCTGAGCGAGAGCGAGGATAATTCTTACACGAGTTTCGTAAAATCAGTATGACACACATGCGAGTGTAATACTGTCTATATTATCCTTGATTTCTTAATCCATTTAAGCTCCCCTTGGAGTGCAACGATCACGTTCGCCGTCTAAGATAACCACAATTGTCGAGTGACGTCAACAGCTATGACGTCTTTGCTAGTGTGACGTCATTTCGACATTACGTCACAATAAGATTCGAATGTCGTCCTGATGACGTAATCAATACAGTGGTGCGCTAATATTTGCACTAGTGCACATACGATTTTTTCTTTACTCGGTTATTTCTAACCATATGGTAATAAAAATAGAACACTAAACGAGATCCCGTGTAATATCAATTTTATGAAACGAGTGAATAGTTCTGGTATCTGACGAGCGAAAGCGAATGAATAGATCTGGTATCTGACGAGCGAAAGCGAATGAATAGATCTGGTATCTGACGAGCGAAAGCGGGTGGATAGTTCTGGTATCTGACGTGCGAAAGCGAATGAATAGATCTGGTATCTGGCGAGCGAAAGCGTGTGAATAGTTCTGGTATCTGACGAGCGAAAGCGAGTGAATAGATCTGGTATCTGACGAGCGAAAGCGTGTGATTAGCTCTGGTATCTGACAAGCGAAAGCGGGTAAATAGTTCTGATATCTGACGAGCGAAAGCGAGTGAATAGTTCTGGTATCTGACGAGCGAAAGCGAGTAAATTGTTTTGGTATCTGAAGAGCGAAAGCGAGTGAATAGTTCTGGTATCTGACGAGCGAAAGCGAGTAAGTTACCAGAACTCTTCACGAGTTTCATGTGACTGGTATTACACGGGATCGAGTTAAATTTTATTTATTACTTGCGTTTATAAAAAAAAAAGTTCACTGTCGTTTGCAGACATCTACGCGATCCACAGCTTACTCTAAGCGGGTTTAACAGAATAATACTTCAAACACGTCTATAGTTGATACTTTGGAAGTCGGGGGTCCGTTCCACAAAGATATCGTAGCGCTAAAGTTATCGCAAGTCCTATATTTTAACATAGATTTACGACTGTCGTTGCCCTGCACCACAAAGTTTACGATCACGTCGCAATGTCCTATGATGTAACTTGTGGAATTCGTTTGCAAGATTCGCCGGTAAAACAATGCCATGTGACGTCAGCCTAGCAACAGGGTTGCTGGGGTGATCGAGTGTGCATACTCTCCTTTCAGTGATCTATCATCTCTACACGCAATGTCATTGAAAAAGTCCAGGGATGCTGAGGTTTTTCAATATTTGTTAGTGAAACTTGTTCCCGCAGTACATAAGCAATGTGTAATACAGCTGTATGTTTATAAAACAGGTGACCTCTCTTCACGGGCGAGTAATAAATCATAATATTACCTCTGTGGGTAAATAAGTATCTCATCAGTATGAGATAAACCCGTAGCGCTAAGATCGCGTTGTAAATTGAGATCATGGGCGCTGTTCCACAAAATTATCTTATTGCTTCAACTATCGTTAGTCAAAGTGACAGCCTTCGTGGTCTGGGTGCCGTTGTGCAAAGCGTTCTTAGCGCTTAGGTGATCGTAACTCACATACATTAACACAGACTTACGACAGCTGTAATGCAAAGGTTGTTTTGTACAGCGGGCACCCTGGTACATAGGACACATTTACGATAAGCAGTCTTCATATACCAACACCATACAACGTATTCATTTAAAAACACCAACCACAAAGTCACCTAGTAACTGTTCTCAGCCTAAAGGTGTATACAGGTGACCATCTCATCTGAGGATCCACAACTTTCTGTGCAGTGTTGTGTCACTCAGAAACCCATCGTGGGATCCAAACCCGGAGTCGCCCTGATTATGTGTGTTTTGGGGTTTGTCTACACCCTACCCGTCCGTGCTCGTGCAGTACTGCGGTTTCCCACCCACATCAACCTCACATATGCCATGATAACTTAAATACTGTTGAAAACAGCGTCAAACTAAACTCACTCAGTCACCCAACCTAGGGGCGGTCGGGTAGCCTAGTAGTTAAAGCGTTCGCACGCCATGCCGAAGACCCGGGTTCGATTCCCGACATGGGTACAATGTGTGAAGCCCATTTCTGGTGTCCCCTGCCGTGATATTGCTGGAATATTGCTAAAAGCGGCGTAAAACCTCACTCAGTCACCCAACCTAAAGTATTTACTATCAGTTATAATAGTTCTAAGTAACTATTTGACGAGTGTGTACTCAAGAATCCCTCTTAAAACAACCACTGTCTTCCTGCCTGTCATATCGCACGTTTTTGCACATTATAGATTTGTATGTTTCCATAAACCAAGTATTATTTTTTTTCATATTTCTACTTGCCCTAACTATCTCAAGTGCATCATAAGGGTTGTGGTATCTGCACCGTGACGTCATAGCAGTGTCCAAAAAGACATTCATGCAAACAATTCTTTGTTTTACTTTAAAAATATAAACAAAACGTTCAGTGAGTGAGTTTGGTTTAACGTGGCTTTGAACAGTATTCCAGTTATATCACGGCGTCTCAGCTTAATGAGGGAGGATAGCACAGAGTGATGCAGGTCTCAGACGCCACAGAACCACTTTGGTGAAACCCACAAGCAGGAGTATGGTGCTGACAAACCTAAAAACATAATTGGGGCGAACCGGGATTCGAACCCACGATCATAGGTTTCTGGCATACCCAAGGGATCCAAAACGTATGGGATCAAAAACTTACAAAGATAAAATCAACTGATCCTAAACCATCTAATACTCTATATTACCCACCACTAAAACACTTACTTATGTTCCTCCTTCTTTTCATTCATTTTTCTGTTAAGATTTAAGTCTTATCTCACGTAGAAACCATTAAGTGTTTTCTAATAATGGGCTCTCTGGGTGCGAAATCTGTTCTCCTTGAAGCGCTTCTTAAATCTCAAAAGTAAGTGAGAGTGTGTGTGTGGTTTAGGAAGCAACACAAATCACCGGGGTAAATTTGTTTCTGATACAAGACTGATGGGTTAATTGACTTAATTCTCATATATAAGCAGGATGTTTGTGAAAATATGTGTTAGTGAACGCCGCAACCTGCAACTCTACCAACAAATTTTTCATTACGGCGACTCTCGTGTTCATTTCGTAAAAATAATATTTAGTGGTATGTCAAAAACGTCATGTTAATATTTGCCTCCCTTTCCCTTCTTATTCCAGTTCCGGTTGTAAACAAGTGCACGTTTTTCAGATGAAACCATGTCAATAATGTTCCCGTGAATGCCATGGGAGGTTTCTGCTGCGTAGATTGATTTTCCTGTTCAAGGTCTGTTCTGTGATCGTTCTATTTCACGGATAGGTTTCTTCAAATCAGTATGTAAGTCCAGAGTCCATATCAGTAGCTATATGGTCACTGGTAAGTCGGGACATTTCAAAAACATAAAATTATCAAGTCGTACGATGGTGCTCACAGTTTTGACAACTGGTCTCTGTTGCTAGTCTCCAGAGCTCAGTACCGAGAACCTCTTCAAATTACTACGTAGAACCGGGATAGGAAAACATCTTTTAATAGACTGTGTTATTTGTTGTTAAAAGGGAGATAATGCAATGTGGGTTGTAGTCAATCTCAAGTCTTTATTCTTGTCTAAGGATTGACGTTGTAATTAATTAATGGTCGCGCGCAAATTAGACAGGTCTCTTTGAAGGATAGATCTACTCTAGTCTCAGTAATTGCAAGATTGGTATGCATTCTATTGAGAAAAACAAAGTGGGTTTTGAATGACAGATTTTGATCAAAGTCTGGATTCTGCCATGTTTGCTGATCTCGCATCTCCAATTTTTGTACGACATTTCATTTGTAGATCTCCCGTTTATGATTGTTTATATTACATCTGGTTCAAACTGCAATCAATCACTAACCTGGAACTGGATTTACCATGATTACATAGTGACTCATTATCGTTTGGATCTACTAACATTGCCTACACTTTCAAGCTAAAGTTGAAATGTTCATTTTCATTTCAGTGTTGCACATCATCCTTTGTATAGACTGTGAACCAGATAAAATAACTAAACAAGAACCATGGAGCCCTCAGGTACATTTCACAAAATGTGTTTACCAGTAAATCATTTGTACATATATTCAGGACCATCTCTGTGTTCTAGTGCATAGGGCATTTACCCGTCTACCATTTCACCTCACCTAATCATAATTAAGGTTGAAACTGTGATGTGTGCATATAAGTGGTATTGAAAGCTTTTAATCATCAGTCTTTTACACCCTGTGATGATGCCAGTTCCATTGCTTGTCATGGATTAGAGAGGATGGAGTTGTTACCATGGTAACAGTTTGTGACGTGGATGATGTTGAGTCATCATGCCTGATGTGCTAACTTATTGTATAATTGCTTATGCTATCACCCACTGGCTTGTCTATCAATGCCTATCTGAGTTAGCTTACAGTCTGACTTGATGAAGCTGAAATGTTGGTGTAAAACAACATAAAAACATTCATTCACTGATCCTATTCTCCTGTCTACATCATCTACATGCAGATACACAGAAGAAGGCACGGACATTTGACTTCATGGCCATGTTTGAACAAGCCCGCCAGACTGCTATAGAGAGAACACAGGTTAATGAGGGTAAGACCAGTTATAGACAAGGTTTGAGGAACCTGCCTCATGTTTCTAAATATACAAAATCACTCATTTAAAAATTGTTCTTTGGAGAAAGATATATCACCTATTTAACTTTAGTGATTAGTAACTAATTTGAATCACTTTCCAATTACTAGGGACTTGTGGGGAAGAAAGTAGGTCCCCAGCAACGTATGTTTGTCATACAAGACAAGTAAAAGGATGGAGTGGTCAGGCTCAGTGACTTGTTTGATCACAGGTCATCTCATCGTGGATCCATGTTCATGATGCCAATTTCTGGATTGTCTGTTCCAGGCTTGATTATTTACATACTTCCGTCATCTAGCTGGAATATTGCTGAATGCAGCATTAAACAACGAACAAACAATTGCAATTTGTTAGGGAATGAGATTTTGTCATATTTTAATACTCTACTGGTTTTTTTTAGAAAAAATAATCTCGGGCATTTCTCAGGCAGTTTTCAAAATAAAAATTGAGTAGCAAAAACTATAGACATGGAGCGTTTTCTAAACAATATGGTGTGGCAGGGTGATTTGAGAAAAGTTAAACACTCACGCTGCATGGATTGTTTCCTTGAATGAGATGTCAAAGAGTTACTTCCCTTCCCTGTATTGATTTAGCTGGTAGTCTTTGGGGGTTTATCATATGATGAAATTAATGACTGGATCATCTTACTCCTGAAAAATGCAATTGTCTCTATTTCTGAGCAGGTCCACATGCCGATACCCATCAGCATTCGCATCAGTCTCTCAAAGGATGAGACATGATAAGACAGCTGTTTAATCATATCGATACCATTTTCACTGATATTCCTTCCAGTTGTGACTGAAGAAACTGTAAAAGAAACTACAGAAAAACAAAAAACATCCAAGGATGATTCCAGTGACTCCAGTGACTCTGACAGTGACTCTGATAGCTCCTCCTCCTCCTCCTCTGACAGTGAGGGGAGTACAGACAAACTCAGACAGAAGTTGAAGGGAGGTAACTCTGATGATGATGTTATTGGGCCACCACTTCCACCTGGATTCGCTCAAGGTGGAGGCGAGGATTCAGAGATGGCTGGACCTTCAGTGTCAATGTCAAAGAGAGGAGAATCAGAGGATGAGGATGATGATGATGATGAGGAAGATGAAGAAGAAGAGGTATCTAATCTTACATGGATAGATTATGTTAATCAATTTGATTTCAACTGATAATTCTGATGGGAATTAGTGAAAAGTGCTGTGGATCTTAATATATATCACAAACATTTCAGATAAGACAAATGTAGATGAAAGGTAGCTGCGGTAACTATATCTTTGTGCTGCTCTCTATAAACTATTTTGATACTGACTTACAGGCTGTTCCATAGTGTTTTCCAAGTAGATCCCTATCCAAATTTGCATTACATTTTTATATGCTTCAGCAAAGGGTATGCATCCTGATCTGCTGTCAAATTCACTTCCTAGGACTCTTGCCTTCAAATATGAATGCTTGTATTTGAGATCGTGCAAATAATGTCAGTACATTCATACATGTATTTATCAAGTTGGGTACAGACCAGTAAATATTTTTATCCGCAATGGCCAAAAACCAATACCACATCATGATATGGTTACTGCAGCTAGGTAAAAGAAACCTAAGACCTAGAGTAAGTCTAGGTAAGGAGTCCACTTCGTAATGACAAATGAATTATTTTACTAGTTTGTCACCTGAAACCTGTAATGAGGTATTAACATGATAACACCTGTAGCATGGGGAGTGTTGTCTTTAACCATGTAATCAATAATGTGATGTTTTATTCCATTTGCAGTCACTTGACAAGAAAATTCCATCAAGTCATGAAGTTGTCCTCGATCATGGGGGCAAAACTGTAAGTTACCATGGTTACAGCTACTAAACATTACTGATTATTAGTTTAAGATAATGCTTTGTTTGTCCTTTTTGTAAACTGAAGCAAAATTGACCTTTTTTGAAGGTTTTGCTAGCCACAGCCTGGCATTTATTTCCAACTTCTCTCTTTAAAATTACCCAGCCTAGCTGTGAGCTAAAATCAAGAATAAACAGAGGAGAGTTTTGCATTCAACAGTGAAAACCTAGAATGCCAGCCTGTCATTTAAAAAATGGGTTTCTTTGGGGCAGTATGAAGATTGGTAGGTTAGCAGGTATATATTTATTTTTTTGTCATCCATGCCAATAACCGAAGAAGGACTGAGAGACAGACATGCATATTTGGGGTTGAATTTTAATAAAATATTAAATATTAAAAAATGGTTAAAAACAGGTGTTTTTGTTTGGACAGGTTGCAGTATACAAATGGTTTCATGTCTATTACAGGTGTCGGCGCTGGCATTAGACCCATCAGGGGCCCGTCTAGTTACCGGAGGGTTTGACTTTGATGTCCGATTCTGGGATTTTGCTGGAATGGATGGCTCATTACAGAGTTTCCGAAATTTACGCCCATGTGAATGGTAATGATGTCTGACTCTAATAACCAATGCTGAATTTTTGTTGTTGACAACCAGTGCTTGTATTTTTGTGTCACTAACCAGTAACAAATCAGGGCTATACTATTGTAATTCTTATAGAAGTTGTGTTTCTTTATGATTCAATTAACAATAAAATGCATACCAGTTAAAAGAAAGGCTTAAAAAAATAAAAGAATTGGTTCTCAGGCAATGACTTTTGAAAATATAGTGCGGCCGGCGAGCAGTGTTTTATGTTGTTGGCTTCTTCCAACTAGTATGTAACCAAATAAATAGTTGTGTACCATCAACCTGGGAAAGGGCCTCTCTACATAAACAAGCATATAAACTCCTTTTGCCATGACCATGACACCAGATGCGCAGTAAAGCAGTGAATATGTAAAGGGAAGTAACTGCGTGCTATATTTGATCACATTTTTTAAATATTAGGATTTTTTTTTATAAATGGAAATAAAAACGAAACATGGGGTAGACATTATGATGATAAGGGCAGTGCCTGAGAACCAAGACTATTATTTTTTTTAGCCTAATAATGCTGCCATATTGAAAATGTCGTGATGTACAGTGTGCATGTACAGTCACTCATAGGGTGGATGGTTGTCTGTACACAAACAACTGTGACATATTTCAGCCATCAGATCAAGTCCCTCTCGTACAGCACAACAGGAGATAAGATTCTTGTAGTTGCTGGCAATGCTCAGGCCAAGGTGATCGACCGTGACGGCTTCGAGGTGCTGGAGTGTGTGAAGGGAGACCAGTACATCGTAGACATGGCCAGCACAAAGGTACAGTGAGACAGACAGGGAGCCTGGGGCTGGGTTGTCTTCCAATCTCATTAGGGCAGTCGGGTAGCCTAGTGGTCAAAGCGTTCGCTCGTCACGCCGAAGACCCGGGTTCAATTCCCGACATGGGTACAGTATGTGAAGCCCATTTCTGGTGTCCCCCGCCGTGATATTGCTGGAATATTGCTAAAAGTGGCGTAAAACCATATTCACTCACTCACTCCAATCTCATTAAAATCAGATCTTAGTCCTTTCTCCTGGTAAGCAAAGATCTGAGGACATTCCACTACATGTCACGTCAGAACGACTTTTCACAGACTTTGATTGACCACTGAAATGAATAACAAGAAGTTGAAATTAGCCAGTCAGAAAGCAGCTTTCTCAAGTTGTAAGGCACTATTTCCAAACTGGCGATTTCCATTCCGGACAATGCTCTGATTGGTCGGATTAATGGTCTTTTTGATGTGACCCGTAATGGGATCTCTTCAGATCTTTGTGAGAACTAAAATCTGATTTTAATGAGATTGGGTAGTCATCTCAGGAACAGCAATTTACTGTGCAGAGTATTGCTTAAGCATTGCTAAAGCATTTAAGTATTACTCTTTAATTGCATTAAACAAATAAAGAAGTGAAATCATCAGTCATCTCAAACTGCGCTAATTGGAAAGAAATTGATGTCATTTATGTAAGTGTTTAGAAACCTCTTTTTTCATGTAAAGATGTAATTTTTCGGGAATGTATGTTTTGATTATTCCTGTTACCATGGTTACTGCAGGGACACACAGCCATGCTGAATAGTGGATGCTGGAATCCCAAGATCAAGGAGGAGTTTCTCACATGTTCAAATGATGGGTAAGGATGGTGAAACTACTTGTGGACATAAACACATGATAAAATAAGCACCTGTAGTTTCATTTGGATGCTTATGTTTTTATCTCAAGGAGACATTTAATACATTCATACTCATTGTATGTATGAAGGGCCATAGACGATCCAGTTATCTTACATCGCACAACTGTGCAGAGCTATCTCCTCTCTAGAATCTGCTGGTAATGGGTTTGATATGATTATGATTATTATTGTTAAAATGACTTTGTTGAGTTTGAACAGTATTCCAGGTATGTCACGGTGTGTCAGCTTAATGTGGGAGGAAATCCCAAAGTGATGCAGGTCTCAGACGTTTACCACTTTGGTGAAACTCCAAAGCAAGGGTATGGTGCTGACAAACCTAGAAACCTTAGCGGGGCGAAACAGGATTCAATCCACAATCATAGGTTTATGGCGTGCCCTACTAACACAACTCTGCCTGCTGAATTTCGGCATTCGGGACGACTGAGCCATTTGTGTCCCTTTTATTATTATGACTTCATTTGGCACCATACTCTTGTGGGTTTCACCAAAGTGGTTAATATCTGAGACCAGTGCTGCTTAGGGCCTCCTCTCTCATTGCTGACATTGTAGATAGAACTTAAACACCATTCAAATCAGTGACTTACTCCACTCCATTGTGACTTGTACAGTACGTTGAGGCTGTGGGATTGTAACCAGTCCAAGAGACACAAGGGTATCATCAAACCAAAGTGTAATTCCGGTCGTCGGACAATCCCTACCACCTGCACCTACAGTAACGACGGTATCTACATTGCAGCCGCATGTCAAGATGGCTCTATTCAGCTGTGGGACCACAGGAAACACACATTTGTACGTACATAACATACTGATTGAAGAGTCATTAGTATCATACATGCGGCTCAATATTTTACAGGTGCCATATCCACAGTTTCCTTAATCCACAGTTTCCATAATCCCCCCATCCGTTTCCTTAATCCTCCAGTTTCCATAATTCCACAGCTTCCTTATTCCCCCAGTTTCCTTAATCCCCCAGTTTCCATATTCCCCAAGTTTTCTCAATCCCCCAATTTCCATATTCCCCAAGTTTTCTCAATCCCCCAATTTCCATATTCCCCAAGTTTTCTCAATCCCCCAATTTCCATATTCCCCCATTTTCCATTATCCCACAGGTTGTTAGCTGCAATTACCGTATCCCCTCATTCGTTGATTAATATCACAATTACCGTATCCCCTCATTCGTTGATTAATATCACAATTACCGTATCCCCTCATTCGTTGATTAATATCACAATTACCGTATCCCCTCATTCGTTGATTAATATCACAATTACCGTATCCCCTCATTCGTTGATTAATATCACAGTTTTCCTACATATCACAACTGAAGCTACGGTTGATCAAATTCGAAAAGTCCAGGTTCCATACACTTCAATCTTATTAAGATCAGATCTTTTACTCTTTGTAGGATTTTGGATCTGTAACTTCATCTTTGTAGAAATTAAAATGATTGATTGCTAACTTTCTACATGTCTAATTCCACATTGCATTACACAGGTGAATGTCGCTCTCTACAACAGATCAGCCCACATGAATGGAAGCGATACTTCATGTCTGTGTTTTTCCTACGATGGGACTGTGTTGGCTTCAAGGGGAGGTAAGTGAGTCTGCAGGGTGTTTCTCTCACTGTGGCCTGTGTTGGCAAGTTCCTCACAGCTATAGCCTGCGGAGCTCTCAATACTATCGCTGCCACCAGTCACAGCTCCCCAGCTATGCATGGAGTTTAACTCGCAACCGACTGACTGTTATGTTTTCATACAAGCGATGACTGTTGTGACACCGAATACTCTTCCTTTAGTTAAATTATTTTCTTTATCAGTTTGAATTTCTATTTCATGTCAATTAACATGTAAATGGTAAGGTGAGATTGTAAGGGGGAAATTGGGTGCTTTTCCATTATCACATAAATTTTTGTCACTACATATTGGGTTAGAGGGCAAATTTCAAGATTTTTGTAATGGCCTTGCCACGCTGATAGTAGCGATGTTACCTAGTGTGTCACGAAGGTGTCACACACTGGAAAAGGAGCTTGCTGTGTTGGCTTCAAGGGGAAGTAAGTCAATCTGCAGGGTGTTTCTCTTACGATGGCCTGTGTTGGCTTCAAGGGGAGGCAAGTCAGTCTGCAGGGTGTTTCCTTTTACGATGGCCTGTGTTGGCTTCAAGGGGAGTAAGTCAGTCTGAAGGGTGTTTCCTTTTACGATGGCCTGTGTTGGCTTCAAGGGGAGGTAACTCAGTCTGCAGGGTGTTTCTCTTATGATTGCCCGTGATGGCTTCAAGGGGAGGTAAGTCAGCCTGCAGGGTGTTTCTCTTATGATGGCCCGTGATGGCTTCAAGGGGAGGTAAGTCAGTCTGCAGGGTGTTTCTCTTATGATTGCCCGTGATGGCTTCAAGGGGAGGTAAGTCAGTCTGCAGAGTGTTTCTCTTATGATGGCCTGTGTTGGCTTCAAGGGGAAGTTAAGTCAATCTGCAGGGTGTTTCCTTTTATGATGACCCATGTTGGCTTTAAAGGGGCACTGATCTAACGCAATTCCCCGGACTGGTTGTTGCCTTTGTTATTGTTTTTTCCCCCGTGAGTACCCTGATGATACGCAACGCAACTGAGCGTGACCAGAGACTGGGCTACCGTCTGCAAGGACAGCTAAATAAACTTTGAGGCTGGAGGCAATATTTGTTTTACGCATTTTTGCATAAACACTGATTAGTTAACTGTGATCTATACAGATTTCGACAAAGGGCGCATGTTAATTAATTTCTTCAGCCTAAACAAGCAGACAAAAAGAACAGCGGAGCTCATCGGATGTCGTCATTTGGAAATACTCCAGATGGTTATAGTTTTATACTAAAAAAGTATCCATGCAGTGAAAGCATTTTCGGATTTCGGCTTGCGTCGATAATACGATTACTACTCCCTTGTTGACATCCACGTTTTCTCGTATATCCCTTCACTTGTGTATTTGTCGTTATTCACTGGATGCTCAGTTAATGAATTTATTACAGGTACAATTAGTGGTAGCACCACTTAGATTACCTGACAAAGGTTCCCATTTGGCATTTATTGTGTCTGGGGTAATTATTCAATCTAAATCCAGGTTTGAAGTGAGGTGAAATGTGTGTTATGTAATATGCACGTGGCAGCCCAGCAAGAGATGAATGATCAGTTGATTTTTTTTTTTTTGAATCAACGGAACGTTCCTAGTCATCAAAGGATTAACAGAAAATACGTTGATTGATTAATCACTATTATCTTGCACAGTGGATATGTAAAGAGTGAGTGTTTACATGTCTAGGTTTACTAAAACAAAGGGAATACACTCATACCATGGCGTGAAGTGCCGATGTAAAAACAACATACTGTGTTCAAAGGGTTAACTTATAATGCGTTGATTGATTGATCATTGTTATCTATCTATTGATTAAGACGATCAAAAGGGCCTACGAACATCACAACAGATTATTATGTAGGATTAGAAGCCAAACAACATAGAAATGTACTTTTCTCAACGTAACATTTTCAGTCTCTTGGTGATGACATTAAACATCAAAATGTTTGGAATTCGTTATCATAATAATACAGATGGAAATGTTTTTCAGTCACTTTGTAAAATAACTGAATATTTAGACGTTTAATAAATTTGTTACACATTTGACAGTAAAAAAATATACACACTATAAAAAAAGCAATGCTCAGGTGAAATATGTACTTTGTGTTGCAAGTCAAAATAGTGTAAACGAAAATCGCAAAATTACCAAGCAAGTGACTTATCAAAACTTCGTCACCATTACCGATGCTACCCACAAAGATACCTACATTTCCTTATTATCTCGAAAACTGTATTTCATTTTGTTCATCAATGTGACCATACGCCCTTATTACTACCCATAAAAGCGACAAATGCGCTTACGAATGGCGCAGCAGAGGTCGCGAACTAGTCTAGATTTCTGCTATACATCCGGGTACTCACTGGGAAAAAACAATAACAAAGGCAAAACCAGTCCCGGGGAATTGCGTTAGATCAGTGCCCCTTTAAGGGGAGGTAAGTCAGTCTGCAGGGTGTTTCTCTTATGAATGCCCGTGATGGCTTCAAGGGGAGGTAAGTCAGCCTGCAGGGTGTTTCTCGTACGATGGCCCGTGATGGCTTCAAGGGGAGGTAAGTCAGTCTGCAGAGTTGAACATGTGACAAATAGGTCAGTCTATAAGACCTGCATCAGCTTTCCTCCCAAACTGAGTCAACATGCCATGAAATAACTAAAATTGTGTTCAAACCATGCAAAGCAAACTCCCTCACTCACTCCTGCTTGATGACAGGTGACGACACGCTGAAGCTGTGGGACATCAGAAAATTCAGGGATCCACTTGCAGTCGTCAAGGATCTCGAGAGCGTCTTCCCAATGTAAGTACTTGTTATACTAGGCTTAATGAAATAAAAGAATGGTTCTCAGGCAATGGTTTTTGAAAATATAGTGTGGGTGGGCGATGTCTTTTTTTTTTCTTGGGGTCGGGGGTTGGTTGGGGGGGTCAAACTCAGTATGTAACCAAATAAACAGTTGTGTAACCAAATTAAAAGTTGTGTACAATCAACCTGGGAAAGGGCCTTGTATTTCTTGATGAGTAAAATACTGGAATACAGTATTTGACTACTGTTGGACTTGGAATATTTAAGGATTTTTTTTTTTTAAATTAGAAAATGGAAATAAAAACGAAACGTGCGGCAGACTATGATGATGCGGGCAGGGCCTGAGAACAAAGATTATTATTTATTTTTAGCCATATAATCCTTACATGATGCATGAAACTAAATATAATGCATGACATTTCCATTTGTTTGTTTGTTTGTTGATTGTGAAAAGTAGCAATTCTGTACATTCTGTAAGAATAAATACCTGTAACTGTAAACAATGGTTCATTCATTCATTAATGCTACGATCTTCTACAGGACCGACTGTCTGTTCAGTCCTGATGACCAGATGGTGGTGACTGGGATATCAGTGAGGAAAGGTCAAGGTTCTGGGAAACTCATCTTCTTTGAGCGGAACACACTGAACCGTGTGACTGAGATGGAGATAGGCGATTCAGTAGGTGTTCATGATTTCCTACACGAACATATAGCCTTAGAAATCTTTTATTACACAATACATTTCTCTCATCTAATGTTTCATTTTTCTGATGATGTTTTTCACATGGACTGGAATTTCCACACTGCTAACCTGACAAATAACTATTTTTATTATCCGGATTGGTTTTGAAATTATATTCAGATATCGCACAGTCATGGCGCAGGACTAATGATTTCCATTTACAGGGCATCTAATAAACTACACCCTTGCTCACCAATGCAGGTATCTTATACATGCATATCCAATTTTCCTTGTATTTCATTGAACATGATGAACAACTTTAGCTAGGTCATTCTAAGACATGGACAAATTGACCTGATGTTTTGTTTTGTTGTGATAAATATACCCCTGTTATATATATGTCTTTTGTTGATAAACGATATAAATGTATTTGAAAAGTCTGTTCTTATTTATTTGAAACATATTTTCAGCTTAAGAAATCAATTAATGAAATTACTACTCTGTGTAGATGTATGTTCACATGATCCAAATATTCTGTCTTCAAAATGTACAATAGGCCATTTGGGCCAAATTGTCAGTCCTATACTGTCTTATACTAACTCCGAGTCAACCACTCCTTGTTTTATCCCCTCAATGCCAAGCTCCTTAACGTCTTTTGGTATGACATGGTCAGGGTATCAAACCACTGATTTTTCACTCTCCGTTCTCTATCCACTACACTGGACGCAATAACGTTCCTGATGAAGATATGTGGGCCTTAGCATGCTTAGGAAAATGTTCCAAACAAAAATGCCTTTAATCTGTTTGATTACAATTAATTAATTTCTCAGATGCAATTGTATCTCAATTGCATTTAAAGTGTCTCAAGTAAATCTTGTCCTGTAAGAAAAAGAAACCATATCAGATTTATTATGTTTCTAGGAGCTTCAAAGAAATCTTGATTTTTAAAAAAATACGATTTTTTGAAAATTTGCCTGTCAAAGGCACTTAGTTTTGAATCCTTAGTCAATCCCTGCTTTTCATAATGCAGAGTGTGGTACGAGCTCTGTGGCACCCGAAGCTGAATCAGATGGTGGTTGGATCAGGAGATGGCTTGGTTCGTGTCTACTACGACCCCAAGAAGAGTCACAGGTCAGTTCCAGCCCTGAAATGTTCCTTGTCACTATCGGACATTTGCTTGTAACAGACCTGCAGTCTACCGTGTCCAGTAATCGATTTGCTCCTTTTGAATATGAGTAAGCTTTGACTGCTGTCAGTTTGTCTGTTGTTTACAGTATTCTAAGTGCTAGACAAATTTCAGGCTTTTTAGCTCACCTAACTAAAAGTTAATGATAATTTTGTTACCTTTGGCCTAGCAGTGTACAAGCCTATTCAGTTTGTAAAATCATGTATGCCCCGCTAGTGACACAGGTAACTCGTTGTGATGTCTCTGTTATAGTGCTGATTCCAGGTGTTTTTCAATCCTTAAGCATGAAAAAGTCGATGCTCATGATATTGATCACTGGATTGTCTGGTCCAGACTTGATTATTTACAGACCACTGTCATATAGCTGGAATATTGCTGACAACAAACCAACCAACCAACAAACAATGGATCAGTGTGCACTTGAATTTCATTCTCAGCTCCTTGGGAGTATACAACCAAAGCTGCCTGGGAGGCACTAGGTTAACAGTCACATTACTGTCTCATCCTGCCTGGTACCCATTCAACATACAATAAGCCTTGGCATTAAATAATTTTGGCTGTTGCATTTATGTATTGCTACATTGTTAGAAGGTTAATACTAAATAACAGTCACATTAACATCTCATCCTTCCGGGTACCCATTCATCATACAGTTGGCCTTGGCATTTAATACTTTTGGTTGTTGTTTTCGTGTAATGGTACTCGGTTACTTTGTCACTACATGTGGTTTTTGTGCAACAGGGGTGCCATGTTGTGTGTTGTCAAGCAGAAGCGGAAAGCCAGACAGGTGCAGGTGATGGCATCACAGACCATCATCACACGTAAGTCTGGTTGAAGAAGGTGACTAGAGTACTCACGGAAATGAAAAAAACCTGTTTTTTCGATCTCAGATTTTAAATAAATGCAGTTAATATACAAAATATATAAATATTCAAACAACTCAAATACAGCGTATCAAAGGTTTTTATGTCTTTTTACACGTAAAAGTGTGTAAAATATGAACAAAACAGACTACCGTATTCGACGTAATAAGCGCCCTGCTCTAATAAGCGCCCACGGCGATATTTGTTAATATATTGGCTAGTGAACAATCTCAATTAGCACCCCTTCCAATTGATTAATGTACACAAGACTGATTTATTTGTGTATAATACGCACTCGTATGTTATATGTACCCTTAATTATGGGCAATTAAATTCTGGAAAAATATATTTGTCGTATATAAACATTTCAGGCTGTCGGCATAAACCACAAAATTTACGATCTTTCAACTCAAAATAATATTCTAATAAGAGCCCCCATTTCTAATTTTGAGAGCGCCCTGGGCGCTTATTACGTCGAATACGGTATTGTGAAACTGAGCATAACCAAGTGTTAGTAGATCAAGGTGAATGTCCATGACCTATGACACCTTGACAACAGGTGAAAACAGGTGCTTGAAACCCACTTGCTTGTGATTTGTCAGTGGTTAGTGATTTGTGAGTGGCATTGTGGGATAGTGAATCATCATCAAAATATCAGAACGTAAAAGTAACATATTCCCTTCTCAAACAACAACCTACATGTCATTATTATTATGTACATAAACATAGCTGTTATTTTTATTGTTGTTTTGATAACATTTTTTCCAGGCTAATTTGCATAATGCCTATAGCCTGTTTCTGCCATGTCAATTTGGACTTAGTTTTATTTTTGAATGTTGAAAGTGCCTACAAATTACCTCCTGTAAAGTACAATTTGTATTGAGCACTGAGATAAAACTAGCAAATCCAGACTAGTACTTTTTCAGTTGTTTTGTTATTTCGTATTTACATCTACGTAATGCTTTGTGTCGATTTTTAAATCCAGCAAAACAGGTTTTTTTCATTTCCCTGAGTACTTTAGTAGCTGGTATTGTAGCCAGTGAAACCTGGATGGTATTGGTTAACACTGAAACAGGTTATGATGGAATTAAGATGTCTTAGGTTAAGACGGGACAGGGAAAATATGCAAGACAGGCAGATGGTATTTGATGGGTAAACAATGTTCTATGACCATTTTAGAAATAGTTTTTTTTAAACACATTAAGAAAGATAAACAAGTTCTGACATAGTTTTAAATTGTGTGCAATAAGGTTTTTGAAATCCCGTTAGTCGCTTCTTATGACAAGCATAGTCGCCTTTTACGGCAAGCATGGGTTGCTGAAGACCTATTCTACCCCGGATCTTCATGGGTCTTCAGACATTTAGTTTGATATACATGTATTGCTGTTGGAATTTACATTGTTTTGTCGCCTAAGGTGACGCAATTTGCTGTGCACAGTTGCCTCCCTATGGCCTGCCAGAAACCTATGATTGTGGGTTTGAATTCAAGTTCACAATAATTATGTTTTTAGGTTTGTCAGCACCATACCTGTGCTGAAGTGGTAAATGTCTGACACTTGCATGACTTCAAGCTCTCCTCCCACATTAAACTTACATGCTGTGATATAACTGGAATACTGTTGAAAGCGGCGTCAAACACAACTAACTCTCTATTGTGATTTTTTCCATGTTCCAGCGTATGCACTGCCCATGTTCCGTCAAGGTAAACCCACCAGCACACGCAAACAGGAGGAGAAAGTCAGGAAGGACCCCATGAAGAGCAAGAGGCCAGATTTGCCTGTCAGTGGACCAGGTGAGTTAACCAGTTGTTTTAGGTAAGGAGAGCGTATTTGTGGACCAGGTGAGTTAACCAGTGGTTTTTAGGTAAGGAGAGCACATTTATGGACCAGGTGAGTTAACCAGTGGTTTTAGGTAAGGAGAGAGTATTTGTGGACCAGGTGAGTTAACAAGTATGGAGTGGACCAGCAATTTAGCTAATGTAAGCATTTTAGTGGATATGGCGAACGATTGAGATAAAGAGAGTATATTAGTGGACCAAATGTGAAAGCAAGCGTAGAAGAGGACCATGCGAGTTAACTAGCGAGATAAAGAGAACATATTAGCAGATCAGGTGATTTAATAACTGAGTTAAAGAGAGCATGGAAGATGACCAGGTGAGTGCATGTTTGTGGACCCACTGATCGGACGAATGTGGAAGTGAACCAGTTGAGTTACAGGAAATGTTAACTTAAAGTTAAAGTGAGTTAAAGAAAGCATGTTAGTGGACGAGACATGTGTGGACTAGGTTGGTTGAGGAGAGCAGGATAGTTGTCAGTTTGGGTTGGGGGCATGTCATAAGAAAATCAGGTAGATTGAGGTGCTGTTGGATAGATTATTGAACAAGGTGACATTTGGGTGGGTTTCAGTGATCCAGTGTCGGTTGGGGTCCTGGATGAGGCAAATGCATTATGTTGTCGTAGGTGAAGGAGTCAGTGCGTGGTATCATACATTTTCCAGTGACTCCCACCTATCATATATTACAGGTACCGGTGGTCGAGTTGGAGCAAAAGGAGCTACTCTATCTCAGTATGTGGTTCAAACTCTCATCAAGCGCAAGCCGGACAAGTATGAGAATGATCCTCGTGGCGCCATCTTGAGGCATGCAAAGGAGGCGGAGGAGCATCCCTACTGGGTGGATCCGGCATATAAGAAGTGAGTAGCTGTGCAACTGAGCTTGGTTGTAAAGACTGAGCAGATGAATAGCACTGATGAACTTTGTGGGTTTTTTTTCTATGAACTTTCGAAAGTAAATACATTCTTGGCCTTGTTATACCAAGGTTCCGTCCGTCAGTCTGTCCATCCAAAAACTTTGTCCGCGCGATTTCTCTTAAACTATTCAGTGGATTCATCTCAAACTTAGTACATATAATCTGTCATATGGAGGGGTGCAGTCAAAAGATTAAAATTGTTTTTATTAATTTTCCATTTTCTTAATGAATTTTTCAAACCCTAACCCTATCCATTATTTAATTTGAAACTACTGACACACTAGGCGGGTCGGGGGTATTAGTTAGCCATGCCCACTTTTGCCCTTGTTTCACAGTAATTTTACTGGTACGATCATAGCAAATCAGTGTATGGGAGTTACGGTCGACTTAGTGCCAAGACTGTTTTGTGGATTATAGCCCTGGTATTTCTAGATGTTGTTATTGGCAGACAATTGAAATTGCTGTACTGAATCAGGAAAATATATCTGCATTCAACTCACTGGCAATTTATTATTTTTTTTATCTAAAATGGTACAAATAGAAGAAACTATATAATCAAGTGCATAATATAATTTCATATCTACATGAAACTTTAGTTGACTACAAGCCCATTCTATGCAATTTGCTGTCAGTAATATTTGTATGAGATATTGATGTGTGTAAAATAGTGTTTCTTGTTTGCAGGACCCAGCCTAACAAGGTGTTCCAGGAACCTGAGACGGAGAAGAAAGATGACGATACCCCACATTGGAAGAAGCAGAAGATAAGCTAGAGAGCAGCCCCAACCTCAGCTGGAGGCCCTGTGTATCTCACACTGTTGTCAGGACGACTAGTGTGAGCATCCATCTGCACATTTTCCCGAGGCAAGAGAGTTAACTGTCTTTAAAAGTCCAATTTCCACCCTTGCCGAACTAGGCTGGAATTAATGGGCTTGATCGTTGCGCAACCAGTGGCTATTACCAGTTATGTCCCTTCTAAGCCTCTCCTATAGACCAATCAGATTCCACCTCTTGTATCACTTGCATTTGCTTCAAACAAAACAGTGGCTCCCAGTCAAGACGATCTGATCGATAATCAATGTCTTTATTGTGCTAAAACAAGTCTTGCATCGCGAAATGCATCAAATCATGTGAGCACCTTGATTAAAAACATGAAAAGATTTGGAAAATATCTGTTGACAACAATTTGGCAGTGCACATGCTTTGCAAATCCTGCAAATGACCGAAATCTTAACAACAGTTAACAAACCGGATTTCGATTTCGTTACGCGATTTTGATTGGACTATGCATAGACTTGTTAGCCCAGCCAAAATGAAACTCCATAATACCAGCCTAGATCAGCAAGGGTGGGAACTTGACTTTTATAGTCAGTTAACTCACTTGCCTCGGGAAGATGCCATCTGAATTGTGGATGAGACATTGTTGTCCTCATTCTGCACGGAGTGGAAATGAGCAGCTAGAAAGCACCAAACCACTTCCTGGTCAAGACATCTCTCAGACTGAAGTGACCTGCATCATCTACATCTGGAGGAGTGTATTTTAACCTGTGAATAAACAGCGAGTTCCTCATGAGCCAAATGATGAATCAGTCAATGAAGAATTTAGAAGAAAACGGTGGCAATTTAGATGAGAAAACACACGACAGTCTACAGATGGAGGGTGAATCAAACCCTGACAAAATTACCTTCCCTTGCAAAGTTTAAGCAGGAGTCATTCCCTTGGTCTGTTTAGCTGTCCTTCGTCAGGCAGTTAATATCCGACCTCGGGCTTCTCCAAATAATGCCTCCAATAATATGTTACCCTTAAAGGAACTACATGCCTCCATTGCTGTTGTTTTGTGTTCACTTGTCATGTCTTACTAAAGTTTGTTAGGGTACATCATGTTTCTGGTTTCAGGATGATATTGGCTGCATGACAATGTACATCGTGTAGTTGATATGTGTGATTGCAGCTACACCTAGGACATTATAAAGAATTGAGAGATAGTAGAAATAGGCAACATTCCTTTTGAAACTATTGATTAGTATTTTAAGATCAGATCCAGATATTCATCCATTGTATATAAATTCACAAGACACTTGTAAATATTGAATATGTAATAAATATTCATGATTCACTTAGTGTATTTAGTGGTGTGATGTTTTCCTTTTCAAAACAGTCCCTTCCACTTCATTGAAGATTTACCAGTGGTGCATAGTATGAGAAATGATTCACACCCCTGCAACCTATGCTTGTCGTAACCCGTGGGGATTCCGGGTTAGAATGGGTCCCCAGCAACCTATGCTTGTCGTAACCCGTGGGGAGTCCGGGTTAGAATGGGTCCCCAGCAACCTATGCTTGTCGTAACCCGTGGTGATTGCGGGTTAGAATGGGTCCCCAGCAACCTATGCTTGATGTAACCTGTGGTGATTGCGGGTTAGAATGGGTCCCCAGCAACCTATGCTTGATGTAACCTGTGGTGATTGCGGGTTAGAATGGGTCCCCAGCAACCTATGCTTGATGTAACCTGTGGTGATTCCGGGTTAGAATGGGTCCCCAGCAACCTATGCTTGATGTAACCTGTGGTAATTGCGGGTTAGAATGGGTCCCCAGCAACCTATGCTTGGTGCAACCTGTGGTGATTCCGGGTTAGAATGGGTCCCCAGCAACCTATGCTTGGTGCAACCTGTGGTGATTCCGGGTTAGAATGGGTCCCCAGCAACCTATGCTTGGTGCAACCTGTGGTGATTCCGGGTTAGAGTGCAGACAGAAGATGTGTCATGAAGCCATAACGATCATGATCATTGGTACCTGACATGGCCAAAGTGTAAACACTAAACTGTGGGTTATGGTGCTGTAATGCCCTAGATTCAAGGGGATGAGAAATACATACAAATAAAATAAGATCACCAAATCTTTCAACATTCCTGATATATTGTTTTCTTTGATAACCTGTAAACTGAACATCAACATTATCAAATGACCCTGAAGCATTTTGCAAATACAAATAATTATTCACTTACCTGAATAACAAAGAAACAGGTCATGATTTTCAGTGTTTATTTGGTTCTGTCACATAACTTACATTCAAGAAGGAAGGCACTCTTTCACGTATTGACTCAAGGCTTTCCTGAGAGAAGACCTGTAACAATACCATGTAATTTCTCAGTAAATTGTTCAAAGGAGAATTTTGCGAGCACTCTTTCTTTCCCAGCATTGCCCATTTTCCTACTGAGGCCAGAATCCTTCACAAACTTGTCCATTGCTTCACTAAAACTATCTGGAATAGGTTGACAAAGAAAGCCAGTTTTCTGGTCCTCGACCGTCTCTAGGGGCCCTCCACTCTTCACTGCAATCACCGGACACTTCATGTACATGGCTTCAATAGGTACAATACCAAAGTGTTCCTTGTCAGGTGTGTACAGGAGACATGAACAGTGAGTCAGCAGTGTTCTCTTCTGGGCGTCACTGAAAGAACGCAGGAATGTGATGTTGTCGGTCAGTTTCAGTTTCTCCGACAGCTGCCGAAGCTCCAGATAGTGTTCTACATTTTCAGTTACCCTTTCATCATACCCTCCTGCCATTATCAAGTGAATGTCTTTCACATCAGGGTGACGCTCAGTCAGCTGACCTGCACAAAACAAAGGACTTGATGATTAAATGCTGTACACTAATCTCTACTGAAAACTAAGGGACCGGTCATTTATTACAGAGGGGTGGGGGATTGGTCAGGGTTTCCTGACGCACTAAAGTACTTAAAATAATCACCCTCTCCCTAAGCTTGTCATATTTTTAGACGATTTACCCATGTCTTTGTACGTTTTGTTCATGACCCTCCCCAAAAAGACCCCCCCCCCAAGGCACTTTAATATATTTTATTAAATGTCCAATCATACACAACTCTCTCAGAATACCCTGTATGTGTATTCTTTTAATGACCCTCCCCTATAGACTGTCATAATAACTGGGATAATGTAGTAGCCATCCTCCTGATTTATTGTGACCCCATAATAAATGACTGGTCCCTAACTGTGAACATGTGAATGCAATGATTAAAAAAATCATGTAATAATGTCAAATTACTGTATATCCTGCTGTTCTTTATCATGAACATGAGGAGTGAGAAGAGATTTTTTTTGCAGAAGCTCGGTATCATGTCTTACCAGTGGCCAAATACTATCATTACAAAAGGACTGTCAATACTTAGCACCTGTTGTACCAAACAAGTCCTGTTCCAAAAGCAAATAAAGTGTTTCGATTTTCGATAGTCTACGCGAATAATGATTATCTTAACACCATGATCTGATTGTGGAACATATTCTTGATCTCCATTCATGATGAACATACTACACTACAACAACTAGAGGTGTCACAATATGCCGACCTCATGAATTGTTACAAATCATGACACGAGAGTATCTCAATACTTATTTGCATCTCACATGGCATGTTAATTTAAGATTGTTCTAATGGTAGCATCCAATCAGATTTGATCTTTTTTCGTGCTAGGTGCTAAGGGTAATTATCACAACTTGATATTGTGCAAGTTTATTAACATAAATAGTGCTTTTGAATTTGATAAACCAAGATCATTCATTTGAGAAGCATACATATATAAGTAAGGTGGATTAGATTTCATAGAGATGAGCTAGTGATGGAAATACCTTCCAAGTTGCTTCAGATGACTTGATGAAATTACAACAATTATTGAAGTCATGTTTCATGATGCTGCTATACATGCTATACTAACCAAAAGCTTCTATTGCTAAACCAAGATTCTTCTTCCTCTCATATCTGTTGATTGACAGAAATATCAACTTTTTGTTTTGGGGCATCAGCTCCTTGGTAGGTGGCTCCACCGGCTTGTTGAATGCAGTAAAGTCTGGGATAGGGTACAACACCTCTGGCTTCATGTGGCTCAGTGAGCTGAAAGTATCCCTGAACACGCCAGCTGTCAGAAAGAGAGTTGGAAATTAGTGTACATCTGTCAGTGACTGCATTCAGTCTGTTGCTTATTGATAATAACATCAGTTGATCCCTAGCCATCAACAATGTATTTTTGGACGGTCAAGTTAATGAGAATCTAAACAATAAGATTGCTAATCCAAAATGACATAAATATGTGTCTTAAACTGCAATATCAATTGAAGGATCTACTTTGAGAGCATGAGCTGTATATGACTCAATTACTGTAGTAAATATTTTCATTCAAATTTGCTCAGAAAATATAACCATTGCTAAAGTATTTTTCCTAGCTCTTGAAGACAAAATCATTTAAAGATATTTGTCTGCTGTATGTCATTTATACAGTAGTAATCATGGTGATACACATCATTGTCATGCTGTCTTGCCCTTACAATTTGCTTACAAAATAATATGTGGCGTACTTAAGCAAATGCTGAGGGATGCAACTCTGCACAATAATATGTGGTACGAAACACATGTTAGACGACAGGTCCACCCATGCTCCCACACACTTGGAAGTAACACCATAACACTTATCATCATCATGTCATACATTACCTGTGAATTTACTGTTGACGAGAACACAGTGCGCCATCCCCGTTGTCCTCTCCTCTAGCCAATCAATTGGTGTCCGATACAGCTTCTTCAGCAAACTCTTCCGCTGCGTCAGTAGCATGTCAGGGAAATGACAGTAGAAAAGAACTTTGGCACTGCTGAATCTTAACACTGGCATACATGCGGAAATTTGATCACAAAAAATGAGATCAAAAGTTAGAGAACTAAAAACAACCAGGTATATTGCCGCATAGATCATTCTGAGATAGGCACACAGGGCATAACACTTCCCAAATATACTCCGTGGAAGCCAGTCACCAGCAGTGATCACCTCAAAAGTTCCATCTTTAGTTTCTTGAAAGCAATGTCCTGGGTCATGATGTGCTGTAACAAATTTGACGTCCATACCTTTTGATTTCAGGGCCAGGGCAGCATCGATCACTGCTCTTTCGGCTCCCCCTATTCCCAGATCGGGATGGAGAAAAATTACTTTTGACATGCTTTGGGGTCTCCAGTATTTTATACACGATGTGAGATAGGTTAAAATCTAATATAATGGTGTATAGAGAGCATGTTGCGTCAGTTCACGTCGTCATCAGATTTACCGGAAGTTGACACCAAGTTGACCTCAAAACTACGAAGAGCTATTTTTTTTACCGTTTAACCATAATCAAAGTATGGATAAACGACTACTGCGGTTTGTTCATCATACCAAGCTGTCGTTTATGAGTTAATATAGTACGCGTGTGAAACCGATATGGTTATTTTTCTGAAACACACATTCAAGAACTTGGAGTGTGTGTAAATTGATGTATCTGTATAAACTGAATTGCTGTTCGGCCATTTGCGGGCCTGATGTTAGCTCACCTGAATAATGGAGTCTTAAAATTATTATAGAATATATAGAGACTGAAAGTTACGGGAGCTTATGTCGTGGCCCGTTGTTTGTTGTCCTTCCGTCGTAACGTTTTGCATTCTTTGCTCTGAAAGTACAAAGTCTGACGAAGCTGAAAGTTTGCACACATTGCTTCCCGGTCGTCCGACTCAAGGAATGTAGTTTGCCCTTGTACGAAGTTGAAATGTTAAATGTTTTGACAGAAACGAACTTGGTTCTTTTCTGAAATTGAATCCAATCAAGCAATCCTTTCAGTTTTTGACAATCCACATGGCATTAAATTCAATTGTCTCAAATATTTTCTGTGAATACAAAGGAAGTCCTTCCTTGATTGTGTTAAGGATTATGGGTAATCTTTGAGACACGGATTTGGTGATACATTTGCTTGGCCCAGCAATATATCTCTCTTTGTACGGATTTTTATGGAGCTGTGGAATCCAGTACAAAAGAGGAATGGACATGTCTTCGGGTTTCAGAGTCAAGCCAAAAGTTGTTAATACTTATGCATGATTTTGGCAGACAGAGGGCATACACTTTTATGCAATATATAGACGCGATTACTAAACACTGACTAGTTACCCTTGATTTATGAAGATTTCGATATTACAATGGGCGCATGTTAATGTATTTCTTCAACCTTAACAAACTCACAAAAAGAATGGGGGAGGCTCATCGAGTGCCGTTAGTTGGAGTTAGTAAGTAACAGAAATAGGCTTCACATCTTGTACCCAGGTGGAGAATCGAACCAGGGTCTTCGGCGCAATGAGCGAACGCTTTATCCTATGGGCTACCCCACCGACCCCCGTAGTTTGGAAAAACCCATGATAAAAAAGACTTGTCTTTCGTGAAAGCATCTTCAGATTTCTGATTGTGTATGTAATAAGATGACAGATTGATTTGGATCCCATTTCTGATATCATTTCTGTATTTTAGCTTGATATTTACATCTATCAGTCCATCTTCCCGAGGCAAAGGAGTTTCTGGACTTTTATAGTCAGTTATTTCTCTTGCCTCGGGACCATGCTCTATAATATCAAAAATATACGTTTGATTTATTTGAGACGTAAAAATGAAACCCAATTTTTCCATTGCATGGTTATTTTATACTATCGACTATCGGATGTAAATTTTAGAAAACCTACTCATTAAACTAAATGGGTATGATCTCTTATGTACATTTTAGTATAGTCTCTCAGATTACCTGACAAAGACTATGCAAAATAACTCAATAAGCACCTGTCGACTGTCCTGCTATGACCAACGTTTATCTCTGCGTGTTTTCTCCCATGTGTGTGTGTGTGTGTGTGTGTGTGTGTGTGTGTGTGTGTGTGTGTTATTCGAATGGTGGTGTTTAGGATAGCAATCGGTGGTTCTCATGTGTCATTTCTCATTTATTCAATCTATTAAGATTAAAGGCTAATCCAGGTCTCATTGCATTACAAGTTATGTAATAGGCACGAGGCAGTGCACCAAAAGAGGGATGATCAGTCGAGTTGCAAAATGCAAAGGATTAACCGATAATATGTTGATTGATTAATAATTGTTCTTACACAGGGGATTTGTTAATATAGTAAGTGTTAATATATGTATTTTTGCACACGAGATACACCCATCTGTGGGCGTGTAGTACCTATGCATTTGGTAAAGGATTAACAGATGATACGTTGATTGATCAGTGTTATCTAACTCAATTGATTTGTTTAACAAACCTGGAAATCGTGAAAATAGTTGAACGTCTTTATTTATATGCATGCACAACGTTTCAGGGCGTTCATTCACGTGGTGAAAGGGCATGAAGTAACCCTGAAACATTGTGTATCAATAATATGAAAAAGTTGTTATTCATAGTCATTCTCAATGTCAAGTGTGGTTCTATTTATTTGTTTATTAAATATATTCAGAACATCACATTTTGGAAATGATTTTCAAATCTTATTCATAAGAACACCATGGCGTAGATATCAGAATAATCTGGCTGAACGAAACTACACAACATTAATTTTGTGGACGAAGAGACCATAATTTGTACTTAATACACCACATTGCACAACGATCTTGGAGGAAGATACTACCCTTTCCTTCGACCCCCTTCTAGTTCCATCATTATGTTTTACACGTTATACAACACACTACACACCATTTAAGAAAGAAGCGACGTCGTTTTCTTTGTTGATATTCTCTAGTTCCAGGAATATATGTTCATATTTTATACAACACACTATAAAATTGTGGACGAAGATAATTTGTTATCACCTTTTTATAGGAATTTGTCGGTATACCCTTCTGGTTCCATGGATATGTTTTACACTTTGTACAAGACACTACAGATCATTTGCAATTGAAAAACAGTTTTTGCTTGAGACATTTCTTGGTATCCTGTTCTAGTTCAGTGACTATGTTGTACACTTTTTATAACACGCTACATCATTCGCGATTGAAGATTCCTCATTTCTTGATATATTTGTTGGTATCCTCTTCTAGTTCCATGAATATTTTTTATACTTTTTACAACACACTATACACACCATTTGAGAATGAAGCTACGATGTTTTCTTGGAAGATGTGTTGGTATTCTCTTCTAGTTCCAGGAATATATTTTTACATTGTACATCACACTTCACACCATTTAAGAATGAAGCGACGTCGTGTTTTTAGATTTGTTGGCATCTTCTTCAACTTCCAAGAATATATACTTTGTACAATATACAACACACTACAGAACAATTGTGGGAGCAGATACAACCTTTTCCTGGGTCATTTGAGGTATCCTCTTCCAGTTCATATGAATATATCTTTTACAATACACAACAGTATTTGCGGTTGGAGATACCGCTTTTTCCTAACACATTTTTTGGTATTTTTTGGTGAATGACCCTGGATATGAACCAGTGTGAAACCTTGCCATGTGGGCTGCCATTACCACTGTGTTACTACTGAGAAGGGGCATTTCATTGTCATGTATTGTAAATATTGAAAAGCCTATGGTGTATAATTACTTAAAATATTACTGTAATATGAAGACAAACTGGGTTCTTGTTCTTTCAAAGTGTTCCGTTTGCTTCACACAAAGTTCGACAGTTATTTGTAAAAAAGTTACATCAAGTTAAGCTAATGAATAAGTCTCTCGCTCTCGCTCTTTCTCCTTTGTACTTACTTGCGGCTAAATATAGAATACTAAACGAGCTACCGTGTAATACCAATTTTATGAAACGAGTGAATAGTTCAGGTATCTGACGAGCGAAAGCGAGTCAGATACCACAACTATTCACGAGTTTCATAAAATTGGTTTTACACGGGAGCGAGTTTAGTATTTTATTTATTACTTGACATGTATTACGTTTTTAGAATAATACTGTTGAGTATGATTAGGCTGACACCTACATGATCCACGGCATAACCCAATTGAGTTTAACAAATAATACTTCAAACACGTCAAAAGTTGAAACGTATGAATTTAATACCATACAACGGCCTATCTTTAGAACTAAGGCGTCCGTTCCACAAAATTATCGTTGCGCTAAGGTTATCGCAACTCACATACTTTAACTTAGACTAACGACTGTCGTTGCGCTACAATCATGACAATACGATCGCCTTGTGGTACGGGGCCTTGCACCTCAAAGTTTACCATGACGTAATTTTTGGAATTTTGTTGCAAGATCCATCGGCGAAACAATGCAATGTGACGTCAGCCTAGCAACAACGTTGCTGGGGTCATCGAGTGTGCACAAGCTCCTCTCAGTGATCTATCATCTCCACTCGCAATGTCGTTGAATAAGCCAAGGGATGTTAAGAGCTTTCAATATTTGTTCGTGAAACGTGTTCCGAGAGTACATAAGCACGCGTTTTGTATTACACAATGTGTAATACAGCTGTATGTTTATTAAACGGGTGATCTCTGCACGGGCAAGTAATAAATATAGAATTCTAAACGAGCTCCCGTGTAATACCAATTTTATGAAACGAGTGAATAGTTGTGGTATCTGACGAGCGAAAGCGAGTCAGATACCACAACTATTCACGAGTTTCATAAAATTGGTTTTACACGGGAGCGAGTTTAGTATTTTATTTATTACTTGCCATTTATAACGTTTTTAGAATTATACTGTTGAGTGTGAATAGGCTGACACCTACACGATCCATGGCATAATCCAATTGAGTTTAACACAATAATACTTCAAACACGTCAAAAGTTGAAACGTATGAATTTCATACCATACAACGGCCAACCTTAAGAATTCAGGCGTCCGTTCCACAAAATTATAGTAGCGTTAAGGTTATCGCAACTCACATACTTTTTACTTAGACCAACGACTGTCGTGCTACAGTACGATCGCCCTATTGTGGAACGGGGCCTTGCAGCTCAAAGTTTACAATGACGTCACAATACCCGATGACGTAATTTGTGGAATTTTGTTGCAAGATCCTTCGGCGAAACAATGCCATATGACGTCAGCCTAGCAACAAGGTTGCTGGGGTCATCGAGTGTGCATAAGCTCCTCTCAGTGATCTATCATCTCCACACGCAATGTCGTTGAATAAGCCAAGGGATGTTGAGAGCTTTCAATATTTGTTCGTGAAACGTGTTCGGAGAGTACATAAGCACGCGTTTTGGTATTACACAATGTGTAATACAGCTGTATGTTTATTAAACGGGTGATCTCTTCACGGGCAAGTAAATACAGAATACTAAACGAGCTCCCGTGTAATACCAATTTTATGAAACGAGTGAATAGTTGTGGTATCAGACGAGCGAAAGCATGGGTTGCTAAAGACCTATTCTAATCGGTATTCTTCAAGGGTCCTTTGCCATTCTCTTAGAAGTTTTAGTACACGCGTGTACCACCACGATCACCAACCCTTCATTGCGGCTTTTCGTAAATGACTGGCATAAAATAAAACATTTGGTAGATTGTTTACTGTTTACCTGAAGGATAAGTTGGATTGGGAGAAAAGAGGATCAAACTGTTCTGGTCCCTTAACTACACTCATCTCTGCCCCTCGGTGATTCCCAGGCAACCTGTGGTTGTCGAAAGAGTAGACTAAATGGATCTGGTGGCTAGGCTCAGGGATGAAGTTGATTGCCTGTCATTCTAGCCGGAACGTGTGGACCGTGGCTCATAATATCAATCACTGGTTTGTCTCGTCAAGTCTCGGTTGTTTACTCAACTCACGGGGCAGAAATGTGTCCTATAGCCATTGTGCTCTCCGCAGGTTCTCGGCTGACATATAAACAGCTGCATACTTAAGGCATTCCTCTCGCTGTAAACTAAACTTTCATCCACTTTGTCAACAAATACTCACGATCTTTGAGCATGTGTTTACATGTATTTAGATTTACACTGGTACCTAATTTGCTTCTGTTCTGTTTAGAATTCTATGTTTAATAAATAGGTAACTCATGAATTCATTATACAAAATAATTTATTCACAAGTTGCAAAAATAAATACTTGAAATGACAATTTATAACAATTATATATTATGTACGTCACACACCTTATCAACAAATTTTTAAGGTCTTCAAATAATGTGTGGCAACAGAAGAACTTCAAAGGACATCTGGCTATTCAGTGTCACTTAGGAGATAAACATACTGTGTTTTCAATGTAGAGCTAGGTTACCTGTAGATTTAACCCCGCTAAATTGAATTTGGAACCGAACGCGCAGTCACCATTATGACGTCATGCCGCTCATTGTGACGCAAAAGATATGACGTTACAGTCATATATAGAAAAGCGCCAAAATTCCAAGCTCTCTGTTGTCTCCAAAACGTAAATACATTCCCTTTGTTGATTTCTGTCGTGTTTTTCTGCACAAAATGTATTGCCACACATCCTTTGTATATTGTATTAACCGCATCTGTGCATTTTGTAACCTGTAATTGCAGTTACATGTATAATTATTTAAATACGCCTACCGACAATGACTGAAAATAGTACCATTCTACGAATATTAGCTTCCGCTGTGAAGCGGCCGTCAAACCAGCTGTTTCAATCAGAGGGGGTTTATTGTGATTTAATAGCCTCTGATTGACCAATCAGAATCGAGTAAATTCCAAATTCATGGTAGAATCTATATTAGCTCAGCTGGATCACATAAAGGGAGCAGTCTGAGTGGATATTATTTACAGGCTGCCTGGGGTAGACATGAATATATTAGAGTTCCTAATGCTAACTTGGTTACTAAGCTGTTTGTTAGTATGCAATATCAGTTGGAAAGAACATACACTGGAGAAACTAGTATTAACTAACACAATCTTAACTTAATAATTAACTTTTTAAAATCTGAAGTATTTGTCCTCAGACAGTCCCAAAGTGTTTAGATGGTCAATCATGTCTGCCTCAAATGTCTTAGTCCCACAGATTAGCACTAGAAGATTCTCCTTCCTGTCACCTAGCTCAGTGTCCAGAAGTGTGGCAGTCACTCTCCCAGCATGCACTTGGTCTCCATATCTATAACAACTGGACGATTCATCTGTTTCCTGAAAGGCACACGTGACACACTAATGTAAATTCTTATTGGCAAGTATACTACATAATATATATATTAACAAAATAAACGTATTCTATACCAAAATAAGAAAAAAACTTTAAAAAAACAGCACTCACAATCAGCAATATTCCAGCTATATTACAGAGGACTGTACATAATACAGTCAGCACCAGAAAAACTAGACCTAGGATAGCTAGCACAAGCTACTATTCACCTGACTGAGAGCGTATGTCACTGAGAAGTTCCAGAAGGAGGACCAAGTGTCTAGTTCAGCCTTCATCAAGATATCAGCGTAGGTGCGGCACCCATAGATCAGCCTCACTCTGGTCTCCTCATCCTCATCTCCCACAATTCCCTGTATGACCTGTGACATCGGGGCTATACCCGTGCCCGCTGCTAGAAGGTACAATGTTTGATACTGAAAAGACAGTAAAATTGAATTACATAAATAAACAACATAAACATGAAAAGGGAACAGGAAAAGAACAAACTTGATCAACATGGCAGTAAATTAATGGTGAGCAGTATTTCAGTCAAGTCACAGCATGTCAACTTAATGTGGGAGGAGAGCCGAAAGTCATGGAGGTCTCAGACAATTACCATTTTCTAAATCTCATTGAAATCAGATCTTAGTTCTCGCTACCGCTAAACAAAGATCCGAGGACATCCCATCACGGGTCATGTCAGAACGACCTTTCATCTGACCAATCAGAGCATCGCTTATCAGATCATGAAAGTGACAGTTGGAATGTGATTTTTGATCGTGCAACCTCGATAAAAAACACACACAGGGTATTCTGAACGATAGTTATGGGCTTTATGTCTATATTCATACAATCTAGACCATTTAATAGCCATTCCAGAATGTTCTTTTATTCAGTTTTTAATTTTGCAATCGAGTATATGTAAAAATATGTTTCGAAGCGTAGTCGCCTGTTTGAAACTTGTGCCGTAAAGCTGATTAAGCTGCCTTCTGATTGGCTATTGTCGACTTAGTCATTCCATTGGTCGGTCAAAGTTCGCGCAAGGTCTGTCTGACATGACCCGTAATGGGATATCCTCAGATGTTTGTTTAGCTGTAGCAAGAACTAAGATCTGATTTTAATGAGATTGCCATTTTCTTAAATCCAAGCAGGGCTGACAAACCTTGACACACAATCACAGTCAATAGTAGAGAAAGACTGAATAGATGTAGAATAAACAATACTACTACTAAATAGCAATAATGATTGTACATTATATCTAATTATTTTGTCATGCCAGCTCTCAGTAATCGTTAGTATGGTAAGTTTGTTCAATATTGTTTCCTCAAAGCCACAATTCAAGTTCGGTAGTATAATTCAAATTTGATTTTTGTAGTATTACCAACAACAGAAAAGAGAACAAAAATGTTTATGGGGTCTAACAATATTTGAAAATCACTGCAGAAATGACTTAAACATGTTGAAAGTGTTTTTGTAAAATGTAACTTTAAGAAACATACAAACCTGGTTCCGCTTGTAGGAGAAACTACCAAATGGACCTCGAATGTCAACATATTCTCCTTCCTTCCATCTTTTAACTATCTGGGACATCTGACCCTCAGGATACGTCTGCAGCAAGCATCATACATGTATGTCCATAATGGTATATTTTTGGGACAGTTTATTAACCATAATACAAGTGTACTTTAGATAGATCACATCCTCACCTTAATCAAAACATCAAAATAACCCTTGATCTCAACATCAGATATAGGTGTGTACTGTCGGGTTACAGGTGTGGAATCCAGATATCCCCTGGAAAAATATTAAGATGAGATTACTGATACTCTTAACACTTAGAAGTGAGTTTACACTTTAGAGCTCGTTTTACATTTTCCAATAACCTACTATCTTATTGCAATACAGGCTTAGGAAAAGGGCGCCATCGGCAGCCATTCAGTGGAAATGTGGATGGAGTGAGTGGGTGAGTGAATTACATCAGGATTAATGATCCTCACTGTTGGGGTACAATGACACACAATCAGCCTTGTGACACATTATAAACACTTGCTAAAAATAATAATTTGTTATTCTGTACGTGTAGAGATAAAAAATTCCTATATAGCCCTGTAAATAATCAACATAATGCTAAATATGAACAAGGCTGATCCATTCAATTATTAATATTGTCCATCTTCAACATGGTAACCATGGTAACCTTAACAAATGTAAACATTTCTTCGGCAGCGAATTTTTAACTTAAAATCGATATTCATAAATTTGTATTCATACAGCACTGACATTAAAAATCTATGGATACATATCAATATCGCAATATACGATGACATCCCTGAAAGACACTCAAGCATCAAGGCTTTCCTCCCAAATTAAGCTGACACGCCCTGATATAACTGGAAGACAGTTCAAGGCGGAGTTAAACCCAACTCACTCACTCACTCACTCCTACAGACCTATCCCGACATTGTTTGAGATGTCCTACCTGATAATGATATGTTGACCTATACACAGACCCAATGATTTTTCTCTCGGCAGCTTCATCCGGTATCTAGCAGAGTCCTTGGTTTCCATGGTGATAAATATGATTTTAACTCTTCTGTATCTGTCTTTGGATAACACTGGTTCCTGCAGAAAAAGGTATCAGTTTTCTATGATAAGTTATAATACCAAGGCCAGACAATTTGTTTTCTTGTTTGATGAACATGTCTACAAGAGAAATTTAACTGCCGTTTTCCCTTGAAAATATCTTCTTTTTTTACAAAACTTCTATTTCAAGAGCTTCTTGTGGAAATTCAACCATTAATAAACTCTCAAAAAATGTTTGAGTCATCATTATTTTTTTCTCATGCCTCTTAGCATATTGCCTGAGAAAATATGTTAATCAACAAATTGTACGGGTCTGGCCCAAATGTTTCATGATGAGTGAGTTTGGGCATAACTTTGTATACTATTTTAGTGTAAGAAACAATTGTGACAGTTGTGTTTGCAAATCATTTTGTGTCAACATCATGCAGGAAGAAAGCAGAAAGGGATGCAAGCCATGATATCATAATGGTGATTGATACCATCAACCAGTAGAACCCTCTTTGTTTGTTGTTTAAAGCCGCACTCAGCAATATTCCAGTATAAATCAATGAGCATGTTATGGTGACATCATAATTGGTGCAAATCTGAGATTTGAAATCACATCCATTGAGTTCTAAATAATTGAGTCTTGATGAGACAAACCAGTGGTTGATATTGTGAGCAACATACAACAAACTCAGGGTAAGATGACATGCAATCAAGTCACTGAGTCTGACCACCACATCCATCACCTCATTTGACATGCATACCGGAGGCCAATTCTAACCCAGAATCTGCATGGGTTGTGACATGAAATAATACTCCTGATGTTAACTTTTTAAGACATAAAATATTACCATAGATGTTAAGATGCTTAAGTATTTTATAGACAAAGAATATCAAATTTTGGTTTGGTTTCTCAACAAAGAAATTGTTTTTTAAACATCAAAGATTATACTTTGTAACTCTGTTTGCATAGTACCTCATCTGCCTCATCTTCCGAGTCAGACACATTTTCATGTTTGTTGTCTTTCTGCTGCAGTCGAAGGCATTCCTTTTCCCAGATCTTCACTTCTTCATCATAGATATCCAACACACATGGCACACACCCATTACCACAACAATCAGAGTCCAGGGGTTTGATAGGCTTCTCAGGCCAATCTGTACATTTAGCCATCATCAGCTTTCACACTAATAAGCAAACAAGATATTAAAGTGTCTGAATTCCCAGCTGTCACCAGGCAGAGACTTGTGAGTAGTATTTGTTCCAGAATAATCCATTTTATATTTTATGACTTTCATATGTTCATACTGTGATACAATAAAAAAAAAGACAAGTTGATCATGTTGATAGATTATGAGGCATTGTGAACAAATATTTCAGTCTTCTGTTTTTTTGACTGCGTGTGGTTTAGTACTTTCATAAGGCATTCCATACATAAGGCATGTCCACCATGAAAAGCCTTCTTTAACATGGCATTTGGAGGTGGAACTGGCATTTCTTGTATCGTAGTTATTGTTGTTGTCACTGATCCTGTCATTCATTCCATTATCTATTACTTCTTCCACAACCTGTTCTAACTTTCTCTTTACTTGCTTTGACTTAGTAAGCCCTGAAACATGAAAACAGTATCACAGGTTCTGCAGCTTTTGTTTTTTTCTCAAATAATGATAATTCGAGTTCTCAAATGGAAGAAAAACATGACATGATTCAAAGGGTTATAGCGAAAACGGCACCTCAGCAAGACGTCACCGATTGGCGAAAACGGCACCTCGACTCAACAAAAACGGCTACTGTGGCCTGGCGAAAACGGCACCTTATTTTTTCTTTTACCTTGTTCAAATAAGTGCTATTAAACTTATATGGTAACTTGCAAACACCAATAATTGTGAGATGCTAAAACAAGTGTACATTAGAAATTAGCCTCTACTCCAACTATAATCCAACTTAGCTTATACGCAACACAACTTATTGTGAAAACATGACATGCTTTGAAGAAAAATAATAGAAATTAAACTCAAGTCGTCTCTTACAAACACAAATAATTGTGAAATTGTGAAATAAAACAAGTAAGAAATTAAACCCCTAATCCAATTTACTCACCGACTGATTGGGAGGCGCAGTTAACTTAATGTGAATACACTATAAGCTTTGAAGTTTTAAGTACCTTTACTCAATTTAAACTGAAACTGTATTTCGAGGCCTAACATGGTGCTGTCAGATCACAATTATTCACAATGGCCTTTCGATGTGTTGCATGAGAGAAGAATGTCAGGAAACAACAACATGCTGTGATAACTGTGACCATGTAAATAAACCCTATATATTACTACAAAAATCGTTCATATCCTTATTGAAAATAGAGGTGCCGTTTTCGCCCGACACATAGTAGCCGTTTTCGCCAAATGCGGTGCCATTTTCGCCAGAGAAATCGGTGACGTTTTGCTGGGGTGCCGTTTTAGCCTGCACCCGATTCAAATCGTAGCAAGATTTGTAGCAAAATAACCAGCTGATGAGCGGATGTACTGAAGTTACAATGTACATTTTAAATACGTTTCCCTTTTCTCCAGAAGTAACAATGGCTGTTTATACTTCTAGATCATTCTTACCACTGCACATATGCTGACTTTCTTCATTCATCCTCAATTGATTTACATCGTTTTAATGACATAAAAGTGCATAACCTTCAGGCTGCCAGTTAGAGTTACCCCCCTTTAGACATCTTTTGTCCATGAAAGTAATAAAAGTGTCCACTTCCGTATTTAAGAAAATGCTAACATGTGCGATACCAAATACTGTTAATCTTGCAGAATAGTCAATGCATTTTTTGTGTTGTTATGTAGATAAACTCTGATGTTATTCTAGAAATTCTGCATTCTGCAGACTTTATCGTAACTGCTGTCGAGGACGAGGAGTGTAGAAATGGCTCATCTTAGTCGTGAACTCATTTTGTGTAAAATGATTTCGTCTGCTTCATCCATTAGACAGACCAGACGATGTCTCCACAATAGAAGATACGTCACAAAGATGTTCCAGAATTTTGGAAAAGTTCAGCCAGCTGTGACAGAGTTTACATGTTCAAGTCAGAAGGTTATTTTTTGTCTCAATGTTTCAGTAAAGACCCAAGACGACACATATCATTCATGATGTATTAATTAATACAGATAATTAAATTGATACATTTTACACATTTTGGTCATCCCTTCATACACTGTTCGAGAAAAAAATATGTTGAGAAGTAAAATGTTGTCTCTGCTCCATGTTAGTAATGGTAATAAATAAAAAAACAAATGACACCAGTTTAATTTCAAATAGTGAGATACTAGTACAATGAATGTGTGAGATAATCATATAAATTTATAATGCAATTGAAAGTTGCTATTCTGACATGGAGTCGACGACTTTTAAGAAAGTAAGTGATGAAAATGGGAAAAACCCTTAGCCTGCTGCATTAGCCCCACACTGCTTTTCCTATTATAATAATTTTGAGAAGCAGTAACTAGGCGCAGATGAATATCTACAGTTTGTTAAAAAGTCATTATGTCTATAATGTTTACAGCAAAAGCATGTGTTCAGTGCACAATTCGATGGAGAATACATAATGTCTGTACAACCACTACATCAATACACAAAATTTAACTCTATGGTTCTTTTGGTATGGTGAAATGTATGCATGTATATAACATAATGTGACATTATGATAATGTTTGTAATGTATGAACATTGTATGTGACAATCTGAAACACATGTGAATGTAAACAAATATCTGTTGACTGTGTACATATTGTTGGGGAAATAAAAACTTTAAAAAAAAAATTATACAAACTTAATAAATCCAGATTGCAAACGAAAATGTGTATTTAGGGAATCATAAGGATTATTCATTTATTGTGTGTAAATCGAGAAGGATTTTAATTCCATCATTAATGAAATTAATTTTATGTCTTCTGTTTCAGCTGATGTTGTACAATGAAGTCATACAATCATGTCATTCTGGTTCTTACCACATGCTTCCCCTGGGATTGAGAGCACTGGAGAAACTCATCAAGATCATAGACCAGGAGATGCAAGTTATTGGTGGTCAGAAGATTGCAATGCCAACCTTAGCCACTGCTGTAGTATGGAAGAAATCAGGTTGTTAAATGGTTAATGTCATCATGGTCATATATGTTTTGGGTACCAGACAATCAATACCCATAGAGATATGTACCCATAAAAAATGTCTAACCTCCACCTAAAATTCTTGCATGATCTGCACCTGATTTGGAGCATTCCTACTCTATGTGGCTGACAAATTTGGAGAACCCTAACACAAATCTGGAGGACCCGTACATACATTTGAAGGACCTGTACCCATTTAGTTTAATATTTGTTGCATTTGTTTTGAACGGTATTAAAGCTAGATGAGTCGGTATGAATGCACGAGTCCACCAAAATATACAAGGTATGGCTCTCTGTAGGTACTGTTTGTCCAGTTTTCTATGTTTTGATTTTTATTAATGTCAGTGCTTGGAATCTAAGCTTTTGTTACATTGAAGGAATGTGATGATCATCTTGTAGAAAGTTCAATAAACTTAATAAACAATCTGGTGATCAGTCAGTGATCTTTTAGCTATGATCTTTTTCATTTATCTCCCAGGTCGATGGAAAGAGGCTGGTGCCGAGTTATTCAAACTGAAAGATAGACACAGTATTGAATATTGCCTGGGCCCAGTAAGTATATACAATGTTTAGAAGTGTGTGTGGTATGTCGTCAAACAATGTTGTAATACTGTGATCTAGCACGTTGGGGACAAAGTTGAGTACTAGAGGGTGTGTATAATTAGCTTGATTATGTATGTGAGAGTTTGTATAAGAAGCTGATCATTATTAACAAATGTTTGTAAGACATGATGATCATATAATATTGATGAGTTAATCTGTACTAATGAACTGATTAATTGCAAGTGTTCAGAAACGTTTGTGTGAAGAAGAATCCATTAATTAATCAAATGTACATGAAATATAAGTACACTCATTGATATACAGTGAATCTGGTGTTCCATACTTCAAAGACTGATAATGATAAGCATTTTGATGACATGCTATTTCTGGAAAATATAGGTAAAATATTCTTATTAACAAATTATTATTAAAATGATTGATGTTGAATTCACACTGATTCCAAACACCACAACACAGTTACAGTCTGAGTCAATCTGAGTAAAGGGGTGATACTTTACATGGCAAGTGAAGTCAACATAGCAACTTTTCGATTTTAAATACTTTAGGGCATACTTAATCACAAATGCTTGACCAAAATTAAATTTGAAACTAAAAAATACTGTAAAAAAGACGATAAGATAAGATAACCCAAACAACAAATATCCTCCAGTAAGGGCATTCCCCTTCCTGGAGGTTAAGACGGGTTCCCGCTGCTTGATGCGCTGCACAATTTCAATGATCGGGTCGGCACCCAATCTGCCTGGTGGTTTATTAGGGGTCTTCCTACTTGTCTCACACCTATTTTCTTGGGTACAAATTCACCTGAGTGTGGTGATGGGTAAGACAAGTCATTGGTGAATATCTCAAGAAATATATCAAAAGGCTACAAATGGAATTACAGACACGAAACAGTTTTCCACTGAATCAAAGATTGTAGGACAAAAGCTCTCATTAACATAATCCCTTTGGGCAAAACCCCCTTGGCCAAAGACCCCTGGGACACTTAGGACAAAGGCCCTTATTTGACAAATGGGTCGAAAGCCCCTTCATGAGCTATCAGCTATTATTTATGATGATTTATTATGATGGATGGATTTGCCTGTCTCCCTACCAACGAGGCCAGCTTAGGCATGCAGTACCTTCAAGACAACACCCCAGCAGGCCTAGAACACCTACTTTGATTCTACAGTAGAACACGGATAGAGCGAACAAACGGATACAACAAACTGTTAAAAAAACTCAATTTATCTCCTATATGTTATATTATAATTTACGTACATAACGAACTCTCTACAGTGAACTAACGGATATAGCGAACTGATATCTGATCTCCGACAAGCCCATCTACCACTAATTAGTGACGCGTATAGCGAACTGAGAAATCTCACTCAGTGTCAAGTGTCACTGACAATTCAACCTTATTAAACTTGCATTATGTTAATCCTACATGTCCATGTAATTTGGACCAATCTTGTCTGTAAAACAAACATTGATCCTACAATTGGATCAAAATGTTTTAAAGTTGTATGATTGGGTACTTTTTAACTGAATCACCGGTAGATGCGGGAGGAAACGTGTATAAATGTGTATGTTTGTATTGTGTTTTGCTTTAGTAGAGATGACGGACGTTTCCGAGCGAAAACGTATATAACGAACAATGTATGTAACGAACTGGTTCCTCCGGTCCCTTGTTGTTCGATATATCCATGTTCTACTGTACTTATGTGTCAGAAGAATTCAACCACCTGCTGGGGGCACGGGTGGCCCAGTCCTCTAAGGCGCCGCGATTCGCTGTGCAGAGTTGCGTCCCTTGGGCACGCCAGAAACCTATGATTGTGGGTTCGAATCCCGGTTCGCCCCGATTATGTTTCTAGGTTTGTCAGCACCATAACCGTGCTCGTGGGTTTCACCGAAGTGGTAAACGTCTGAGACCTGCATCACTTCGGGCTTTCCTCCCACATTAAGCTGACACGCAGTGATATAACTGTAATACTGTTAAAAGTGGCGTTAAACCCAACTCACTCACTCACTCAACCACCTGCTGTAAACCTAGATGAGCCTCCACCACCCAATGAAAATGAGACGAGTAGCCCCTCTCTTTCTACCACCCATGTGGAATGTCCATGACGCCGCACTGAGATGTGACAGCAAGATGAACAACATCTGTTAGTCATGGAATTCTGACTTTAAGCAGCTAGTAGGTCACAAACATCCCTCTGTTTGGACTGCTATACAGGGGTTCCATCGAGATCAGGCAGTGGTAGCAACACTGCTTCAACAGCACGCCAGGAGCATAAGGCCAGCCAAGAGACTCAAGAAGTCAAGAGATGTCAGACAGCTCTGACTGCAGAACCTGTGTGTTGAGAGACGTGATTGAAAGATCAGTGTTGTAGAGTTTCTGCACAGTGTAGGACATAGCATTAGGTTAAATGAAGACATTCCAACTAAGACACTCCCAGTATAAGCTATTTGCTGTGGGGGGGCATGGGTAGCCCAGTCGTCTAAAGCGCCGCGATTCGCTGTGCAGAGTTGCGTCCCTTGGGCACACCAGAAACCTATGATTGTGGGTTAGAATCCCAGTTCGCCGCAATTATGTTTCCAGGTTTGCCAGCACCATACCCGTGCTCGTGGGTTTCACCGAAGTGGTAAACGTCTGAGACCTGCATCAGTTCGGGCTTTCCTCCCACATTAAGCTGACATGCCGTGATATTACTGGAATAATTTGAAAAGCGGCGTCAAACCCAACTCACTCACTCACTATGTGCTGTGTGTTAAAAGACACCCAGAATAACACGCTGTTGTGTGTAGTAAAATAATAAAATATTGAAAAAACACACATATCTTCTGTTTCTTTACTAATGGAACTTATAGGGGCTTTTGTCCTAGGGGGTTGGGGGTTATGTCCAGGGATCTTTTGTCCAAGGGGGTTTTCACCATGAGGGCTTTTGTCCATACACCGTGTCAATCGGCAGGTTGATTTACAGTTTACTCCCAATTCTAAGAGAGTGATCAGCACTTGGTCTTTGCCAAATAGATGTTCACAGACGTCAACTTTCATTCAACCAACCATCATTAACACCAAAGGAGACTTTGTCATGAAGCAGAATTATATGTTGCTGAACAGAGGAACGATGCCTCAAATCATCTTGAGGGCTGCATCCAACTATGTACAAATTCATTGAGAGAGGTTGAGCAGGATAATACTTTATCATCCAAAACTGGCTCCCACAGGAGATATCGCTTGGGTGAGATCAAGCGATATCTACAGTGTACATATCGCTGCAATGAAATTGCATCACAATGCTTTGAAGACCATTGTGACGTCATTGGTTACCATGATGTCAAAATCAAATGACATCACTAATGGCTCTGCTACTGAAGCTGTTAGCAGTACTTTTTACACTTAAGACACTGCTTATTACTCTCTACAAACTGAAAAAGTTGGAAGAATGATGTTGGATGATAAATAAAATCTCACCATCATGCCTTTTGATATCACATATCAACACGAGTTTATATATTTGATATCAAAAGACTTAAGGGTGAGATTCTCTATGCAATCACAATCCAGGTAGTTTGATACCACCCAAGTATTGAGTTTTATGCCCTTGAGAGAGAGAAGGGACAACTTCTTGCCAACCAGAATCCAGTGAATGATTATCACAATGCTGTTTCACATTTGGACTGTTAATTATGTAAAATATTAAATTGGCCAAATAAGACAATATTTAATACAGTGATCATTCAACAAATGTTTATTATATATTTTGACGTAAAAGGATGCTGGATGTATATGGATACTGTTTAAACAAACATGATGGAGATTATCCCTTGAGCAGCTAGTGGACAAGTAGGTAGTCACCGTTTATGGTACCCAAACAGGATGTGAGTCATAAAAAGCTCACTACAGACATTAATTGTTATTTTAATTATTCACAATGTCAGGATTATAGGTCGTTTTTAGATTGACCACTTCCTGATGTATCCATAAGCTGCCAAGCTTCACATTTGTCATGCATAGTGCCCTGTTGCACCGGTAGCCCTAGGCCATGCCCCAAGTAGTGTTGTTTGGGAATGTGTGATTTAAGCACTGTGATTTGAGTGTGTAATTTAAAGATTTTACTTGGACATTAAAATACTTTCTACGAATATCATGATATGTCTTCTCTCTGGAATTGACTTAATATATCTGGGACAATTGATATTCGCAACAAAATCGCAATCATATTTTTCATTTTACTTTCCCTTTTAATAATAGTAACTTAACTTCAAAAAGAAAGTTTGTCATGGCATGACAGATTGATTATAATAATATGAAAGAATCGGGTGGTCCTTTGTTTGAGTGGTATAGTTGTGTTTATTGCATGAGTGATTGATAAATGATCTTATCATCGGGGCGGTCGGGTAGCCCAGTGGTTAAAGCATTCGCTCGTCACGCCGAAGACCCGGGTTCGATTCCCGACATGGGTACAATGTGTGAAGCCCATTTCTGGCGTCCCCCGTCGTGATATTGCTGGAATATTGCTAAAAGCGGCGTAAAACCATACTCACTCACTCACTCTTATCATAGTATTTGATTTGTTTTGTTACTAATACATGTATATCCAATACGCTTTCAATTACAGACTCATGAGGAGCTGGTCACAGGTCTGTTTTCCTCCGTGTCCCCTGTGTCGTACAGACGATTACCGCTTTTACTGTATCAGGTAAACATTTAGCATGGTTCATGACAGACAGGACACTTTCATAAACAGGCTGCCCAAACAATTACTTGCTGTAACTCCAACCTAAACAATGATCTGGCAACAGTTGGCCCAGGAGTCTAAGGCAATTGTGACCTTTGGGATTGTCAGGATCAGATGATTTGGGGTTAGAACTCCAGATTTGCCGTGATTATTCTTCTTGGTGTGTCAGCACCATACCCATGTTAATGGCTTCCACAAAGTGCATCACTTTGGGCTTTCCTCCTGCATCAAGTTGACATAATATATATATATTTCCATTCCCCAGGTTGATGGTACACAACTTGTACACAACTGTTTATTTGGTTACATACTAGTTTGAACAAGCACCCCCCCCCCCCCCTCAAAAACAACAACAAAACCAACCAACCAACCAACAACAACAAAACCCACCTGCACTATTCTTTCAAAAATTATTGTCTGAGTACCAATTCTTTTACTTTTTTAAGCCTAACAATTTTCTCTTTTTTAGATTACAAGAAAGTTTCGAGATGAGATGGCTCCAAAGTATGGATTACTAAGAGGAAGAGAATTTGAAATGAAAGGTATTTGTACTGCTTCTGTCATTTATTCTTCATTTTGATTCCTAATATCTTATTTGGGGCAGTGGGGTAGCCTAGTGGTTAAAGTGTTTGCTCGTCACACTGAAGACCCGGGTTTGATTCCCGACATGGGTACAATGTGTGAAGCCCATTTCTGGTGTCCACATCATGCTTGACACACAGTAGTGGGCACAGATGGCCCTGTTATCTTTGGTGCTGCAATTCGCTGTAAACCTATGATAGTGGGTTCGAATCCCGGTTCGCCCTGATTATTTGTCTAGGTTTGTCAGCATCATAGTCATTGTTCTAGGGTTTCACCGAAGTGGTAAACATTTGAGACCTGTATCACTTCAGACTTTCCTCCCACATTAAGTCGACACGCTGTGATATAACTAGAATACTGTTCAATGCGGTGTTAAAAACAAATCACTCACTTGACACACGGGAAAGAGAAAAAAACAGAAATTAAATTATGAATAATTTGCTCACAACCAAATGACTTTTAGTGTCATAATTTTTATGACATTATTTTGCACTCAAACATGTTTTGTTTCAGATATGTACACCTTTGATGCTACAGAGGAATGTGCCAGGGAAACCTACTCCTCTGTGTGTCAGGCTTATTGTAAACTATTTGACAGGCTTGGCGTTAAATATGTCAAAGGTGAGGACATGTTTCATTCATTTGGGATTACTTTGAACTTTTTGAATGATGTTGACTTAATTATCATGCAAAAATATCAAAGAGGTGAACTAAAAATAAAAAAATAAAATAATAATAATAATAATAATAATAATAATAATAATAATAATTCATTTATATGGCGCTGAACTCCATGCATAAGCATGCTCTAAGCACGTAGACATTTATTACCCTGGTCAATGGATCAATGTGCACACAACAATCATTCTCAGCTCCCTGGGGAGTATGAAGCTAAGTTCATGATTTTCTTTCTTTTGTGTTTGAGATATTTTTGGCTTTTTCTACAGTTTTACAGTTTTGGGTTTGATGAAACTCCTTTCTGTAGTTGGTATACACTGGTAATGGTTGGTATCCATGACTCTTGTTGCTTCCTGACAGCTGCTGGAGACACTGGAAACATCGGGGGGACGATGTCACATGAGTTTCATCTGCCCGCAGAAGTAGGGGAGGACACACTACTTGTGTGTGACAGGTAAGATTCAGTGTGTGACAGGTAGGCTATATATAGTGTGTGTTCTTAACGTCACAAATTGTTTTGGGTTTTATTCTTTGCTTTGAAATTCACCAAAAGAGTATTATCTAACTGTTTTTTGGCGACATTATTGGGAATAAATAGATCCCAAATTTGTAATAATTGGTGAGGTTTTAGCAAAACCATAAGTCAAAATTCACAGATATTGGCACCTGAATAATGACCTCTCTGGACTACTGTGGATAAATTGTTTGAATTGTATTTTCAATTTTGTTTTTACAGATGTGGATTTTCTTCAAATATTGAACTCTTAGGTAAAGTATTATATGTTTGTATTGTTGTTTATATACATCAGCTACTGGGTGGTGGGGTAGCCTAGTGGTTAAAGCGTTGACCTGACACTCTGAAGCTCCAATCTTGATTCCCGACATGGGTGCAATGTGTGAAGCCCATTTCTGTTGTTCCCGCCATGATATTGCTGGAATATTGCTAAAAGCGGCGTTAAACCATACTCACTCACTCACTCACTCACTCTTGTCAGTTCAATAGCATTGGCATAGTGCTGACACCATGAAACAGGAGAGTTGGGTGCACAGCCAGTTTGAGTAGGCCACTGAGCCACCCTTCTCATCATCAATGTGTTTTGATATGTTTTTACCATTGGCCACGTTAACCATATAGGATTATTGTGATTATGCAATACAGTCGAGTCTCGTTAATCCGACACTCGTTAATCTGACAATCGGCTTTATCTGACACTAATGATTGGAACCGATTAAATCAGTGCTATTTAGACCCGTTAATCCGACAGTCTCGCACTCCATCTCCGACACAACTAATTTGCAACAAATAACCGAAATCACTCATTAATCAGTCTTGTTAATCCGACACAGTGATCAGCGTAGGTCATTTTGCCCGCGAGTACACAGCCCGTGTCAAACTTGCGAATCCATTCCAGACTATGTTTTTAACGAAAGTTGAAACTACTTTATTTCTTTTATCCGACATACTCGATAATCCGACATAATCATATGCAACCAACCATGTCGGATTAACGGGACTTGACTGTAGTTTGCTTATGTTTTCAGAGAATGATGCAAAGAGTGATTTCAAAAAATTCTGTCCCAACAAAGAGAATGACTGTGATATGAAGAAATCGCATGGCATAGAGGTGTGTACACGATGCATAGAGACTTGATTCATGCACAGGCATAGCATGTATCAGTTGATAGTTAACAAAATTCAAGCCTTGGTCTCGAAAATAAGTTTGTTTTTTCATCTTGAGGAGTCCATATGTGTCTTGCTTTATATATAACAAATGAATATAGTGAAATACACATGCATACTAGCGGACTGATGAAGATTTGGGTTAGAACAGGTCTTCAGCAACCATTGCTTGTTGAAAGAGGCGACTAACGGGATCGAGTGGTCAGGCTCGCTGCCATGTTTGGGGTAGTCAGCGATCCCAATTGCGTGGATCGATTCTCATGATGTCAATGATTGGATTGTCTGGTCCAGACTCGATTATTTACAGACCGCCGTCATATAGCTGGAATATTGCTGTGTGTGGCGTTAAACAACAAACAGCATACTACCGATATGGCTTCTGTCACAGTCTCACAGGTGTGTCTCAGAAACATGTTGAGCCATGTACTTTCAGGATGTTTTTGTTAAAGAAACAGTTATGACATATTTGTGTTTGGAATCGGTTTTGGTTGATTATCGAGACTGGTTATCCTCTGGAGTTTTATATTCATATTGTCTGTGTCTTTTCATTTGTAGGTAGGGCATGCCTTTCTCCTGGGAACCAAATACTCCTCTGTGTTTGGTGCAAACTGTCAGACCGAGATGGGCCAAGTGGAGTAGGTTATTAATAACACAGTAACGAGTACTGAAGTCATACAGGCGCTGTAGCCAATATATACAACTCAACTTTAGATAGGGATGGTCACATATGTATATATATTCTATTAGATATACACCTGACTACTCAAAAGAAGTTTCAGATTAACTGTAGCAATATGAGTAGCAGCTTTACACTTGAAGTATGATTGATCTTATAGACTAAGATGTTAGAGTTAATTACAAAATGTGTACATCAGGCTGATTTAGAAAAAGAAAACTTTAGGGTTGTGGGAGTTTTTCTGTTTGTTTGTTTGTTTGTTTGTTGTTTAATGCTGCTCTCAGCAATATTTAAGCTACATGACAGCAGCCTGAAAATAACTCTGGACTAGACAATCCAGTGATTGATATTGTGAAGAAAGAACCACATCATCGAGTACAGTGACACGCACTGAGCCAAGCGACATGGCCCTCACTAACTGATCCATTTTGTCGCATTGGTTGCTGGGGGCCTATTCATACCTGGAAGTCCCATGACAGGCGTTAGGGAAGTACTGCACTTTACCAAATGCTCTGTTTAGTATTTCAACTGGAACTGCATATCTCAAATGAGGTCTATGTTTTTTTGTAATTAATATTATTTATTTAATAGTTTCCGTTACAGAATTGATCAGGCATTGTGGGTAATGCCTGACCAGGGTATGACAAAGAAATTCAAAGACTTTGTTGAAACAGAGGCAGTATCTTCAACTAGGTTATATAGGGTATTGGTAATGATAACAAGACAATTTCTAAAGAATTATGGTAATTAGGACTCAGAACTTTATTAAAACATTGACAAACACACGCATTCACATTCATACCATGTTTGCGCAGATAAGTTTGAAATGAGTTCATCAGTTTTACTTGTGACCTTGAAATATGTCGGATAGATCAGGATGTCCAAGGTGACAGGTGACTGGGATGGATGTTTCTCTGCCGTTGTTTCAGACCAGCGCAGATGGGATGCTATGGGTTGGGAGTCACCAGAATCTTACAAGGCTGTGTAGAAGTGTTGTCATCCTCGAAACAGATTCACTGGCCTGGTCTTATAGCACCATACCAAGTCTGCATCATCCCACAAAAGGTAGACAATCCGAGATGAATGTGGGACATATATTACCGAGTGCCTCAAAAGAAATTGACAAGTTTTATAATGGGTCTGCTTTTGTATCTGGCTGTAGTCTTTTATCAGAACTTTAATATACATATATATATATATATACAAGGCATTTTTTCAGCTGCTGTTGGGGGTGTGGGTGTTGACATCCCGTTAGCATATATATCTTAGAAGGCATTTTTTCAGCTGCTGTTGGGGGTGTGGGTGTTGACATCCTGTTAGCATATATATCTTAGAAGGCATTTTTTCAGCTGCTGTTGGGGGCTTGGGTGTTGACATCCCGTTAGCATATATATCTTAGAAGGCATTTTTTCAGCTGCTGTTGGGGGTATGGGTGTTGACATCCCGTTAGCATATATATCTTAGGAGGCATTTTTTCAGCTGTTGTTGGGGGTGTGGGTGTTGACATCCCGTTAGAATATATATCTTAGAAGGCATTTTTTCAGCTGCTGTTGGGGGTATGGGTGTTGACATCCCGTTAGCATATATATCTTAGAAGGCATTTTTTCAGCTGCTGTTGGGGGTGTGGGTGTTGACATCCTGTTAGCATATATATCTTAGAAGGCATTTTTTCAGCTGCTGTTGGGGGTATGGGTGTTGACATCCCGTTAGGCCTGCCAGACACCTGATTGAGGGTTTATGATTGATGCTATGATGTACTTTCACTCAGGAAGGGTACGAGGCAGACACCTTCTTCAGACTCGCCAATGAATTGAGTGACCAACTCACCTCTATGGCCAACTTGTCAGGGGAGGTAGTCATAGATGACCGCACGCAGATGACCATAGGGAAACGCCTGTATGAGGCGCGGAGACTGGGCTACCCCTACATCGTGGTCATAGGGAGGAAGGTACGAACGTAGTGAATAACTCATGACACAAAACATGTCATGCTGTCATTGCCAAGTGCCCAGTGGAGATACGAGTTAGAAAAGGTCTTCAGCCACCCATGCTTGTTGTAAGAGGTGACGGGGGCATGGGTGGCCCAGTTGTCTAAGGCGCCGTGATTTGCTGTGCAGAGTTGCGTCCCTTGGGCACGCCAGAAACCTATGATTGTGGGTTCAAATCCCGGTTCGCCCCGATTATGTTTCTAGGTTTGTCAGCACCATACCCGTACTTGTGGGTTTCACCGAAGTGGTAAACGTCTGAGACCTGCATCACTTCGGGCTTTCCTCCCACATTAAGCTGACACGCTGCGATATAACTGTAATACTGTTAAAAGCAGCGTTAAACCCAACTCACTCACTGTAAAAGGTGACTGACGGGATTGGGTGGTCAGACTAGGCAACTTGGTAACTTGGTTGATGCATGTCATGGTATCCCACTTGTGTCACTGGATTGTCTGATCCAGACTCGATTATTTTCAGACCGGCGTCATATAGAAGGAATATTGCAGTCAGTGACAGGCAATCAGATAAATTTCTACATTATGGAATAAAATAATTAAAATCAATAATTTGTAAGCCCCCCCCCATATAGTTTCACTTTTTAGCAGCATGTTTCTTTTATTTTTTAATTTTACATCTTTCTGACTTCCATTCAAGAAGTGTTTGGTAACTCTATTTTCCTTTTTTTGGTAAGCCAAGTAAAAAACAAATAATGTCCTTATTCAACCAACTTCATGGAACCCCGAAACTTATTTATTAAACATGTTAAAGTAATGTTTTCCGACCATACCAACACACTCTAGTACAAGGCAGACTAAAGCAAATCCAACATTCTCCTTGCAGGCCCTGGAGGCTGAGGCTCAGTACGAAGTAATCCACACACAGGACACGGAGCCAGTCTTCCTGTCACGTGACCAGCTACAGCATCGTCTGGCATCAGCAGACACTGTCTCACTATCATGAAGTGCGTGACTCAGTAGTAGATATGCTATGATCCAATTGGCGAGAAGAGAAAAGTTATCATACTGTGCCTGCTCAGGTATTACCACAGTACAGGCAGGCAGTAGTAGCAGTCCTGCAAGACAAAGGAGCATTGTCTCAGCAAGTCTGTGATTCTGCAAATCCTGGCAGCAGTACAAAGTGGCGCAGGGGGGCCCCTGGCACTGTAATTAGAGATTATGTTTATGGCCAGAGCTTTAAGACAGAGCATTTCTATCTCTCCTTGGAGTTGAACAATTTATTTATTTTTCCACAATTTGTTTTGAGATCACACCTAGCATGTCCCACCAACAGTTTTTTAAAACAATGTTTTCACAGTAATTTTGGAACAATTTTTTTGGGGTAGGGTTGGGTGGTATATATAATCCTAAGCCCCCTTAGAATACGTTAGACTATCTTACTCCATTCAAGATCCAGGTTACAATGGGTCTTCAGCATACCATGCTTATTGTAAGAGGAAACTATGCTTGTCATATGCATCCAAGTTACGTAGATCGATGCTCATGATGTCAACCACTGGATTGTCTTGTGCAGGCACGATTATTTACAGACCGCCATCATAATGGAATATTGCTGGAATATTGCGGCATTAAACATCAAAGAAACGAAACAAACAAGCAAAGTATTCCTTAGACCCCTGACACCATCTCAGATCACTGGGTCACGTGAGGAGAGGATACAGTGTTGAGAAATGAACTCCCTTGTGGTGTGTCCATGAGTACAACAGAAGTCAGGCGGATGTTAGATTCATATTTATTCTGGAGTACGAGGTATTGTACAGCTGCTAACACTTATGTTCCAGAAGACGCTTGGTGGGGGTCAGTTACTCTATCTGATGTACTTTGTAAAAAACAGATTGTATTGAATATATATTTTACATAAATACGTTAGCACTTTCAATGCCAGTTGCTTCTCTACTGTCACAGAAACCATCAGAATATATTAGGAATAAAAAAATAAAAGAATGGGTTCTCAGGCAATGGCTTTTGAAAATATAGTGCGGGCGGGCAGTAGTCTTTTTTTTGGTTGTCGAAGCTAGTACATGTATGTAACCAAATTTTGTGGAATATTTAAAGATTTATTTTTTTTAAATGGAAATAAAAACAAATGTGCACAGACTTTATGATAGTGTGGGCACTGCCTGAGAACCAAGACTATTATTTTCTTTAGCCTTACCAAAGAATAATCCCACATCACGCAAGTCAAAATCTTGATTACTGAACACATAGCAAAACAATATTAACTAGGTTGTACTCCTTTCACAACCTATTAACACGATAATGGCACAGCAGCAGTAAGTAATTTGAGACATGAAATGCACGTGTAAAATAAATGAATTTCAGTCACAGTCTCGACCTCTGATTGCTCTACTGTTCTATCCAACACTTGTTCAATGGAATGCACTCATGCCGCATGATTTTTTCAATCTCATGAATATCAACACTTCAACACAGATCAAAACATTCCTAAAAAGCAAATAATACAAACCAGTGTATTTTCAATAAATATAAAGAGAAAATAATAAATTTGTATTAACATAATACTTGCTGTGTTAGGAAATAATGCATGGTGCATTTGGAAACAAATATGAAGGTTCAACAAAGCTCCTCCATCAGCTGAACACCTGACTTCAAGGACTAATACATTAACTAATTGTTTCAAGTGAAACTTAAATATCTTAGCATTACCTAACAACACAGTATCTAGGAATATATATAACTGAAGCTTGGTTTAAAAGATTCTTGAAATTTGAAACTTTCAGTGGCAATCTGGCTTGGAAATAGCACACACTCCCTTGAAACGAAGTCTTAGTTTTCAAGCACCAAGGACACATATATTACAAACATTGGGAAGGCTATTAGTTTTAATTCGATACTAAAGTGCTTGAACTTCAGACACAGTTTTGTGTCATTGAAAAGAACAAGAAATGTGTTAAAAACTCCAAAGACGAAAAAATATTAATTGGATGAACAAGGCACAAAATACGAAAAAAGGAGACTAGTTTCGTTCACATGATGAAATTACATAATGACTTTTGACAATGATTGTTGGCACAATGATTTGCAATAGGAAGTTGTAACTATGGTAACTGTTAGGTGCAACCATGATTGTTACTTTACTGCCCAACAAAGGACGAGGTATTAGTCTATATGATAATGCCCATGGCATATGCAATATTTAAGATATGAGGAAAACGTTTAAAAACCGTTATGAAAGTTATCAGATGTGTTCACACAACAATTGCATGTTTGGGATTTATACACCAGTAGTTGAACAGTTAAGGCTAAAATGGCTGATATTTACAGGTGTTCAGGAAGCATTTATCAGATATTTGAACACAGCTCACTGTCTCTGGAGATGAAGATTAAGACAGTTCAAACATATGGTCCAAACCTTGCAAGTTTAGGACAGAAACAAAAGCTTGTTGTCAGCCATTTCAACGTCTTGATAATTTTCATACCAGTATTACCAGTGATTACTAACTTTTCTGCAACTCTAAAATTTGACATTCCCTGTGGGTCAAAATGAGCCCTGATCCTACCATTGATCAATCTAGTTCCCCATTCGGTTTCGCTTAACCTTAGGCGTCTGTTTCAATATGAATAATGTTCACATTCTATTTTTGTTGGTTCCAAACAAGCCTGAAAATATTCTTTAGTACTGACATTGACTATTAACAACACAAGTTATTAACATGTTAAAGACTCTTAACAGTTATGGTTTAAATAAAATAAAGTTAAGTACCTCTTTAAAAAAAATAAAACATTCGATTCAAACAAATCATCATAAAATGTTCAAAACAAACGCCATAAAACAAGAGTTGAACGGTTGTTGATATGAAAAAGATTTCTACATGAAGTAAGTAGCAAGGGGAATAGTATGAGAGATGCATCACATATATATATGGAGTGAATTGGCAGTTTAGATATTCAGGTAGGAAGGAGGTACACATAGATGTGATATCAGATTGAAAGGAATCATATTTATATTGATATGTTGATATTATTAACACACCATTTAGCAACTCAATATTTGAAGCAGTGCACAGTTGTCAGTGAATGAACTTGTTTACATCACCTTTATGAAACAAATATAAATATTGACTGGATACAAATGATACCTCAACTTCTACTGGTGGACAAAGATTACTCTCACCAAGATTGTTATTCATGATAAATTTGATGATTAGAAGTATATGGCTTCAGTAACTTGTCAATCCTGGGTACACAACAGCTTGTCCCTTCGAAGTGTAATTTGTTATGCTGGTCGGGGTAAATGTGAAAGTCACAAAAGTGACAGTATCAGTGACAGAAATTAACAATATCCTGCGAGTTCTGATGACTTGACATTGTCAGGATTGTCATTATTTTGAACTCCTACCAGGTTCCTTATAAAATGGTTCTTAAAAGCCAAGATGTTTTTTGGCAAATAACCCAAGAATTTACCACTGCATTGTTCAGAACCCCAAATATGCTAGGAAACTGTTAAATATTAAATTAAGGCTTATTAAACTTCCAACAAAGACCAATATAGCAATGGAAGAACTCTTTGAATCGTCATTTAACCATCAAGAAGCATGTTATTTTTTATATTTGATTCCTACGACCTAACTAATCCTTCAATGAAACGATGCATTTATAAAAAATGGGTTCCGCAACCTAATGATGATTTTGACCAGGGCCTGCTTGCACAGATCTTCAGGTGAGCGGCTTCAGCAAAGGGGGCTTTGTGCAAGCAGGCCCAGCCTCTTTGGTTTACAACGAAATCCCTGAACAAGCCAATAAAGGCCTGGAGGCAGTTTTGTGCTGAGAAACCATGAATTATCATCAGAATGAATCTTGAATTTGAACCCATGACAAGACAAGCCTGGCGTGCCTATGGGGCACAACTCTACAGCACCTAGAGTAACTTAGGCTACTGGGTGGGTTTGTTGTTTTACGCCGCACTCAGCAATGTTACAGCTATATGACAGCGGTCTGTAAATAATCAAGTCTGGGCCAGACAGTGAGTGAGTATGGTTTTACGCCGCTTTTAGCAATATTCCAGCAATATCACGGCGGGGGACACCAGAAATGGGCTTCACACATTGTACCCATGTCGGGAATCGAACCCGGGTCTTCGGCGTGACGAGCGGACGCTTTAACCACTGGGCTACCCGACCGCCCCTCTGGGCCAGACAATCCAGTGATTGACATTATAGGCTACTGGGTCCAACATGTCTTACCAAAAAACAGAGGTAAATTATTCAATTGTAAAACATCATATATTTCTTTTAATGTATCACAAGTCATGGTGCCACCCATCATTTGATTTGACTCCAAATAATGCAAGAACCAGTGCCTGCTCCTTGCATACAGCAGTTGGTACAATCAGTAGACACTACCACGTACATGTACCTGAGGAAATACTGGTAATCCCATTCTTCATATGATCTACATTCACATGATTTTGACGAAAAATGGCACATACATTCAATATGAACTGACACTTTCAAAGTGCTGGTAGTTATGACCTGATATAAATAATGTTGCACCAGTGCGACTAATCTACTTCCTTTGGTCAAGCTTGTAAACATTAGCGGTAACAAACAAATCTGATTTAAGTGAGATTGGTGACTGATGGGGTAAAATCATGAAGACATGGACTATAAATTCAAGGTAAAGTTACCGGTATAATATTTGGCAATTTTCACATAAACAAACCACTTTGGCAATTGTTTTACCCACTCACCCCAACAATACAAAATACAGGTGCCAAATAGCTGGCATCAACATACATATACGAACATAAGGCTTAAAAAAATAAAAGAATTGGTTCTCAGGCAATGGCTTTTGAAAATATAGTGCGTGCGGGCAGTGTTTTTTTGTTTTTGGTTGTTCAAGCTAGTATGTAACCAAATTTTGAGGAATATTTAAAGATTTCTTTTGTTGAAAATGGAAAAAAACAACAACGTGCGGACTTTATGATGATGTGGGCAGTGCCTGAGAACCAAGACTATTATTTTTTTAAGCCTAATATAACCATTAACAAACACTGAAAATATGCTGTTGGTAAAAGTGCCTACATCATAATCTGCCCTAAACGTACATCTGTCAGTCCCCTACTACACTGCAATGGTACACAGCAAATATTACAGCCATTATCAGATCCACAGCAAACCTGATCATACAATAATATTCAAAAGAATAGAACACGTATTCTCGTGGCTGAAGGAAAAATCTTCATCAACTTTTATCTGGCTGTTATTCCAACAGGTCTTGCCACTGAGAATTCATTTGATTGTGAACTTTATCAGTTTATAGTTTGATGAAGGATACAAGCTTCTCACTCACAGATGTATGCATCTATTTCTGTAACCATGGTAACTTGCACATTTCTTCCAATCACACATCACAGGTGAATCTACAGCACACCAAACCTGATAGTATTCAATCCTCATTTGGGGTTGATGAAGAAAACAGGACCTATATTGGCATATTTCAAGGCTTGGAATAGACTGGATGCCTTTTCACAGAGGTCATAGAGGTCTGACTAGTCCACGTGAAACATGACTGTTCGCAGGGCATCATCATCACAGATCTCCAGTGTAGCGGTAGCGCCATCGTTAAACCGGAAGGATGAACCCCCATCAACCACCAGACAGGCATCCCACATCCGAGACCGAATTACAACTCTGACAAGGAAGAATGGATGAATGAATAAATATTGCCTTACGCCGTGACAGCTATATTACAGCTATTCGCGGCTGACAAGGAAGAGGATGGCATAAATTCATTCCTGCCAATTGATGTGGTAATTAAGTTATCAAGGCAAAATCTTGATTTGCAGACATAGATTTTTCTAATAACCAAGTTGTGCAATTGTGAGTTGGGTATAACATCATTTTTAACACAATTCCATTTATATCACAGCATGTCAGTTTGATGTGGAAAGAAAGCCTAAAGTGATGCAAGTAATTACCACTTTGGTCAAAACCCATGAGCTGACAAACCTAGAAACATAATCGGGGCGAACAGGGATTCGAACACACGTTCATAGGTTTCTGGTGCATTCAAGGGACGCAACTCTGCACAGCAACTAAGCCACTGGTGCCCTCCTCAATACATTGTCTAACTTGTATAATATATTTAATATACATATATGATGGTGAAATACTCTTTGATGATTAACTTCTCTTTAATATACATACTTGTCAGCAAATCCTCTTGGGTTATTTGTTTTAAATACATCTGAAAGTAGAGAAGAAGCAATGATAAACATGATGAATATAAAACACTACAAGCTTTTTGAGGGTCGCATTCAATGTCTATCACAGCTGGACACGACCATCAAGAAACCCTACACTTACCATGTTTACATTCAGGAAATAGTGCCATACTGTAGTTTCTGCCAAGATGATGCTTACAGTGCAAAGAAATGCATTTTGAGAGTATGTACCAATTGCATAGGTCAAATGAATATCAAAATTTAATATTTCCGCAAAAAGAAGAACATGTATATTGAGCCTGACCACTAACTACACATTAAACCAATATCCCTACATTTTTAACTAAAATGCCAGAGCAATGGCCATAAATAGTTTTTTCATTGAGGCTGCTATGGTGTCCATATTGAAAATCAGATGTACAAATTTGGGTGTCCACCTTGATGTGAACAAACATGTTCAATGGTCAAATTAAGGTAAAATATAAAATATTGCAAAAATGGGGAGTGTTTTGAGCCCAAATACTAACTGCACTTGTAACAATTTCATTACATTTTGAGTACTGGCCATAGACAGGATTTTCAATCTCATTAAAATCTGAACTAAGTTCTCGCTGCCGCTAAACAAAGATCTGAGGACATCCCATTACGGGTCACGTCAGAACGACCTTTTGCGAACTTTGACCGACCCTGAAACGACTAACAAGAAGTCGACATCAGCCAATTTAGAAAGCAGCTTTCTTGGACTTTACGGCACTCATTTCAACCAGGCAACTTCCATTTCAGACTACGCTTGAAAAATATGTTGACACAGTTCTTGATTAAAATTTTGAAAACTGAACAAATGAACATTCCGGAATGTCTAATATATGGCTGAGATTGTAACGCAGTGCTTCCCACGTCCTGTGCAACGCCGAGAGATAATTTTGACTTAATCAGTCGTACAGGCCGTAACTTTTGTTTGGAATACCCAGTGTGAACGTTTTCGGGGTTGCATGATTAGAAAACACATTCCGACTGTCACTTTCATGATCTGGTAAGCAACGATTTGATTGGTTGGATAAAAGGTCGTTCTGACGTGACCTGTAATGGGATGTCCTCAGATCTTTGTTGAGCGATAGATAAGATCTGATTTTAATGAGATTGCAGGTTTTCAATATGGCTGCATTGCCATGTAGGTACAAGCATGTGAAATGTCAGCTTCTTTGGTCAAGTGGTTTCTGAGAAGTTTACAGACTTTGCTACTGCCCGATAGCTAGTTTTGGCCAGGTGTGTTTCTGCACTAACTGTTGCTGTAGCTTTGCAACTGACATCAGTTCTAGAAAATTGAATTAAACTAAAAACATCCCCCGACCTACCGTATTCGACGTAATAAGCGCCCAGGGCACTCTCAAAATTAGAAATAGGGAGCTCTTATTAGGATATTATTTTGAGTTGAAAGATCGTAAATTTCGTGGTTTATGCTGACAGCCTGAAATGTTTATATACGACAGATATATTTTTCCAGGATTTAATTGCCCATAATTAAGGGTGCATATAATACACGAGTGCGTATTATACACAAATGAATAAGTCTTGTGTACATTAATCAATTGGAAGGGATGCTAACTGAGATTGTTCACTAGCCAATATATTTGCAAATATCGCCGTGGGTGCTTATTAGAGCTGGGCGCTTATTACGTCGAATACGGTAAATCTATTTGGACCATGTTACCTGACACACAAATATATTGAGGGGGCTATACAAACACTCTGCTGGTGAGAGAGCAGCAAGATGGAAGTACCGTTTACTACAGGGTCTCTGATGCTGTAAGCCATCCGCGGTTCACTTGGGTCAAAGGTGAGAGAAGAGTTGAATGAGTCCTTGATCTTCTCGAGGAGTGAGCTGTCGTCTACAGGGAACTTGTGTTCGGTGTATTTGTTGGCTAGAGAAACAAACGTACTGTCTCACATCACACATTGTTTATAAGTTTATAGTATGTCTAAAATTGCACATTGTACAAGAGTCAGACAAAACACTCATGATCACATGCTAACCATATTAGTCTAAAATATAGAAATCCTCTCAAGATATTGCTGGAATGGCTACAAGCAGCATAAAACCATATTCATTTACTCATGTAATATATGGATATTCAAATAATATTTGAAATATGCAAAGCCTTGAGAATATCTGAGAATTTTTAAATTTGGAGGTCATCTTACATGTTTGTTTGTTGTTTAACGCCTCAATGAACAATATTGCAGCTATATGACAGCAGTCTGTAAACAATCGAGTCTAGACCAGACAATCAAGTGATTGACATCATGAACATCGATCTATGCATTTTGGATATGATGACATGCATCAACCAAGTAAGCAAGCTTGAACACCTGATCCTGTTAGTCGCCTCTTATGACAAGCGTGGGTTGCTGAAGACAATTTCTAACCCAGGATTGTCATGGGTCTAGAGTTCATCTAGGGACACTGACCTATATCTAGTATCTCCTTGACCCCCTCCACGGGGAGATAGTTTATGTGGAAGAACCAGGAACTCGACCCAGTGCCCGTAGACACTGTGACTCCAGAACTCTTCTGCTTCTCTGAGATTCCCTTGCCCACAGACAGCTCGTAATAAGACACTCTGAAATAGACATGTCAAACATAATCACAAATTATTCTGTGAACAGTCAGTCCGAATATGAACATTGAACAATTTCCCACCATATCATTGTAGCTTGCAGAAAGTGTAACCAATACACTTCACTTAGAAATGCCAGTGTTGAAGACCTCCACACCGAACCTGCCTGAGAGATAGTAGAGAGTTGTTTGTGCTTATCTCTTAACAAGTTCATCTAATAAATGGTTTTAGTCTCCAACCACACAATTTCCATTGTCAATACTTCTGTCTTGTATACACTACATTCCTTTTTTTATCACCTTAAAGCCTAGCGCCAGGCAGGGTAACAACTAGTTTCATCTTTATACATCTTTTGGCATGATGCGGCCCGAGGATCGAGGCACCAACCTATCGCTCTCCGGTGTGACGCTGTATCCATTAAGCCCTGGAGTTGGTTATTTAAGCGGGAGGGAAGCCATCTTCCCGAGGCAAGAGAGTTAACTGGCTATAAAAGTCCAGTTTCCACGCTTGCCGAACTAGGCTGGAATTACTGGGCTCGATCGTAGCGCCACAAGTGGCTATTACCAGTTATGTCCCCTTGCTTTTGTTTCACACAAAATGGTGGCGCCCAGTCAGGACGATCTCATCAATAATCCAGATCTATATTGTGATCAAATGGGTCTTACATCGCGAAATGCATCAAATCACGAGAGCACCTTGATTAAAAACATGAAAAGATTTGGAAAATATCTGCTGACAATGAGTTGGCGGTGTACATGCTTTGCAAATCCTGCAATCAACCGAAACCTGCACGACAGTTTGCGAACCGGATTTCGATTTCGGTGCGCAATTTTGATTGGACTTTGCATAGACTCGTTAGTCCAGCCAAAATGTAACTCCATAATACCAGCCTAGTTTGGCAAGGGTGGAACTGGACTTTTATAGCCAGTTAACTCTCTTGCCTCGGGAAGATGGAGGGAAGCCAGCATCTTCACAAAATACTTCACATCGCTTAATAATGTCATGCATTGCCTCAATATCAGGCAATAGTAGTGTTTGCACACTGTTCATACACAGAGGAGGGTTAATTTGACGTTCATCTCCGTTTCATTAGCTAACCAACCAGACACATATCACTAATACATGACACAGCAGCAGTGTGTACTCATGGCTGATGGAACAACATGGTGTACACAAAACCAGAAAAGTACAACAATGGCAATCTGTGCCTGATGATGCTACAAACATAACATCATTACAATCTATATGTAATCCATCATCAATTTCTTGTTTTTCACCAATGACCAATCAATGCCTAAATTTACGAACTGAAGATTCCTCCTTGGGCCTGTGGTTAAGCCATGATGTTACAAACATCTCAGGCGCTCCAAGGAAGAAAAGGGTCCGGCATTTTGAGAGCTAATGTTTCATAATGTTCAATCTAAGATTGGTTGATCTCCTGAAAAAACATACTGATGTTTTGAAAGCTGAGAAATCATTACGTTTCAACACGGAAAGGATGTGAACATATTGGTATTTACAGACCCACCTTGCTGACAGTTTTTCTGCAATAAACACTTCATTGAGGGCAAGCACTGGCAGAACGCGCTGTGCTGGAATGTTTCTCACAGAACAAATAGGGTGCCGGACTTGTTCGTTCTCTTGAATGTGTTCCGTAAATCGATGTTCAACAAACTGCAGTTGTTGATCATGAAGCTCTATTGCTTCATCGTTGTTATGGCAACCTGACATGGTGATTCTTATTCTATGACGCCATTTCCACCTAAATAAGAAAAGTAAGTAGACGTCATATGTCAGTATCATGATGTTAGCACGTGTGCATATTCTTCATCACAGCAAATAATTAAAAAGAAATATTGTTAATACAATTGTTGTTCAACAAAAAGGAAAGTCAAATATTAAATGTCAAAAAAATTCTTTGAAGAGACAATACACTTAACACATGCTTAACTGGGGTAATTTTCTAATTTTTTCACGATCACTAAAACATACTTCCGATTAAGATATTTTCCTAGCAATTGATGTTGATTACGATGGAGTAACATGATAATAAGTTGCGATACCTGAAATTCCCATCCAGCAATCTCTTCAAAGCAGAATGGAAGTTCTTCCCACAGTAGCCAGTTTTAGGTAGACAAAGATGGCCTTCCGATCTGAACAGGTAGCATAACTATCTCAGCAAAGCATATAAAATGACACACTTTTTCTACAAGTCATTTCTTTTATTCTTGACAGATTTCATGAAACAAAGTGGGCAAGTGAATGTTGTTTTATGCCACAGCCATAATAAAGTGATATCTTATTCTTCGAAGGCTTTCATGATAATGGTTATCAATTCCAATTTCTTGAGCAACTACAACATGTACAACCTCCAGCTCCTGTCCCTCCATCATGAGTTCTATGTGTCAGTAGGATGTTACAAGGTGAATGGACTTCAAGATTGAAGGTCAAGGTGTGTTCACGATCCTGTACACACCGCTGTTGACACATGTGACAAATTCATCGTTACAAGTTCACAAGCTATAGAGACTACAGTTCAGTTGAATACATCTGTGTGGCACTAAGATCGACACTGTGTCAACCTTCGACTCTCAGTATGATAACTCAACGCTGGAATTGGGTCTACCTTCGACTCTCAGTATGATAACTCCACGCTGGAATTGGGTCTACCTTCGACTCTCAGTATGATAACTCAACGCTGGAATTGGGTCTACCTTCGACTCTCAGTATGATAACTCCACGCTGGAATTGGGTCAACCTTCAACTCTCAGTATGATAACTCAACGCTGGAATTGGATCTACCTTCGACTCTCAGTATGATAACTCCACGCTGGAATTGGGTCTACCTTCGACTCTCAGTATGATAACTCAACGCTGGAATTGGGTCAACCTTGGACTCTCAGTATGATAACTCCACGCTGGAATTGGGTCAACCTTCGACTCTCAGTATGATAACTCAACGCTGGAATTGGGTCAACCTTGGACTCTCAGTATGATAACTCAACGCTGGAATTGGGTCAACCTTCGACTCTCAGTATGATAACTCAACGCTGGAATTGGGTCAACCTTCGACACTCAGTATGATAACTCATCGCTGGAATTGGGTCAACCTTCGACTCTCAGTATGATAACTCAACGCTGGAATTGGGTCAACCTTCGACTCTCAGTATGATAACTCATACTCATGTCCCTATCAGAGACAAGGGTCGATTGACAAGTTCTGAGCCTCACATAGAAGCTGATCACCGTATGCTCAAGTTTTGTCCTTTTTTTCAAAGGTCACAGATCCCTGATTGTTTTAGTGACCTGTCAAGGCGAAACAATTTTCTCAATTTACTCAAATTGTAGCGCTTATATTGCACACCCCTAGACAGCAGCCTGTCAATAATTCAGTCTGGACCAGAAAATCAAGTGATCAGTATTGTGAACAAAGATCTACACCATCAGAGTACGATAAAACACAATCAACCAAGTTACTACGCCTGACCTCCAGATCCAATAAGTCGGCTCTTATGACTGGGGAGCAATTCTAACCTGGCACACACCCCCCCCCCCCCCCCCCCCCCCTCAGGGTTACAAGCCACCTGAGATAACAAGCACCACAATGATAACCCGTCTCACCTGTCTGGGTCTGTGTTGATCCCAATGACAGGTTTACTTTTGTCATTCACTTTACTGGCAGCCAACAGGAATGTCCCGTCTCCTCCCGCTGTGAATATGACATCGGCCCAGTCGATCAGCTTCGTATCAAACTGTAGTCGACTAACAATTCTGGTCTCTATGTTAGCTCCTCTGTAAAAAGAATTTCAGAAAGAGTGTGAGTGAATGTTGTTTTACGCAGCAGTCTGCAATATTCAAGCAGTGTTTTGGCAGACTACTAATCTGGTCTGGGTGTTTGACAGAATGATTAATGACGCACAAGCTCATGTCACACATTATGACCACCTGCTCCTCAGTAGTCAGCACTTGGAGAGAGGAAGGTTCACGGGTTGGTGGTTCGATCCCCAGCCACATCATACCATTAAAGATGGTACTTGTTGTTACCCTGTCTGGCCCTCAGCATTAAGGGGATAAAACCAGGATTAGTCAACCCAGAGTCCATATACTGTGTCTGTGTGTGGTATCCCTGTTAAACTGTGGAATAGTATCTCAGTGGGCAAGCACTATAAAACCGGCATTAGTCTGGACTAGTATAAGCAGCCACACACAGACAAGTGCATGCTTGTTGCTATTGAATGCAATAAATCTTTAATGTAATGTTAAACCCCATGTCACCTCGCCTGACGGAGACAACTCTATGACAGCATATAGAATACTGATAGTCTATTCTGATCTGAAGTCACCACAGGAATTTAGAAAGGTAAAACAGGGATTTATTATTGACTTAACTTTCAAATAGGATACATAGAATATTACAAACAATTATAATTATAACTGAAATATTTGCAAGATGGTAGAAATAAAGGTCCATTTAGAATCATAAATGAAAATGTGATATGTTTGTCAACAATAACATGAAATGTCTAATAACTGAATAATACTATGATAAAGAACCATGTTGGATATAACTTTATAATCATGATAATTATGGTCTGTGTAACCAAACACTTACTCTAAATTTTTCTTGATAACTTCCAGTCCTGCTAGATGTGTGTTATGTCGATCCAGAAGTCCTTGATAGTCTGAGTTTTTCGACTCGAGCTAAAATGTTCATAATAATTGAGCATATGTTAAGGCAAACATGGAAAATATTGCTATCAACACAGTTTCTGATAATGGCACTTAACATTATTAACAATGAGTATTAACAATAATGAGTAAATGTTGTATGAATTTGAAAATCTTAATGCATTTATCTGTCTCAAGGCTTTAATGTTTGTTTGTATGTTTGTTGTTTAACGCCCCACTCAGCAATATTCCAGCTATATGACGGCGGTCTGTAAATAATCGAGTCTGGACCAGACAATCCAGTAATTGACATCATGAGCATCGATCCACGCCATTGGGATATGTTGACATGCATTAACCAAGTCAAAGACTATGCTTGTCGAAAGAGGCGACTAACGGGATCAGGTGATCAGGCTCATGGACTTGGTTGATGCATGTCATTGATCCCAATTGCGTGGATCGATGCTCATGATATCAATCACTGGATTTTCATTGATCAAGCTAGTTATCAATCTTCTGTTCATATTCTCTGAAGTGATACAATGTTGTTTTTGACTGCGCTTAGCCGAATACTGGAAATATGTAATGTCAGCAACTGGTCAAGGAAAATGTAGGGAATTAACTCTCGACATTCAAGCATTGTGTAAGCTTGTTTCACAAACTACAGAAATCCTCTAATGAGCATCGGTGCATGTGTCATGCATCCTGACCACTGCCAGGAGAAAATCAGCAGGGCGACCCAATGCATTACACTCGTGATCATTAATGATAATCTACTACTGAGGCCTGTCCCTCGGTATAAGGTCTCTGCATGACACTAACATTAGCATGATTACTGTACTTGTAAACTTAGTTGCTAGCACATGATAGAATTTAGTTACTATTTATTCAAGTCCATTTTGGTCTTTAGGTGTATTTCTAATATCATATCACAAGGTGCAAATCAGCATATCACCTATGAAATAGAAACATGTCAGTTCAACCTGTCAGTTATCACAATTCACATGAATACTTACATATTTCTTCAGTTCCGTCTCTGACAAGCCGCTGCATCGTCTTTTCTCAAACTCATATCTGGTTATCCGTGTCAAGACTGCAGCCTTACGCGGAGTGAAAACGGGTCTGTCATCAGAACCGAGATCAGTGCTCAACGAACGTAAACAGAACAGTCTTGATGCCCACGCCTTCCCGGCTTCTGTCAGTCGCAAAGGCATCCGATGCATGTGGCAAAACAATCTCGTGACATGCAAACACTGAACGTTCATTGTAGAAAATATGCACTGTATTTGTTGAATGATGAAAGACTCTGATAGGCTTCAGTATTAGGGCGTATCATAACAACTTTATCGCTTTTCTACTTGAAGGTCTTGGCAGGTCCCCTGAATGGCGGCCATGATACTATAACACGCAAAGCTATCATTCTTTTGGTATTTTGTAATAACTAAACTCCTGAAATATTAAATTCCTCCGACTATTCATATATTACCTTTTATGATAATCCGAACCAAAAGAAAAATCTGCGGTACGATATATCCGAAACTTGGGCAACGTCAAACCATGAAAAGTATTAGGCTATTTACAACAGCAGTTGTTCCCCTTGCAATCAGCGGCAACTCCAAACAGCGCAATATCTCATGATTTAGTACACGCTAAAAGAATCATAACGTCGTAAGGAGTATGAGTTTATCCAAACGTATTAGTCAAAGATTATTCAGGTTGATATTACCTACTATTTTCGTTTCCACTTATTAAATATTATGAATGAACATGGCTCCTTAGCACACCGCGGAGGCTTTGAGGATTAGCTATTTAAAAGATACACATTAAAAAATTCAACGTGAAACGTGACAAATGTTTTGTTGTGTTTATTTCTTTCCCGTTAAACGTTTTTATTTAATAACTTAAGATGATTATCATTTAAACCAAAATTGTGAAATAAAAGCCGAATTCGTTTAACATACGATACACATACAACAACAGTGTTTCAGTGTTATGCGGGCATAACTTATAAGTTCAGTTGTCAGTCAGTGATAGTAGACTACTGGTGAAGTATTTTATTTGTAGATTCGTAATATTATGGAATGTTTCTTGGTTATTTATTTTATCAATATTTTAGACAATTCTGCTTATCGGGTGGTTTTAAAAATATGGACAAGAAGGGGAGTAAAAATATTTCACAGAGTATAGAAATCCTGATAAAATTACTTGAAATGACGCGTGTGTGTTGTTTGTTTATCAAATGGTAGTGTCGAAAGGCAATGCGCACGTACGTATTGTGTACTTATTAAGGAAATAATTTCATAAGGGAGCATTTCTTAGAACATTTTATTGTCCCCAGCTGTAGCAAACAAACTATTTTTTTTACTGAGAACCATCAAACTATCTATTCATTTTTACTATCAACACAAACATTTTGACTTTTTGGGTATTTCCCATAAAACAAACAAATAATGTTTTTTACCACTTAACAGCTAGACTATTCATTTTGGGGATAATTCTGAACAAACTATTCATTTACCCATGTATATTTAGATATCGTAATTACCGGGGTATTACCATGGATTATATAGGATGCGTACAAAACATCAAATAATAATAATAATAATAAAACAGCAACAAAACAATCCTAATCTATTAGCAGTGAATGTATCGTTCCAATATATTTGTGTAAGTACAAAATAATTATTTGGGAATATATTAGTGATTAATTCAGAGTATATATGTGCATTTACAGTTAGCTGGCCTAATACACACCAACGGCTGATTATCTAACAGAAGCTCGTAAGCTGCCATCTAATTAACGATGGGTGGCTAGGTTACTAGTATCTATAGTCCTTCAGCCACGACAGTAGTGGCGAATCATGTGGAGTTCACACTAGACTGTGTTGCCGGTAGATTACGACCGTTTTGTACGATTCAACATGTTGCCACTTCACGTAGATGACAAACAGTTCCGACCTGGTTGGAAACTAAAAGAATCTATCCTGGGATGGCTTCGGTGAGATTGATATTTATGGACCGTATGCTAAGACGTGGCATTGCTCTCAAGTATCTGTCAAATGATTGAACGAGTATTGCAGGAAGTGGGCCGTTTGAACTCCATTTGTTTTTCTTTTGCAAACTTCATATTTGATTTATTCCTCTTGGATTTCATTTTGCTCTAACTGTTATTGTTTTCAACATGTTCATGGTCAATTACGCTCAATGTTGAATCAGTTTACAGAGTAAACAAACATACTTATGGAAGTGTGAGGGTCCATATGTGTGTCCAGTGTTGGTTGATTGAAGCCAAGTTATGAAACATACTTTTACATAGTGTTTTCTGATATTAATATAAATATTTGTTATGTCAATTTTATAAATAGTTTAACATGTTACTGTTACTTCTGTATTTTTTACACTGTAAAACTTCATACGTTGTTTGTAAACACAATCTTTTCATACCTTGTTTGGTATACTGGTCATGAATTGTCACTCAAGTTTGAAGTTATTACTCCTAGTATATGCTTAATGATTCTTGTTTAATGTTCGCTACCTGAATATCTATTGAATGTCAATGCACATGATGCAGTTTGATGACATTTGATTAATCTACATGATCTATGCATTGGTTTACTGTTAACATGGTTAACATGTGCATCATGTGTTACTTTTAAAACTGAGAAATGTTAGAGAAATTTACTTAGTGAGAAGTGAAAAATTTGTATTATCCTTTAGCATGTTCAGACATATTGAACATGTCAAAGGGAAGACACTGACTGCTGATAATGCCTGAAACTCATTTGATCATTATGATAATTCAGTATTCATGTTTGGGTCCTGTGTTGAAAGTGTAATAGGATAACCCAAGCACACTCCTGAATCTATAGAAATTGTTGGTTTGGCATGACAAACCTAAATCATGTGTCAATCTCTGTGCTGGCTTCTTTCATGTCAATCTGACCATGCTGACAGCTGTCCATGTCAAACATCTTTGAAGTAGTCTACTACTAACTGACTGACTTGACTGATGATTTTCAATATATTCTACCATATTTATTCTGTAATAAGTACATTGGAAATAATACACATTGTTATGAGTAGCCTAGTTGTAAAGCATTTGTTAAGTATGCCAAAGACCTGGTTTCAAGTCTTTGCCTGGGTACAATATACATGTGAAGCAACTTCCTGGTGTTCCCTGCCATCCTATGGTTGGAATGGGAACTAGTCAACTTGTTCACACTCACAGAGAGATTCGTTCACAAATCTTAACTAACCCATTCTTAAAACAATTGTTGACCCTACACAGATTGGCTGACCCTTGCTGTGTGAATCTGTTAACATGCTGTGTGAGTCTCTGTTAACATGCTGTGTTAGTCTCTGTTAACATGCTGTGTGAGTCTCTGTTAACATGCTGTGTGAATCTCTGTTAACATGCTGTGTGAGTCCCTGTGAACATGCTGTGTGAGTCTCTGTTAACATGCTGTGTGAGTCTCTGTGAACATGCTCTGTGAGTCCCTGTGAACATGCTGTGTGAGTCCCTGTGAACATGCTGTGTGAATCTCTGTGAACATGCTCTGTGAATCTCTGTTAACATGCTGTGTGAATCTCTGTGAACATGCTATGTGAGTCCCTGTGAACATGCTGTGTGAGTCTCTGTGAACATGCTGTGTGAGTCTCTGTTAACATGCTGTGTGAGTCCCTGTGAACATGCTGTGTGAGTCTGTTAACATGCTGTGTGAGTCTCTGTGAACATGCTGTGTGAGTCTCTGTGAACATGCTGTGTGAGTCCCTGTGAACATGCTGTGTGAATCTCTGTGAACATGCTCTGTGAATCTCTGTGAACATGCTGTGTGAATCTCTGTTAACATGCTGTGTGAGTCCCTGTGAACATGCTGTGTGAGTCTGTTAACATGCTGTGTGAGTCTCTGTTAACATGCTGTGTGAGTCTCTGTTAACATGCTGTGTGAGTCTCTGTGAACATGCTGTGTGAGTCCCTGTGAACATGCTGTGTGAGTCTCTGTGAACATGCTGTGTGAGTTTCTGTTAACATGCTGTGTGAGTGTCTGTGAACATGCTCTGTGAGTCTCTGTTAACATGCTGTGTGAGTCCCTGTTAACATGCTGTGTGAATCTCTGTGAACATGCTGTGTGAATCTCTGTTAACATGCTGTGTGAGTCCCTGTGAACATGCTGTGTGAGTCTGTTAACATGCTGTGTGAGTCTCTGTTAACATGCTGTGTGAGTCTCTGTTAACATGCTGTGTGAGTCTCTGTTAACATGCTGTGTGAGTCCCTGTGAACATGCTGTGTGAGTCTCTGTGAACATGCTGTGTGAGTCCCTGTGAACATGCTGTGTGAGTCTCTGTTAACATGCTGTGTGAGTCCCTGTTAACATGCTGTGTGAATCTCTGTTAACATGCTGTGTGAGTCTCTGTTAACATGCTGTGTGAGTCTCTGTTAACATGCTGTGTGAGTCCCTGTGAACATGCTGTGTGAGTCTCTGTGAACATGCTATGTGAGTCTCTGTTAACATGCTGTGTGAGTCTCTGTGAACATGCTCTGTGAGTGTCTGTTAACATGCTGTGTGAGTCTCTGTGAACATGCTGTGTGAATGTCTGTTAACATGCTGTGTGAGCCTCTGTGAACATGCTCTGTGAGTTTCTGTTAACATGCTGTGTGAGTCTCTCTTCAAATGTTTTTAATTTGCTTTATTTCGTAAGTTTAGGCCATCAGTCCATAGTTACATTTGTATTACAATGGATGTGATGTACTCAGATGTTATTGTTCTGACAATAATCATGATAATGTACTACGAAGTGAGTGAGTGAGTGAGTATGGTTTTACGCCGCTTTAGCAATATTCCAACAATATCACGGCGGGGGACACCAGAAATGGGCTTCACACATTGTACCCATGTCGGGAATCGAACCCGGGTCTTCGGCGTGACGAGCGAACGCTTTAACCACTAGGCCACCCACTACTACGAAGTGACATCACTTGATACATATAGATAGCTAGGTGTTTAATTAATTTACAGTCAGTTGTAGGCATATTGATATTAAAGTTTTGTTTGGTCGGATATTCACAATATTTCTGTGGCAAGTGATCCACCTGTAACTTGTTATAACCAGGCAAACTAACAAAAAATGATGCTGTGTGAGTCTGTTAACGTGGTGTGTCAGTCTCTGTTAACATGCGTTATTCAACATGAGCAGTACACATGGTACATGTATTTCACTGACTGGAAGCCATCTGCAGTAACACAGCTGTTCAGCTGTTGGGACAGACTGGCATGCGGGAGACACATTGATTGTATTTGAGTCAATACTAATCAAGTTTACTGCAATAAACACCCTTATTTAATGAAACTAATCCATGGGTCATTGCAGACTAGTGGTTATTGTACAATAAATAGACTGTGTGGAAAATAAAGTAGTGTTTTAGTCACAACTAGCAGACGAGTCATGCTGGTGTCAGTGTCTGCATGGTCTAGCCCTGGTTCATATGTAACAGTTTGATACATACCTGTATAATTCAAGCCTGACTTGTGAATCTCAACCCTGAATCATTTGTTTTTAAATTTAAGAGAACGAAGATGGGATATTGTCGGGCAGAAATATATGGGTTAGAGGGTACTGTAAATGTTATTGTTACGCTTTTATAGCCACCTGGGAAATATTAAAGAATCTGTGTTAGTTGGTTGTTGGACAGTTTAGGGTATTATTCAGTCATGGTAATGTAACATATACATAGAGATATCTGGTTGTAAATCAATGTATTGTATCATGGGCCTCGGATCAGGATACAACACCGTATCATTACACCACTACTTACCAGATTGCATGTCGCCATGCCTCAGTGGTTATGGTGGTGAGAATTGTTGCTCATGTTTTCCCTCACCAGTTTGTCTAATCCAAACTCGATTATTGAAACAGCTGCAAACAGGAAAATTGCTGCACTGTTACGATGTTGTATCATTTGTTACCTTATCAGATTTACAGCGTTAGAAATTGGCGCTAGTCCTATAGTCCTTGCCAAACTGCCCAATAGTAAAGGTATCATAAGCACTAGAAGAAATTTGCCCTTTTCAAGGGTTTTGCTATATGTTATCATTATAAGGACAAGTGGACGAAAACTGTTAGTTTCTAACCCTGATTTATGATATGATGAATACAAAATGTTGACATTGAGTTCCCTGTTTCAGGTTGATATTCTCTGAGAAGACGTCTCGTCGATTGTTTGGATTCCTGGTACTTAATCTGTCCTTTGCATTTGTGGAACTTTTTTATGGAGTATGGACAAACAGGTATGGATAATAATTTCTACATGGATGTGTTTCTATCCATTGTCCACCATGGTGCCAATGTTTGAAATAAGTGCCTGTCCTAAAATAGGCCCGTTGCAGGTAGATCTCGTTTCAAATTTGTATGGCCTACAGTAAAGAAAAACACTGACCATGTTCACTCTGTACGGATAATACTTGAAAGAGGAAATGACGAATTCGTATAATGTTTACAACTGCTTCCAACTTCTGATATATAGATATTCCTGAACATTCACCATCCTCTGTTGGTTATGTCACGAAGAGAGAATGGAAAAGTGTGTATTCGGCAAAAATGATACGCAAGAGGATCCTGGTGTAATATTTTCATGAACAGACCCTTTCAAGATCTTTCTTTGACATAAATGATTCAACGCTGACAGGGAGGAAGTGCACAAATACCATCAACTACACCTGTGTCGAAATGAAACAGGCAGTTGGACATGCAGTTCGAGATGTCGTGGGTACAGAACTTGTTGCACGACTGCACGTGGTGAACGAATCAGTCGGAGATACGAAATGACCGTGGGATATTTATGTTGATAGCGGTTACAGCTTTTTGGCTGAAATTGTTTGTAGGCAATAATACATGATCAGAACAACAGAGTGACGTCACAAGAATGATTTATTCTGTTACGATTCCCCCTTATCAATGTTTCTTGTCCAGCAACATGTTACCATGAAAACCAGATTTGCATGTTTGTAACCGAAAACTAAAGTTGATATATTTCTTTGTCTCCTACAGCCTTGGTCTCATCTCGGACTCATTCCACATGTTTTTTGACTGCACAGCTCTTTTGGCTGGTCTCATTGCATCGGTAATCTCACGATGGCGCTCAACAGAGGCATTCTCATATGGGTAACTATTATGCTTTGTGATCAATGATTTAAAATTATCACATATATTTTGGTCAATGTAGAAATTAACCTGGAACTCTATGACATTGAGATTGATAATACACATGTTGTATGAGTCTTCAGCAACCCATGCTGGAGGTGAGTATGCTTGTCGTAAGGGGTGACTAACATGATCCACATTTCCCAAAGCAAGGGAGTTAACTGACTACAAAAGTCCAGTTTCCACCCTTGCTAAACTAGGCTGGAATTATGGAGTTATATTTTGGCTGGACTGACGAGTCAATGCATAGTCCAATCAAAATTGCATAACAGAATCAACATCCAGTTCTTAAAATGCTGTGCAGATTCTGGTCGATTGCAGGATTTGTAAAGCATGTGTACCGTCAACTGAGAGTCAACAGATATTTCGTCCTAGTTTGGCGAGGGTGGAAACTGGACTTTTACAGTCAGCTAACTTCCTTGCTTTGGGAAGATGAACGGGATTAGGTGGTCAGTCTCGCTGACTTTGTTGATGCATGTCATCATTTCCCAATTGCTTGGTTAGATGCTTATGATCAGATGATGTCAATCACTGGATTGTCTGGTCCAGACTCAGTTACATTTAGACCACCGTCATATAGCTGGAATATTGCTGAGTGCAGCGTTAAAAACAAACAACCAACAATACGAGAAATGTTATTGTTGTTATTATGTTTTTTGGGTTTTTTTGGCATGTAATACTATTAATATGTTTAAGCTTGCATGGACTGTTCGAAAAGAGTTGTCATTTTAGGGATAGATGTGTGATTCTGTCATCACTTGTAAACCAGACTTGATTCATGATAACTCATTCCTTCATAGCTCCCAGAAGGCCCACACAGTGTGCTGCATCATTGTAGACCACAGTGATTTCGCTGCAAATGTATATCCCCAACCATTAACCCTTCAACCCCATTACGATACTTGGTTAGAAATGGTCCCCAGCAACCTATAAATGTCATGAGGTGACTAAAAGATTCAAGTGTTTGGGCTCGGTGACTTTGTTGATTACGTGTCACCACACCCCAATATCATAGATAGTTGCTCATAATGTCAGTCACTGTTTGTTCTGGCCAAGACATGATTATTTACAGGCCAACGTCATGTCGCTGGAGTATTGCTGAGTGCAGTATTAAGCAACAAGCTCATTCTTCAGTCCTGTTGTTTCAGATATGTGCGGGCTGAGGTGATGGCTGGCTTTGTGAATGGCCTCTTCCTCCTCTTCATTGCTTTCTTCATCATGTCCGAGGCTGTAGAGGTAGGTTTTCCCCAGCTCTGTAAGGTGTTAAAGATGTTAGGATAAGATTTTTGTCAAAACTTGCCTATGTATTCCAGGGACCCTAATCATAGGTGGAAGAAACAATCATATAAGTCATTTTGGAAATAAAATATATAGTAGCTAATAATCAATGGTCAATTGAATAAAAAGTTATTTAATTTTTTTTAATAATAATCAATGGTCAGATTGGTCAGATGAATTTCAAACTTATTGCTAATATAATCATTCAACAATGATATTCATTCAGAAAACTGGCGTGTTACAAAAATGTTGTATAAGATTGGACTTTGATATAGGTGAGCTTCTGTACCTTTTGTTAGCTGTGGTTTGATGGTGTTTCCTCCTTCTCTCCAGCGTGCTGTGGAGCCACCCGAAGTGAAGCATGAGAGACTGTTCGTTGTATCTGTACTTGGGTTTTTAGTCAACTTAGTTGGTATATTTGCCTTCCAACACGGACACTCTCATGGAGGAGGAGGTAGGTTGTTTACAAATGTCCCTAATGCTGAGGTTAAATTCATGTTATGAGTAGACAGTCCTTCCATGAGCAGGCATTGACATGATTGGAACTATCCACAAGTTTTCAGTAAAAAGGAACCTTATATTTTTCTAGTTAGGTCATTTGATTGGCATTAAATTATGTTTGTTAATACTATTTACATTCTCTTACTATGGCTTAAAATAATAAGAGAATTGGTTTTCAGGCAATGGTTTTCAAAGATATAGTGCAAGCAGGCAGTGTCCTTCTTTTAAAAAAAATGGAAATAATAACAAAACATGTGGCAAACTTTATGACTTTGCGGGCGGTGCCTAAGAACCAGAACTATTATTTTTTTTAGCCTAAGTGTTTTGTGTATGTCATCTGTCACATGATTGGGGTCTCATTTTCAGGTCACGGTCACTCGCACTCGATTGGTGGTCACGGACACAGTCATGGCCTGGGTAAGGATATCCCAACCATTCCTGTTGATAGGTTATCATGGTTATTACTTATTATGTTTGAACTTGTCACTGGCTCAGAAATGTCATATCTAAGTAAATAATAGTCGGTGCCAGAGTTATTGAGTAGGAGGTGTCCCTCAGAACCTGCATTTGTTGTGCGTTGCTGTGCAGTTGCCTCCCTTATCTATGCTGATACTGAGTTTGAGTCCCAGAGTTGTCTCCCTTACCTATATCAACCAATGCTTGTTGTAAGAATCGACTAGCAGATTTGGGTGGTCAGGTTCTTTGACTTAGTTGATGCATGTCATCATATCCCAAATACGTAGATCAATACTCATGATGTCAATCACTGGATTGTCTGGTCCAGACTTGATTATTAAGAGACTGCTATCATGTAGCTGTTGCTGTGTACAGCTTTAAGCAGCAAATAAAGAAATGACATGCCATGATACAGCTAAAGGACTGTACAAAGTTGATGTTAAACCCAACTCACTCACTAACTCACTAGGTGAGAACCTGTATTTAAGGTTGGTTATTTCTTTTCAAGGTTTGCAAGAGAAGGAGGAGGATCATGGTCACAGTCACAAAGGTCATGGTCACAGTCATGAAGGTCATGGCCACAGTCACGAAAGTCATGGCCACAGTCATGACGACCATGGCCATAGCCATGGGGATAAAGGTGATGAAGGACATGGCCACAACCATGCAGGAACCAAGCCTCAATCTTCCCAAAGTCAGATCATGGAGGGTATGTACATCAGGGTTAGAAACGCCTTGCTTTAGAGAGCCTTAGGCACGGTTGTACAGAGATGCAAACCATTACGATATTGGTGTAATAGTTATGATTTTGAGCCTACAGTTACTCTATTACGCTTGTCTTTCCTAAAATTTTGATTTTTGTGATTTCTTTTTATGGATTATATTACTTCAGAACTCAAATGGGGCGGTGGGGCACCCTAGTGGTTAAATTGTTTGCCCGTCACGCCGAAGACTCGGGTTCGGTTCCCGACATGGGTACAATGTGTGAAGCCCATTTCTGGTGCGATATTGCTGGAATATTGCTAAAAGCGGCGTAAAACCACACTCACTCACTCACTCACTCACTCAGAACTAGAAACACCACATTGTCTTTCTGAAAGTTAATTAGTGTCTCAGCATCATATGATGAGGCTTGGACCACATGTTTCACTTCCATCTAGGCCTGCCGAAAATATGGAGTCGCAAACCCATACAGAAGATTTTCAAAGGTGTTAACATTAGTTTTTTCACATGAAATTACCCCACTGATTAAGCTTCAATTCGGTTGGCATCAATTTGGTCTAGTGGTTGAGCGTCCGCCCGGAGAGCGGAAGGTCTGGGGTTCGATCCCCGGCCGCGTCATACGAAAAGACGTTCAAAGATGGTACTTGTTGTTACCATGTCTGGCGCTCGGCATTAAGGGGTTAAAACAAGGACTGGTCGGCTCGGAGTCAGTATACTGTGTCTGAGTGGTAATCACGTGAAACTGCGGCATGGTATCTCAGTGGGCTAGCACTATAACTCGGCATCAGTCCAGTCTAGTACAAGCAGCCATACACACACACACGTGCATGCACGTCGCTATATAAGTGCAATAATCTTGGATGCGCCGTTGAACCCAATTTCACCTCACCTCACCTCTGGTATATAATCGTTAATGCATGTTAAGGTAAGTAACAAAAATACCTTCACATTGCAATAAATCTACAGTGTACTTAAAAGCAACTAAACAACATAAACATGCTTAATGGTTGAAACTATTATAAGCCATGAGATTTCAAAGTTGACAAATCTCAATAAAAAGAGCAAACTTTCGAAGTTACTAATCCATTCTGTTGATGACAGACAATTTAAAGAAAGTTGTGGAACTACTCTTATTCACTTCTGCTGTAAGCAATACGCAATCTGTCATTCAATGGGAATTTATATATAAGTAAATTGATATATATATAACACCCTATCTTTGTTTTCACTTTTGTGTCATGCATGGCTTCATTTTGGCGATAGACTAAATATATGCTGATACTTGACAGTTAAATGGGAATTTATATATAAATAGTTTTATATATAGGCTAATGTACTGTTGTTTGTTTCAGGTGTGTTTTTGCATATATTAGCTGACACATTAGGCAGTGTTGGAGTTATAATCTCGTCTGCGTTGATACACTTCTTCGGCTGGATGGTAGCAGACCCTATTTGTTCCATGTTCATCGCTATCCTCATTGGAATCAGGTAACCATCCATACAGACCTGGATCGAAGTATTGATGATGTCTTGGCACAAGCTGAAAGAACAAAATCAATAGGGATTAGTTTGTCTTTGTGACCTTAGACCATTATAGACCAGCAAACTTTGTGATGAGACTTTAATAAAAATGAAACCAAGAATGAACTGTACTTGTCGGGGACTGGTCATTTATTATAGGGGGGGTCATGAAAAAACGACACAGTAAAGAAGGGGGGTTGCCAAAAGTTACCTAAACTATCGGGCTGGGTGGACATGAAAACATGGCAATATTTGTTCAAATAAAAAAATTCTGAATTTGAACATTATTTAGAGACTGGTCATTTATTATTAGGTTGGGTGGGTGGTGGAAGGGTGTGTGTGTAATGAAAACAGCATTACATGTATTTGTGGTGGGGGGGGGGGGGGGGGGGGGGGGGGGGCTTAAAATATGTTACATAAGATGGGGGAAGGTCAGCAAAAATGATACAGCCCAAAGACCCTTCTCCTCCTCCTCCTCCCATTTTAAAAGACTGTGATAATTTAGTTGTGTGGGAATTATTATTACCTGATATTTGCAAGTATACAGATATGGCCAGGTGGGCTTAAAAGGTCTTCATTCACATGCCATTGCCTTATAATGTGACATTTCTGATTCCTCTGTTTTCAGTGTGTTGCCTCTACTCCGAGATTCAATAGGTGTTTTAATGCAGCGCACACCACGGCAATTGGACCATGTTCTGCCAGGCTGCTATAACAGGGTGAGTGGACATCGATCAGGGTTAAACAATCATCTTGTCATTGCCCTTATGCTATAGGGGGTACAGGTGGCCCAGTTGTCCAAGGTACCACAATTCACTGTGCAGAGTTCCGTCCCTTAGGCATGTTAGGTATGACAGGAGCCTATTATTGTTGGTTTGAATCACAGATTTGCCCTGATTATGTTTCTAGGTTTGTCACCACCATACTCATGCCTGTGGGTTTTATCCCAGTTGTAATAATCTAAGGCATCCCTTCAGGCTTTCCTCCCACATGAGCTAGTCTGTCATATTGTAACAGAAATACTGCTAAAAAATAAGCATTGGGGCGGTTGGGTAGCCTGTGGTTAAAGCGTTCACTTGTCACCCCGAAGGCCCTGGGTTTGATTCCCCACATTGGTACAATGTGTACACCCCATTTCTGGTTTCCACTGTTGTAATAATGCTGGAATATTACTAATAGGGGCGTAAAACCAAACTCACTCACTCAAATCAGCATTAAACAAAAGCAAGTCGTCCCTTTCCAATTTCCTTTTTTAAGGTATCTCGACATTTGATTGGTGGGAAAAATGTTCACGAAAATCAAGGGTGGGTAATTTGCGATTGCAAGAACCACAGGAATGGATCCAGGGTTTGTGTGAGTTTACCGAAATGCTGGCCCTGGAGATAGAGAGGATGGGCAGTATATAGAAACAGACAAAATGTCAATTATAAACCTGATGCACGACAACATATATAACCATAGCAGATTTCTGATATGGTGCATGATGTTACCTTTTGTAAAGTAGAAACATCTTTTGTTTTTACCTGAAATCATCAAATAGTGATCAGGTCGGTTGGTCAGGTCAAATGTTTGAGTTAACTCATTAAGCTCAAAGGACTGTCCAGCCCCAGATACAGTAAGTAGTTAACAGTGTGAATGAAGAAGACATTGTGTCATTGACCGTTAAGTAATGAGATGCATGTATGTAGATGTGTGTGAATGTGTATAACCGTGTTGTGTTGTGTTGTGTTGTGTAGGTGAGTCAGCTGGAGGGGGTGTACAGTCTACAGGAGCCTCACTTCTGGACCCTCTGCACCGACGTCTATATTGGCACCGTCAAACTGGAGGTTGCTACAAATGCTGATGCCAAATATATCCTAAGTCAGACGCACAATATATTTACACAGGTAAGTCACACCATATGCTATTTCCATGCTCTCACTTTTCCACCCACCCACCCACCCACTCACTCACTCACTCACTCACTCACTCACTCACTCACTCACTCACTCACTCACTCACTCACTCACTCAGGCCTAAATTGCAACCCTTAGTTGTTTGTATGAGGGAAACTTCCTGAGGGAAAATTATTGTATATAAATGATTGTGACTTGATGTTGACGTTGTGAAATAACACACAAATTTTGACTTTTCAGATTGGTGTGCGGCAATTATATGTACAGATTGACTATGCTCCAATGTGAAGAGACAGACCAGTTATACTGGACCAATGAAGGGAAGCTTCTTCAAGAGGATGGTGCTAGTTACCACACAGCTAATCTGACTCAAATATTATTTGGCAAGCCTCTGCTGGCTAACAGCTTTGGTGTTGTATAATTATCAGTGAAGCTGTTTGCCATGTCATATTTTGGGGCTGCTTCTGTTTGCTTGTGAGCATGACTTGTGAGACTGAGTGTGAGTGTGTGGTTTCGTGTACGTGTCTAATGTGTCGACCATGTAGGTTCGAGCATCTGTGGCGTACTGTCGCGTAACATGAATGTTCTCTGATCTATTTGTTTTTAATGCACATGAACAGTCATTCTCTTTTTGTTTTTATTTCTGTTGGCTATTAATTGTTTTAGATTCCTAAAAGTGTATTGAGCCAAAACATATTTTGTCTCTCATTGTCATCAGTCAAAAGTAGTGGCCCTGTTCAGTGATGACGCCTCAAGCAATATTCACTCACTCACTCACTCACCTGCTCTCGTTTACCTCTTGACACTAGCCCCAGATGTATTGGAACTTTTGTTAATAAATTGATTGAGAGGAACAAACTTTTTCAGATTATTTGCATACAAATTCATTAAATATGTTAATTGCATACATATTAAATTCAGAATGAGATGGTTGTCGTAAGAGGCGACTAACGGGATCGGGTGGTCAGGCTTGCTGACCTGGTTGATGCATGTCATTGTATCCCAATTGCGTGGATTAATGCTCATGATGTCAATCACTGGATTGTCTTGTCCAGACTCGATTATTAATATTTACAGACTGCCGTCATATGGCTGGAATATTGCTGAGTGTGGCGTTAAACAACAAACAAACAAACAAACAAACAAAACAAACAGTGAGATGGTATTCTTTCTTTTAACTGTAATCATGTATATTCTATCAAATTTCTCTGTTCTCATTCAGGGAAGGAAAGCTGTGGTTTATGATTGTATTGTGGCTGTGATTGAGTGAAATATTGCTTAGCTCTGTATTCATAGCACTTCATCATGTTCATGGTGATTACATCGTTAAGACATTAAAATATTGCAATTTGGCAATGATTAAGACAGGAATTGTCTGTTGTGTGTGATAAGATTGAAGAATGAATATGTGGGACTTACCATATTTCATCAATTAAACGTCTGGCCTCGATTGTACGTTGGGTAAGTTTTATGTATGGAATGCTCCCCATTATTATCTTTGCAACTGTCCAGCCCCAGATACAGTAAGAGTGTCTGAAAGAAATATAGGCCCGGGCGTTTAATGGAGGAAATATGGTATACAGAAACCCTACTGCTTCTAGTAGTGTCAGCTATTATGACCAGCTTTCTCTAAGGCCAATGATGTACATATTTTGCAGACTCAGCTACGCCGGGATGATGATTATGAGTGTGAATTGTGTGGGTATAATTTCATCATTCCGAGTGACATATTTAATGTGCTTCCATACAAGCACCTCATCCAGTGAAAACTCATGGTAATGAACTCATTACTTGTTGAATCATTGTAGGTTCCTGTTGTAAAATGTTCAGTTAGCTTTGATAAATATAGCCCAAGATTATGTGTCATGAAATTTGGAAAATATGAAATTGATATATTCTAATAAATGTTCTTTTGTCAGGCTGTTGCAAAAGAAAGTCAATCAAGGTATGACAAAGTCTGTATAGAGGAAATATCTTGATTTAAGTCCGCTGGCCATCTGTTTGATATGAACAGTATTAACTTAGAGATGTCAAGATGGGACCATGCCTGATCATCAGGAAATATGTATATGATAGGCCTGTCATATTTTTCTTAACAATAAATGTTTAATGCACATAAAATCAGTGGTTAGGGATGGTGCAATTTGTTGGATGACTTGGAAATATTTGTATAGAGGTTTCTACACATGGAAACAATCAGTGATGTTAGGATTGAAAATTTGGTAAACAAAATGATATTATCGCTAAATCAAGTGAGTGAATGTTGTTTTACGCAGTAGTAGGGTTGGGTTGGGTGGGTCTTGAGTAGGACCCGGGTACCCACAGGACTACCCGGTCCCGTGGTTAGTCACATGATATATTGTTTAATGACGAAAACTTATTGTAGCTCAGTGGTTACACTACAAGTCACTAATGTTCACATTTCTTTCTGATGATGCAGACAATCCTTTTGACTTGTAAATGTTTGAGTAAAGATAAAGCTTCAGTAAACATCAGTGAACGCGTGATCTGATTGTTTGATACATGTATCTAAATAGTTTTAGCCAGGGCTGCGGTAAAACTATTACCAATCAGATGTTTTGTTCTCTACTCATGAGACTTGCAGTGGGTACCCGGGTAGGGTCGGGAAATAGAGGGGTCAGGTACCCGGGTAGTAAATTTGGACTTGTCCCAGCCCTACACAGCGGTACAGCTACATCATGACAGCCTGTAGTTTTGTCAACCAGACAAAAAAATACCAGTTGGGGTTCAGGGTTAGTATAGGTCCCTTGCTTTCTATGCTAGTGGCAAAGGCGACCAAGCGGATGGGGTGGTCAGGCTCGGTGACCTGGTTGATAGCATTTGTTCGTACCCTGACGGTATTGATCGCTGCTCACAATATCGATCACTGAACTTTCTGTTCAGGCTTGATTTTTTGCAGGCCGCCATCACATAGCTGGAATATTGCTGAGTGTGGCGTTAAATAACAAACATGCTCAAAGAGCCACTCAAACCTGTGGTTGATAGCACGAGCAATGATCTATGCTGTCAGGTCAAGATGACCACTATCATCCAGGCCACCCTGTAAACCCAAGATCCCCTGGACGGTCAACTCCTATGACAAGCTATGGGAACGTGAATCTGCCCTTAAGTCATGCCTCGATTATCCAGCAATTCATTCTGTGATTCAACTACATAATGGAATGGAGGTATAATAATAAGCTGGATAATGGGGGTTGCCGGAATTCCCACAAGGACTTTGCAAGAGTGTTGATGATGATAGATTCCCGCATGGAACAGCTGACTGGTCAGATCTGAGTGAAATATACATGACATGTTTGATGTACTTAACACTTGTTATCCAAGCCCCACCAGTGATCATTGTCACCCATCATGCATTGCCAAATACCAAATAGGATGTATTTTGCATCTTGCGCCCAAATAATATTGTGAGGATGTTTTTTGAAAACATGTTAGTTATAGGAAGATAGAAGGAATGTCATGGAAGGAGCTATTTTATCAGTCCCTTTAGGATTCAAGAATAAAGTTCCATTTCTTTTTCCCCTTTTATTTAAACAAATACATGTAAAGTTGGTGGCAGTGGAAAATTATGTAAGTGTGATCATTGTACTGGCAGTAATAGATATGTTGCTTGTAGATCGCATAGATAGCTTGTTTGCTAGCGGTTCAGGTTGGTGGTTTGTATTCTATATTGCACAGTAGGTTGCAGTAAGTTGCAGTAGGTTGCAGTTTTTATACTTACCAGCACTTAGTAACATACAATGCAATTTTTTTAAATGAGTATATTTCTTCGAATACCCTACCTCTATTACACCATAGCCTTAAATTCCTGTGTAGGCCGGAAATCACACGATAAAATCTTATCAATGTTCATCTGATGGCCTATTCACTGCCAACATATCTAATAGTTTTGAGGAAAACCCTATCCTTTGCAGGAAGTGCAACTGCACATGCACAAGGTGGGAAAGCATCACTTCTTTCCTGTGTGTGTCAACACTAGAATTAAGATAACAACTACAACATGAGCTATTTGTGTTCTGGCAGGAAGTAGTTCTAACAGTCATCCAAGTCTGAAGAAGATGAGGCCAATAGCAGTGTTTTATGTGTATGTTTTGTTTTGCGAATCATGTTTTGGATTTAGATAGGGTCACATGATATTACTAAGTATTGTCAGATTGGTTTAACCCTTGCCAGTAGACTTCATGAACCAAGTAAGGAGAGAAATAAGAGTTTCTCAGTGACTAGTAACAATGACAAATCCCTCAAGGACACAACAATATATATTCTTTTTTTCCCCTAAAGATTTAGTTGTGAGTTTTCTGATCGTAGTCAAGAAATACTGTAAGGTAATGAAGCTCCACCCTGCCAAACAGTTGCAGGTGGGAGACACAATCAACACTACTGAAGCTCAGGAGAAAGTAACAATATGTAAACTGAGTAATATGTAATCATTGGTTTCAGTTCATGAGATATTACCATGTAGCTTGAGATTAATGTAGTTTTTTAAACTCTGATGCAGTTGTTGAAAGAAAGGAATTTGTCATTGTTATGAAAATGGGAGTGAAATATTGTTCTCCCCATTATTAGCTTGTAACGAGATTTGAAGAACTAATAATCAACTTGTGGCTTGAAGTATATTACTGAATGTGTAGTTAGATGTGTCATCTTATTAACCTGGAAGCAAGGTGTTTAATGTGCAAAATATGTACAATGATTAAATAGTGCAATATTACTGCTGCCATTCATTGGATAATGACCAGAACAGGCAGAGTATCACAGACCACTAACATGCATGCTTTGGTATTAGATGTCATAGGTTGACAATAGTTACACTGTGGTATCTTGTCCATTTGTCATGGACCCTGTGCAGATATAGATTGCTGCCTTAGTTGTAGAGCAAAAGGTTTCTAAACTGAGCAAAAAAAGTTAGGGATCATGAATATTTTTTTAGATATTTTCATTAAATTGTGTGCAGTTTTCACTACAAAAAGATTGCCCAGTGATATTCATGATCCCTAAGTTTTTTGTTCAGTGTTTGTCACTAGTCACGATGTGGAGATGAAACAATCAATCAGCAAAGTGCTTTTGTGTGTCTCCGAGATGAGAATATTTACTGAAGATTCTTACCATGCACATACAGTATACATATATAGTGTTCTGAAAGGTTCTTTGCAACAAGATCATTGCTTTTATTATGTTTGTATTTAATGACAGTATTCTCTAAGCTGGTCGATTCATTCAAAAAGGAAAATTTGATAAAAGTTAAAACACATTTATCATTTCAACTCTTCATCCTAACTTCCATAAATTTAACATTTTGATGTCATCGCTAAACTCTTAACATTGTTACTATTTTAGCAACACATTTGTATTATGAAAGAAATGTATGGTTAACTGTAATTCCGCTTGTCCTACTGAAATAATTTTTTTATTGAACATTTCAACTCCATATAATATTTTCATTTTGATTTTGGCGACAATATCCTGCGTTTCCTCAAACATTTTTCAACAATAGATATCTAATTTGTTGGAAAAAGGTCTGAAACATTTTACAATATTTCACTGATTTGTGTACGTTGATACAATGATATGCCATCGGCCAAAACATCGGTGTGCAAATAAGACCAGTAACTTGTGCAGTTTATGCTGCTAGAAATCTGTTGAACTTACAATTATTGTTTTGTACATGATATTTACATTTCAGTTGAAAACTAGTCTCTCTTTTTTTAGTTTTGTAATATAATGTATAATAGTATATTGGTTATGTTGTACATTTTAATTTTATGTTTCAATATTGTTATTGTTGTTATGTAGAACTATGTTTATGCACAGTAAGATACATTGGCTTAAGAAAAATGCTCTTGCCAAGTTATTTCTGTCACAAACTCTTAACAAATCTGTCCTATAGTCCTGTTGCACACTATAAAGAAGACCATTGTGTTAGCCATAAATATTGCAAAGATATTTTCTTCAACATATTTTTGTACCTATATCAAGAGGTTATTTTAAGGAATTAACCTAAAGTCAGGCCTATTGACATTTATTTATTATTTTGACTATATTGACCTACAAAATCAAGAGAGACAAAAACAATTCTATTTAAGACTGTTGGATGTTCATTGAAAGGCCTGGATTGAAGCTCACAGTATTGCTCAACATCAGTTGTAAGGGAAATACTACACTGATCAAACTATCAGTGTCACCTGCATTGCATTTCAGTGTTACGTTTTTAGCATATCGAATACTCATTTCAAATGTTGGATGGTAATGTGACATGTACAAGGACAATGTGAGAGCGGGCATTCGTAATACTCACAAGTGACTTTCCAAATTATTTCTTTTTCCAACAAATTAACAGATTAACTAAAAACTATAGAAATGTAAAGAGATTCTAGTATTGGCTGGGTGGTCAGATGACATCTTCCGTTGACGACATTTAGGGTCAGAATTTGTTCTGAATTATGAGTTTTGAGTTATCCTGTGGTAATTGTTACCGGAGACTATCTTCCATACACCTGATCGTCATATTGTTGTGAGAGTATTTATGCCGTTGTATGCTGTTTTTGGTGAAGGACTTGTTTTGTGAGGAGTGAATGAAATGATGATGAAAGTACATACATGCATGAATACCTGAACTGGGGAAAGGAATAAAATCTTTTGAAGAAGTTGTAGTGTTCTTTAATTCCTTCATATTTATTGGCCCATGAAGATCCAGGGTAGCAACCCATGCTTGCTGTAAAAGGCAACTATGCTTGGCGTAAGAAGCGACTCACAGGATCGGGTGGTCAGGCTCGCTGACTTGGTTGATGCATGTCATCAATCCCAATTGCGTGGATATTAATCACTGGATTGTCTGGTCAAGACTTGATTATTTCCAGACAGCCGTCATATAGCTAGAATATTGCTGAGTATGGCGTTAAAAACCAACCAACCAACCAAAATCATATTGATTGTTTTGTGGAGTACGAGAGCATGAGTGAATTGGGTCCCAGTTATCACAGCATGTCACCTCAATATGAAACGTAAATTCAAAGCCTGAAGTGATGCAGGTCTCACATGATTCAAGCTTTGGTGAAAACCCGAACACGGTGGAAACATCGGGATGAACTGGGATTCGAACGGGGTTTCTTGTGTGCCCATGGGCCGCAACTCTGCACAGTGAATTGCTTCCCCTTAGACGACTGAGCCACACATGCCCTCACAGACGCAGGAATGTTAGTGGGGGATGATGTGACGTGTAAATGTTCCCTACACTGAAGTGATGAAGGTCCTGCCATCAATACACCCTGGTAGGGCTGGGACGTGTAACCCGGTTACTCGTGGTTAGTCACATGATGTATTGTTTGAGACAAAATGCATGACAGGTCACAAATGATCACATTTCTGACATATAATTTTGAATAAAGATAATACTTCAGTCAACTTCAGTTATGCATGACCAGATCGTTTTATACATGTATCTAAATACTTTTTGCCAGGGCTCTGGTCAAACAATTCCCTATAGGACATATTTACCAATCTCTTGACACCTACAGCGGGTACCAAGGTAGGGTTGGGTACCCGGGTTGTACATCTGGACTCGTCCCAGCCCTACACCCTTGGTTTGTAAGAACTATGTTCCTTCATCACTGATGCATTGTGGTGCAGTTGCTATTTTTAACCAATGAACCAAACAACGGCCTGGTTCCTTGAGAGCATTCAGTCTACGCTGCACAAACATGTCTTGCTTGACACATTGCTTCAATACCAGGCTATGTTATCACAAAGTTTGGGCACTGAGTTGGGCTCATTTGACTTCTGTGAATTATACAAGACCTCAGTTCATTAGCTGACTAAAAAAAACCAATACAAGTCCAAGACGTATTTTGCGGTAAAAAATACCAACATTCTCCAGCTTTAATTACATAATTCCCACAAGAACATTAAAAAGTGAGAATTATTTATTTCAAATTTTGTTTTATTGTAGGATTTATATTATTTTGTTTGAATCCAATGTTAAATGTTTAGGCATCATTCGAGAGCACAGTTTTATGGAAAAGCTTGAAAATTAGTGTGTTGAATGAAAAAAAAGGCAAAATCCGCGATTTTTCTGCAACTCGTGGTTAGTTATAGTTTCTGCAAATATTCACGGAATCACAGAATTCATCTGGGACAGCAATACACTGCAAAGCAGCCAATGTATAATACATGGGTGATGGCGAAATCCATGAAGTATTGACAGTGGAGAACAGCTTTCTACATTGATTCCGTCACTGCTTGCGTGGGTTAGTCAGTACACACTGCTGTTCCCTATAGCCTGGTGAACTGATGCATGAGTGTACAACAGACTGTTAAGCCCTTCTTATGTTTTATTTCGTCTTCCAGTGGGTATCATAAATAAAGCAAGTACACACCATATCTAAAGGTAACATTCGTGCAGTGCACACCAAGTATGTACACGTTACTATACACTACCTGTAATACAGTATAACCTGAAAACTATAACTATACTGATGGAAGAAAAAAAGGGAACAGTAAAGCTACAGAAAGTATACAGCTATATAAACCGGTATATGTACATTCATATTAACAAAATGACATCAAGCATGGTCATCTTCAGGTACAGGTTGTCATGGCAACAAATGCTTCCTGTGGCTAAGTTCCTTTATTTATTTCCATCAGTATATGTCCATAACTATTAAGGCTTTTCATCTATATTCCATAACTAACTTTATCTATACTTAGAATGGCAAGACAAGAAATTGAGATTTCATTAGCTATATTACATGTAATGCAAGTGATTAGTGCAAAAATACACTAATATAATACTCCAGTGATTACCCCGCGGTTCAACTGAATCCGCTATCGTGAAGGGCGTTGTCGCCACAGTTATATCATTGTGCCCACACCCAAACACATCTTATTCATCTTGTATTACATCTATGTACTTTGTGATTTCATTAACAATAACAGTATAATAATCAAGAGTCCAAACAATGATTTGTGTATGACTTAAATTGTCATCACCCTCTTTGAAAGAACTGAAAAAAACCAAAATACTGCTGGAGGATAGAAGGTAAACAAAAATAAAAAAATAAAATAAACAATAACATCATGAAGTCATTGAAAGGCATTTAGAAGTGATACAAAAAGGAAGAGAATTTATGGATGTCAACTTCTTTATTATGAGGAACACCACGTTTCTGAGTACCAGTATATACTTACTCCATCTTCTGGTGAATGATAATGAAGAAGTAAGCATATACTCCGAAACGTTGTGTCCGTCATAAGAAAGAAGTTGACATCCATAAATTCTCTTCCTTAATAACATCATGGTTATTGTGTCAATACAAGCAATGTAATGTTCACCTGAAGTAATAGTGAACAGAGAATTATGTAGACTTCGACCTGTTGGAGCACAGAATAAAAGCCCTCGTATAATAAATAGTTGCACCATAATGAAGATATATATTCCTCCCAGATATATCGACATTTTCTATATCATTAACAAACTTTGGGCTTAAAAATTGATTTTGTAAGTCCCAATGTATGCAAGTGAGTGAGTGAGTTGGGTTTAACGCCGCTTTTAACAGTATTCCAGTTATATCACGGCGTGTTAGCTTAATGTGGGAGGAAAGCCCGAAGTGACGTTTACCACTTCAGTGAAACCAAGGAGCACAGGTATGGTGCTGAAAAACCTAGAAACATAATCGGGGCGAACTGGTGATTCGAACCCACAATCATAGGTTTCTGGCGTGCCCAAGGGACGCAACTCTGCACAGCGAATCGCGGCCCCTTTGACGACTGGGACACCCGTGCCCCCCAATGTATGCTAGAGTTCACCAATCCTGATATACACATTGAACTAAAATGCCAGTTACCATGATCCATTGGCATTAATGGTCCCTTTCATCAACCAATGACCAAGTCCTATATCATAACACAGGCTAAGATTGTTTTGTGCAAGCAAGTCCAGAAATATTGGTAACATCTTGTGAGTGTCCACTGGTGAATATAAGAAATAACTGAAATGTAAAGGAATGATGTGCTTAGGGCGATAAATATATGGGACATCCTCACTGGATGAAGATGACACATGACCTTCCTCCTCTTTGAAACATCCCATGCTCCTAAGACGAGGTGGTGCAGGACATGATATGATCTGAATCGTGATACCTGGCCCACAATACCATGTGTCATTAGTGATTGAGTTGGGTTTAATGCCGTGTTCCAGTTATATCACAGCGTGTCAGTTTAAAGCAGGAGTAAAGCCCGAAGTGATGCAGGTCTTAGACGTTTAACACTTTGATGAAACCCACAAGCCTAGGTTTCTGGCTTGCTTAAAGGACGTAACTATCCACAGCAAACTGCGGCGCCTTAGACGACTGGGCCATCCGTGTGTGTCATGAAACACTACACACAGTAAATAACACACTCGCACAGTGTCACCTTGATCACGACATGCAGGATGCGTAAGTGAACATATTGACCGTAATCTTTAACTTATTCCTTCAAGGCTAATGAATATATTCCATTCACAATATGAACTTTCAAATCTCAAAATGCATGTTTTCTATTTGATAATGGAAGAAGACTTCCTGAATACATCATATATCACTCTTACAAGATATCAGATGACATACAAAATAAAATTGCAAATATAATGTTAGTGAAAAATAGATTAATTTGTATATATTGCAACAAAAATGCATCTACATAATTAGATAATACTATGACAATAAATTTAAGTAAATGAGAAATAATTTGATTTCATTACGATAAGCTAAAAACAATGTTCATAAAATATTCTGTTACAAAATATATCATATTCATTTGTTCCATCCTTTTAAGTACAATTAAAGTCTAGATCCCAGCGAAACATTTGGTGAAGAGAATGGCCGTCTTGTATGCAGCAAGCCAAGCAGGTTGTAATGCCCAATCTGTGTTTGGTTTTGGTTTGATCACATGCATTTTAGGGTTAAAACTAGAAAAGATATTAGTAAGTGGCTTGAAATGCACTTTGAGAACCAGTCCATGGTGTTCACCTGCAGCTGCGACTGCTAAGATCAGTGAACAGTTCAACCCGATACACCACACCTGATGGTCCTGTCACTCTGAGCAAAAGCTACATTAAAGTTGTCATCCATCATATTCCTTGTCTTTGTTAACAGATTAAGTTGTTATCCATCATATTCCTTGTCCTTGCTAACAGATTAAGTTGTTATCCATCATATTCCTTGTCATTGCTAACAGATTACGTTATTATCCATCATATTCCTTGTCATTGCTAACAGATTAAGTTATTATCCATCATATTCCTTGTCATTGCTTTACAGATTAAGTTGTTATCCATAATATTCCTTGTCATTGCTAACAGATTAAGTTATTATCCATCATATTCCTTGTCATTGCTAACAGATTAAGTTTTTATCCATAATATTCCTTGTCATTGCTAACAGATTAAGTTATTATCCATAATATTCCTTGTCATTGCTTAACAGATTAAGTTTTTATCCATAATATTCCTTGTCATTGCTAACAGATTAAGTTATTATCCATAATATTCCTTGTCATTGCTAACAGATTAAGTTATTATCCATCATATTCCTTGTCATTGCTAACAGATTAAGTTATTATCCATCATATTCCTTGTCATTGCTTTACAGATTAAGTTTTTATCCATAATATTCCTTGTCATTGCTAACAGATTAAGTTGTCATCCATAATATTCCTTGTCATTGCTTAACAGATTAAGTTGTCATCCATCATATTCCTTGTCATTGCTTTACAGATTAAGTTGTTATCCAGAACATCCCTTGTCACTGCTTAACAGATTACATTTTCCAATTTGCTAAATTTACATGAAACAAACAATTTATGAATTTTGTTCTTAAAGAGAATAATTAAAAATTATTCATGGCTAGCACACCTTCCCACCCTCAAACTAAAAAAATCTTCCTGACACCGAATCTATCTCATGATAATTGTTTGGTGGGTCTAATATTTATATATAAAATCATATATATACAAATTGTAACTTTGACATATATACCATCAATCATACTAAACAGAGAAAGTCAAAATGACCCTTTCAAAGATATCCATAATCAAACAATGCCCCATTGCGAGTCACAACTCTATTAACTGTCTAACCAAATATGCTAATTATAAGATTACAAAACTTTCAAACATACAAATAACACATTTGTTCCCTACATAACAGGAGCTGTTGCACAAAGCAATACGACGGTCGTAAGTCAATGTTAAAGAAAGCAAGCTTTGTGCAACTGGGCCCCTGGTAGTATATATCACATTAAAGTTAGTTGGTTAAATGCTGTTTAAAAAGAATTTCAGTTATATTACATATGTTGATATTCCAACAAAAAAACTATATACCAAACACATCTGTATAAACCATATTGTAGACAGGCAGTTAAAATATTGTCCAAGATACTCAAGATTTAACACAAAGTGAAACAGTTTGAATAATAACCACAATTATCACCAATGACTAAGTTCCACATAGTGGAAAGCTAAGGTTTTCTTACTCCAATCCCAAACCAACCTTTATTCCATAACATTTTCCCATAAAGCTTCAAGAAAGAAGGAAATGTTTTTTTGGGCATTGGCATATCACTTTATTTCCTGCGGCATTTGAGTCAGATTTTGTTACCCACAAAATGAACACAAACGGCACAGATATTGTATTAAAGAGCTGAATTCAATGTGCGCCAACTTGTGTTTGTTGGTATTATAAGTTGGAAATAAAAAAAAGTGTTGTACTTCAATTTTTTTCCGATAAATTATTTGTAAAAGTTGATAAAAAAAAGTGTTGTACTTCAAATTTTTTTCAATAAATTATTTGTAAAAGTTGTACCTCTTTACTTTCGAGAAAAATTGGCCATAATTTTTTTTTACTGATTTAGCCTTAATGTTATTCTACTGAAGCTAGAAATAGATAAGTGATATTGCCCTACTCCTCCAATGGTAAAAATACCCTAAGCGGTCACCAGGTAGACACGATTTTATGGATAACAACTTCTTTAATACTGTAAAAAGCAACGTTTCGATATAGATCCTTATACCGTTGTCAAGCAAGACTGAATAAGGGACATAGTATATTTTCCTATGAACCGCATCATCCTCCCATTCATGGGATAAGCCTCCCACATCATCAGCCGCCTCCTCAAACAGCAAACCAACATCGACACCCACTTCACAACATCAACTGGGACAACGTCCAAGTCCTCTCCAACTCCATGATTTCACTAAAAGAAAACTAACAGAAGCAGTCCACATTCGTCACCACAAGCCATCAATCAACAGAGATCAAGGCTTTTTCATCCCATCCGCCTACTACGAACTCATCAAGCAATAATCACTTATCCTGTTTAATTGGCTTCATGTCCCATTGGCTTCCCCCAATCTGTTCTCTGTCCATCGTGTTGTGACAGTATTATCCCTTTGTTGTCAACACGTTACCTATGTTATCCCACTCATATATGCAATTGTTGCTACTGTTATTCCTCCACCTACTATATATATTCTGTACTATGTCCCTCATTCAGTCTTGCTTGATAACGGTATAAGGATCTATGCCAAAACGTCGCCTTTTACAGTAATAAAGAAGTTGTTATCCATAAAATTGTGTCTACCTTGTCACCCGTCAACTTCTAAGTAATACCTACCAAACAACTTATACAATTTAAAGGGTCACGTCTACTCATTTAAATAGCATCAAGATTATCTCACTAGAAAAAGACAAATGAATTTTCATGGCATATACGACCATTCCAGGTGTATGAGATTCCTATGATTTAGCTGTCGTGATGTTGATGTGGATATTGTCAAATGCAATTTACAGATATTGCTTAAATCGGGAAAACATTGTTTCGTAGAATGGCATGTAAGAAATGGAAATGTTCATAACACTCCCAAATACTCCCTTGTCATGATACAACAAAACTCAAAATTAACTCAGATTCAACAATCAGTCTTACACCCTTATTATTAAAAATACTTGAAAAATGAGTTGCATCATTACACCATGATAGCATACTGACAATGTTCGAATTCATGAAAGCTTTCAAATGTATCCATCATATCACATTTATAACACATTTATATACATATTTCATACACAAAGATCATCAATGACTGTATTTTCCTAATACACCTCTTCAAAGTTAAAACTTTTGTTAGATCTGATGCAGACAGGAATGACTTGGATCTTGGTAGTCCAAGTTCTACTCATGAACTGAGGCTCTCAGTTTAAGCAGAGACCATATAATAGATGGTTTATTATATGGTCTCTGGTTTAATATGTACATGGCTTCATGGTATATGCGGTTGCGTTCATCAGTTATACACACTTATCAATAATGTACAAATCAAATATATAATATTGAGTTTGACTTTCATTCTCACTTTGCAAAATGTACACATACAGAATTATGGCCTCTCGTATTACCAGTCATACATAGCTGTTACACACACTCCATTACATAACTACCATTCACACACAACTATCATCACTTACAGTAGCATGTAACAAGAGTTGCCTCCCTCCTCACAAGACTGTCTCAAGCTCCCCACAGCAATGGCCCATTCGCGGAGCTCTCTGTACTATCGCTGCCACCAGTGAAAGCTCCCCACTGTGATAGGTGGCTACAACCATGCTTGGAGTTGAACTCTCACCCGTCCGACCGTTATGTTAACAAACAAGTGATGACTGCCGTTACGCCTTATATTATTACCCCTGCTAAATTATTTTCTTTGTCAATTTGAATTTCTGTTTCATTTCAACAAGCATGTAATTGATACTGTAAGAATGTAAGGGGGAAGTTGGTTGATTTTCAATTCTTTGGCAATCTCAAACAAATCTGATCAAACAAACAAAAAGGTAAATTCATCTGGTAAATATGGTCAGTTGTTAACCTTTTCAAAATTCACTATGATGGCATTCCCAAAGACAAAAAAGTATAAACGTTACTACATTTGGGGTTAGAGGGTAAATTTCCAGATTCTTGTAATGGCTGAGCCCACACTGGTGGCAGTGATGTTACGGAGAGTGTAACGAATGCATCATGCCCTGGGAAGGAGCCTGTCTGTTGTTTGTTCCAAATACAGATTATGGGCTAGAGGACATCAAAGCCATGAGTTTTGCGCAGAGTTCCCTCCCTTGGCATGGGGCATGGTCTCCAGTGGCTAGTAATCTGGTCAAACTTGACCAGCAAGGACTGTGTTTATGTGAGAACAGTTATCTCCCTTGTATAGAAGAACCTATTCAGAACAGTTATCTCCCCTTGTTCAATGTTGGTTGCGGTCTCCATGAGCTGGGCATGTCTATATGATTTTCTTTCCTGTACCAAAGAGGGTGTAGACTATCAGTCCGAATATACAGACCAAAGCAGTTTGATTGAACACAGCACTCCAGCTCTTTGTCACTTCTAGAATATGACCCGCCATATATACTCCTATGAAACCTGAAATTACAAACAATATATAATGGAAAACTTGTGGGTAGAAGGTCTGGGACAGCAATGACACATCTCTTTGGTCTGGTTGTTGTTTACGCCAGCCATATGGCAGAGGCTCATCCATCTGGATCTGACTTCAAGATCAGAATTGTTGAAAGAAAACCAGCTTAAGGAATAAAACTAGCTCAATTGTAATTATTTTAGTGAGTGAGGCAAGAGTTGTGCTACAGCGATATTATAGCATGTCGGAACGATGATTTTCAATACCGGATGAGCCAGATATGCCAGTGGTTAAAAGCATGAGTACACAGTCACACAATCCGCCAGGTTAAACACTGCATCATCTGCGAACTTTCATCTCTAGTGCTAAATCCAAGTAAAATTCTTTTCAGTCCAGTGAGTGAGCGAATGAGTGAGTATGATTTTGCGCCACTTTTAGCAATATTCCAGCAATATCACGGCGGAGGACAACAGAAATGGGCTTCACAAGTTGTACCACAGGAGTCCGTATCTAAAAATAGACGCCCTCATGCATATTCATGACCATCTCCACACGCGAGCCGTGTGGAGATGGTCATGAATATGCATGAGGGTGTCTATTTTTAGATACGGACTCCTGTGGTTGTACCCATGTGGGGAATCGGACCCGGGCCTTCAGCGTGATGGACGGACACTTAAACCAAAAGGCTACCCCACTGTCCCTGTTTGGTCTAGCAAGTTCAGCACATTATAACACTAAAATCTGAAGAAAAGATGCCAAGAGCAAAGTTCAGCTGGTAGACTTAATTTTTTTTTGGCTCAGACTGCACCAGCTGTTTCTTACTGCAAGCATGGCTGCTTGGGACATATTGCAGAATCCAAACAGGATATAATCATGGATGGTATGCAATGGCAATGGATTCTAAAATATCAGATTTTACACTTGTCAGAACTGTTGCCAGGGTTACTTAGAGATAAAGTTTCTTACCTGGAATGGCTCCCGCCATGTTCATTATACCTGTAAAAGAAGAGTGTTATATTCATATTGATTTGTTACTGGGAAGAAGGTCAACCTTGAGGGCACAACACAGAGACTTGAACAGCATCTCAATTAGGGCTGGCTAAAAAGATTGATAATTGGAATTATTGTCCATGAGAAGAAATATTAAGGATAATTGATATGAAATTGTTGTCATCAATTTACCAAAACAGACTTGTTATTGTCAATAATGTCAACTGTCGAAGACGGAAAGCAACTTTTTTTTATTATATCTCAAATGTCCACAAAGTAATCTATGCACTGCTCACCTGTGGCGTGAAATATGTTGATTTCTTTGCACATTTGTTTTAAGTTACTTCTTTGATATACATATATCAATAATTACCGTATTCGACGTAATAAGCGCCCCGCTCTAATAAGCGCCCCGCTCTAATAAGTGCCCACGGCGTTATTTGCTAAGATATTGGCAAGTGAACAATCCCAGTTAGCACCCCTTCTGATTGATCAATGAACACAAGAATTATTTATTCGTGTGTAATACGCACTCGTTTGTTAGATGCACCCTTAATTATGGGCAATTAAATTCTCGAAAATATATCTATATTGTATAATACACACAGATTCTATTTTTATATCATTTCAGGCTGACCACAAAATTTAAAATCTTTCAACCTCGTTTTTAATCTCACCAAAATTATATTCTAATAAGAGCCCCCTATTTCTAATTTTGAGAGCGCCCTGTGCGCTTATTATGTCGAATACGGTAATTGATATTTAGTTAGCGATTATCGAACTCTATAATCTATTACGATAGCCAGCCTTAATCTCAATACAGACATTCAGTTACAGCTCGGTACAGTTATGGGTTCTGAGTACATGAGCACTGATCGAGATACGCATACACATTTGTCTAATCTGAAGAAAGAGGAACCAGCATGGCTGGCTACTGATACACATCATAGCGATTGATAATCACTAACAAAATATCGATCAATTATTGATAAATAATAGAGAAGGAACTTAAAGGAAATATGCAAGAAAGTTCTGACAGAAATCAACATATTTCATGCCACTGGTGTGCAGTGACACATTTATGTACGGTTTACTTTGTAGACATTTCAGACATAACAAAAACAGTTGCTTCCCGTCTTCGACAATTGACAGTATTGACAATGACAAGTCTGTTTTGGTAAATATTAACTTTAATTATTCACAATAGTCTATGTAAGTTATTATCGATGACAACAGTTTTATATCGATAATCCCTTATATTTCTGCGGCGATAATTCTGATTATCGATCTTTTCAGCCAGCCCTAGTCACCAGCTAACCATGTAAAATGTACAGTAACCCATTTTTAACAAATATGTTTGACTTACTTGCCTTAGAAGAGTACTTACTGTGTCGGGTGTTCCATTTGAATGAACTATGCATTGTCAAACAATAGGCATCACTGCATATGATCTACTGCTTTTTTATATGCTTCTAGATATTCTTATTGCTGATAACCACCCTAACAAATTAAACTAATTTTATGTCTTGAAATAAACTGCTAAGTATAGAAAAATTCAGAAATAGCCAAAAACAAACATACTGTAACAGAGCCAGACACTGATGTTTTGTTAGAAATACATATTTGTTCTTTCTAAGTCAGTCTCAATAAAATCAACTAAAAAATATATGACTGTATTAAAAAAATATTTTCGAAACTAGTCAAAACTGCAAATAAAGGGCAAGGTAATCAAAAGCTGCAGGTAGCGAGGAACAAGAGAGGGCACCTACCAAAAACTGATCCTGCATGTTTTGGAGCGATGTCCTGTGGATTGACGAGGATGCCGCTGTTGTGGAAGCCGCAGCAGCAGACAGAGAGGGCCATGCAGGTGAGTGCCGCCTCATATGAAGTGGTGTAGGTGATGATGACGAGGAACAGTGCTGTGCCGCCCAGGGCGATGAACTGCATCAGTTTCCTCACAAACGTCACGGAGTACCCTGTAGACACAGTGAGTGACTGATTGGGTTTCATGCTGCTTTAAACAGTATATCTTTTATATCATGTGTCAGCTCAAAAGATGAGGAGAAATTTCTGAATTGATGACAGTCTCTTATGTGTACAGTTTTAGTAAAACCAACAAGCATCAATTTTAGTGCTGACAAACCAAGAAACATAATCAGGGCAAATCTAGCATTTACAGCATTTACATTTTCTGTCAGTTTATTCAGTTCAAATTTGTAGCAAAACCGAAGCATTGAGAACTGGTTCAGAATTGTAGCCCTCAAATCATACAAATGCTAACAGTCAATGAGGTCTCCCATTTGATTCTTATTTGTCTACCCCCCCCCCCCCCCCCCCTACTATTTACTTGTCTCGGGCTAGCAGACAAGCATGAATTTCTGAGGCTGCCCATGCCATCTGGCTTTGCTGACACACATTCAACCAAGTAACTGAGTGAGTGAGTGAGTGAGTGAGTTGGGTTTAAAGCCGCTTTTAACAGTATTCCAGTTACATCACGGCGTGTCAGTTTAATGTGGGAGGAAAGCCTGAAGTGGTGCAGGTCTCAGACGTTTACCACTTCGGTGAAACCCACGAGCACGGGTATGGTGCTGACAAACCTAGAAACATAACCGGGGCGAACCGGGATTTCGAACCCACAATCATAGGTTTCTGGCGTGCCTAAGGGACGCAACTCTGCACAGCGAATCGCGGCGCCTTAGACGACTGGGCCACCCGTGCCCCCCACCGAGTAACTGAGCCTGACCATCTAGGCCCCATCCCACAAAGCTATCTTAGCACTATGATGATCATAAGCCTTTGTTAAAGTATGGGAGTTATGATCAGCTTAGAGCTAAGATCCCTTTGTGGAACAGTGCCCTGATCAAGTGTATCTGCCTCAAGCATGATCACATTGTGTGAAGAGATGCAGCACCTCAGAGATGACACACATGTGGTAACTCGGTGGTGAAATGTCTGCCTCAGAGTTGCATGACACCGGTTCCATCTAAATAGAATGTATCCAGTTGAAGAATGGGTACCAGAAAGGACCAACTGGTGATTGACTGATGACATTTAAAATGGTCTTAAATAACCAGACTGTAACAGGTGCTTGTTTGGAGCAACTGTACTCATCACTATAACCACCATCATCATCATAACCATTGCTTACTGATGCCAGACACTCACCTGAGGAAATCATCTTGTCTGCCAGGTAGCCACTGAATATAGAGCTTGGAATTGTCACTACCCAGGGCACAACATTGAACACCCAACCCTGAAACACAAACTGCCATTAATACACAGGGACATAGATGTAACATACAAGTCAAAGTAATAATTATAATATATATTTTTGTCTTAGAGCAACAATTTCAAACATCATGGACAAAGAATCACAGAAATTAATTCTTCAGCATATCATGATGTAAACTGGTTTTGCATTTCTCGAACTCATTCTGTAGACATGCAGATGCCCCTTTTAATTCTTATTCAAGGATACAGAAACTTTAGCAGCAGTTAGCACATCATATCCTTGTGATCACGCTTGGTTAAAATTAAAATTAAAATTAAAATTAAAATTAAAATTAAAATTAAAATTAAAATTAAAAAAACCCCAAAACTTACAATTACATTTCAAAAACTAGGGCACGTCAATGTACATTGAGTGAGTGAGTATGGTTTACGTCGCTTTTAGCAATATTTCAGCAATATCATGGCGGGGGACACCAGAAATGGGCTTCACACAATGTACCCATGTCGGGAATCGAACCCGGGTCTTTGGCGTGACTAGCGAATGCTTTAACCACTTAGCTATCTCCATCACACATCTGAGTGGAACGAAACTCTCGCCCTAATTAACTTCCATAGCCAAGTACGATACATGAAAAAAATACCAATCAATGTCACTACACATACTTACTACTACACATCAACTTTTACAATTATATATGCAGATAGGGCTATTTATGACATTGTATAAAATGCAAATTCAAAATGGCTGCCTAGACGGCCATGTTGAAAATTTTAAATTCAGTGAGCAGGTATAACAGGCAAAATTTCAACTTGTGGTTTCAAAGAAGATATCAATAAAGTTTATGGTACACAATCTGCTACGACATTTGCTTGCAAGAACCTTTGGTTCAAATAAGCTAGAAATCCAGGAGAATCAGAAAACAATATAATTCAAAGTACAGTCTGCATGCATGATTAACACCCATAACCAGCCAACAGACACAGTCAGGGCTACTGGCTTACTGTGGTGCAAGAAGTAACTACAGCTGCATGATCACAAGCGGGAGGAGACAGTTATCAGGCTGCATTCAAGGTAAGCAGAAAGAAACTGTATGGACTCTAGCAATGAAGTAACTGATCATGAGGATGAGATGCTTAGTTGCATTCCAATGGGGTGATAATTGATTCTCACAAACTGCATGTCGTAAAAGGCAACTTGTGGATCGGGTATTCAGGCTCCATGACTTAGTTGATTGCATGTCATAGTGACCTGTGAAGATCCGGGGTAGAATAGATCTTCAGCAACCCATGCTTGCTGTAAAAGCAACTATGCTTTTCGTAAAAGCCGACTCACGGGATAGGTTGGTCAGGCTCGCTGACTTGGTTCATGCATGTCATCTTATCATGATTGCGTGGATCGATGCTTATGAATTCAATCACTGGATTGTCAAGTCCAGACTCGATTATTAATAGACCGCCATCATGTAGCTGGAATATTGCTGAGTGCGGTGTTAAACAACAAACAAACAAACAAAGCGTGTCATCATACCCCAATGGTGATGGATGATGCTCATAATATCAATCACTGGTTCTTTTGGGCCACACTTGATAATTTACATGTTGCTCACATATAGTTGGAATAGTGCAAGGAGGATCAAACCAAATAGCTGAATAAAATATGACTAACACAAAATTGAGACGACAACTTAACAATGCTTAGCACACTTAGGTAGTCTTTACACAGAATTTGAACAATCAAAAACATTGAAGAGCATGTTGGTCTATTGTACTATCATTTTTGGAAAATGATTATTCTGATTCATCAATCACGAAAAAATTCCATAATATATGAGCAACTGCCATTTCTGACTTGACCATTGTTGCTGATTTGAAAACATTTGATTACAGGTATCTATTATTCATATGGTAATCCATTTCCCATATCAACTGACTTGAAGGCTTAAGTGTAAAGTTTGTTGAGTAACCTGTAATGCTGTGTCATATGACATCCCCAAAACTCTTACACAACTACAAAAAAGAGACCTCATATCTTGACAAGAACCATAGTGAGTGAGTAAGCATGGTTATATGCTGCTTTTAACAATATTGTGGGGACACCAGAAATGGGCTTCAAGCATTGTACCAATGTGGGGAATCAAACCTGGGTCTTTGGCGTGACAAGCAAAAGCTTAAACCACTAGGCTACCCCACCGTCCTGACAAGAACCATGAAATGAATTAATGAATACAAATTCATTTTGTAAATTTCAAAGACTACAACTGAATTTGACATACAAGCAAAGGGGTTGAAAATTGAATCCTCAATTTAACCCTGCAACATTGAGTTAACCCATGCCGCTTACCCACTTGTAGAAGCATGCAATACAGGCAGCAGGAGGGGAGACTAGTCTTCATAAACCTTCAGGATCATTCCAAGCCAGGGACACAGTAATATACCTAGTGACATTGATAAGGTCACTGTAGATCGTTTTTTTATCAAAATGTACCCTGGGTACAAAATGGTATTTCGAGTTGTACCTAGATTTTCGTTTCCATATTGTTTTGTACCCAGACCATGTTTTGGAAATCTTGCAATAGTCTATGTCGTAAATGTATCCAGAACTGGTTTACAGCATTCAACAACATGGCCGCTCCTGCTTCCGCCATAATTCCCAAATAACTTTTTGTGTATTTACATTGTATACCAATGTTATCCCGAGTTGATTCCGTTAGAAAGAGACTTGAGATTAAGTCCATCAACGTCCTTGTGCAGAGAGTTATCTCCCCTTAAACCATACAGTGGGTAGATGTCATCCTGCTAAATGAGAACAAAAAACTGGATACACTTAGATATGGACTGGGTACAAAATGATATGGCAATTAAAGTCTAGGTACAAACTCAATATAAATCGTCTTGTACACTGGGAACATTTCGACAGTAAACCAATCGAGAGGGACCCTATCAGACAGCCCTAGTGACAGTGTGAGAAGATACGAGTAGGAAGCAACTCCACAAACACCCTCTTCTATTACACTTTGGTTCTCACCTTGCCTGATGGAAAATTGTCATGGAAGTAAGTTGGTGCCCAGAATAGAAGGATTTGAAATGACAGTGAATGGCAAAAGTGTCCAACTAACAAAGCCCTGAAATAATACAAACGTACGGCTTACTGTTAGAACACTGATAGAAAAGTCCTTGGATTCCCTGGTATTTTAGTTCCATGCTGTTTCTGAGTCAGTGTCGCTTATCTAACTTATCAAGAATAATATGAACCAACCTATTGTTTTTTTGTGAACAGCAAATGAAATTTTACCATGGTTACAGCTGGTTACATGGGTATTTGTCGTTGACTACAGCTAGTCTACTGGCTCCTCGCTGTTCAAAGAATGGGGTTTGTGCAAATAGCTTCTGAAGGTGAGAACCTTGTCTAGGATGAGTGAGTTTGGGTTTAATGCTGTTTTGATAACTACCAAGTTCATATTTAAAAATATAACATAGTGTAAGTTTACTGTGGGAGGAAATCCTATATTGATGCATACTCTATATCTCCAGGGCGAGCACTTCGGTAAGCCTACATTATCCCCTTGATCCATTCCCGTGATTCTCACAATCTTAAATTACCCGCCCTTGATTGCCATTTGGCAATTTGATTTGCTACGCTACTAAGTCAAATGTACCAATCAGAATGCGAGCTACAAACCAGCCTCAATGTTGGGTTGGCCAGTCCCATTGATTATAATCAAGTTTGCAAAAAATTAAACATTGAAAAACTGACTGACACGCAAAAAAACACCTCCAAAATCTTTTTGATGAAAAGGATGTGTTCATGTCCATTAAAACTGGCGGTGGCTTTGGTTTCTAGGTAATACAAGTTACCTCCTTTATCCTGTCCCTTATGCTGACGTTTGATTGGTCGGTAAAATGTTAATGAAAATCAAGGCCAGGTAATGTGCGATGGCAAGGACCGTGGGAATGGATCCAGTTAGTGTAGGTTTACCAAAATGCAAGCCTGGAGATATAGAGGATGATGCTGATGCTGGTGGTAACTGTTTACCAATGTGATGAGAGGTTGGATGGGGACAGCCAGGGATCATATACATGTATAGAACCTATTTCATGTGGATCCTGGCACTGTCCAGGGATGCAACTCTGCAAAGTGAATGTTAGTGGCTTGGACCCCTGGGCTTTAAATAGCATACAATGTGACCTTGTAGGTCTTTGGTTGGATAATCCATCACAAGTCGCACATTTCCATTCAATCACTCAGGCAAAACTAAGTCTAAAAGGGTTAGTCAGTTTAGCAGGGGAAACAAGTTTTACTAAAGTTTGTATGTTATTTAATCAGCAATATTCCAGCTATATGATGGAGGCCAGTAAACACTCAAGTCAGCACCAGACATTCCAGTGGTTGCTATTGTGAGCAACGATCCACGCCACCGGGGTACGATGATGTGCAATCAACCAAGTCACAGAGGCTGAACACCCAATCCATTTGGTCGCCTCTTACGACCAGCATAGGTTGCTGGGGATCAGGGTGCTGTTGTACAAACATACCTTAACATAGACTTACGACACTCGTAGCGCTTAGCTGTTTCGTACAACAGCACCCAGGTTTACTCAGGATCTTACTAAAGTTTATCATTATTTTGTCCAAAATTGGGATTTTATATAAATTCTGATTTTTTTTCAAATTCAAGAGTACATGTATTGTAGCAATATATTTTCAGATTGCATCTAATGCAAAAATATGAAACTTAGCATTAAAACCTCTTCTTCTATACTGGTCTTGTTATCAGCAAAATACAGGTTACTTCTACATGCTCTACACAGCCACAGAATTACTTACATGTTTTAAATTTTAACATGAATTGGGAATTTTTTAATTCCAATTTGGGTATTCTTAATTGTTAATGAGATTTGCTGCAGACTTGGGGCTGAATATCGGCCTCTGAGCAGGTCTAGAATCCCTATTGCCAGACATACTGAGTGGTCAAAGCCTATCAATGAAAAAAGTCGGAAGACAAAATATTCATGGAATCCAAGGATGCAATGATATCTGGTCAGCTTCCCAAATCCTTACCTTCGCAGAAGGGAAATTATCATGGAAGTAAGTTGGCATCCAAAATAAAAGGATTTGAAATATCAGTGCTGAAGAAAAATGCCCTGCCAACATTGCCCTGAAACCAAAACAAACGTCAGAACAATGGTCGCAGCTACAAAGGGAGGTAATGTCGTCAGCCATGACAGGTTAGAGTACAACATGCATGCAGACAGCACGTTGAATGATCTACAGTAAACCAGGCAGGAAGGAATTAGTCCCATGATCTTGTATTCCATGTACCAACAACATCACACTTCAACATCTGTCTAAGTATTTCTATGAATTTCAACATTAATCAGTTGTGACGTGCGCGGAGACATCTGTCGGTCATGTGAAGTTGTGGCACATACAAAACAAAACATTGAGAAGCCAACTACACAACTGATCCCCTTAACACAGACAGCTGGTTTTAATGGTTTCGGCAAGGGTAAATAAAAAGAATTCCTGTGAAATCGCAAACAGAATTCTAACTCACTTCTGATATTTTTTTAAAAAGAAACAAGGTGATATGTGGCCTTATGGACCAATCAAGATAATAGGAAGGGATGGTAGGTGACATTTTCTCACATGTCTCAAACCTTTCACCTTCATTTATTTGTACTGAACCAGAGCTAGAGATATCTAAAATGTACTGAGATAAAAAAAAGTAAAGTTTTGCAAGAATACTGTCCTTCCTAAATCTGAGTAAACCTCAGTTGCAATTCTCTGTACCGCAAGTCTTGAACCATTCCCTGTCTGTGTTCAGGTGGTCGGTCAAGCACTGGGCAGGACACTGAATAACAGTTGGTGGACAAAACTCACCTTGGCTGTGGGGAAATTTTCATGAAAATATGTGGGCAGCCACGACAAGAGGATGTAAAATGCATTGTTTTCACAAAAGTGGCCTACAATTAATGACCTGGAAGTAAGAAGTAAAGATACAGATCAACCAAAGTATGAACATGGAATATTACCCACAGGCACATGGATATTGGTGAAATTAGTCTCAGTAATTCTCAATGAGTGCTTAATGTTCGGCTTAATGTTGATTGACAAAGTGTTTCCAAATTTGTTTGTCCCATTGTTTTCAAGCAGCCCAGAGCAATGTGACATCATACAAACACAATGCCTAAAATATCTGAACATGATGTCACCCATTTATTGTGACATTGTTTCAACAATAGACTAACTGTGTTGAGGTCTTCCAAACTTGAGATCAGGGGACCCCAATTTTTCCATGTTTTCTCAGAAAAGAGGCTATGGGTAACCTACTTGCAACTTTGAATTATAGATTATCTATCTATTGTGAATTAATATTGAAAGTTCTTAGCCAAGGCTTGGAAGTTGGAACTTGAAACATTGATTCACTTGGGACAAATAATGCATGATTTCTCGAAGCTCAAGGGGTTATTCTCCGAACGTCAAGGAATGAGGACTATGGTTGGTTATTTTGATATCTACAGGTTGGTGATACATGGTACTGAATAATGAAAGAAATTTCAAAAAGTCTCACAATTAATGTGAAAGATGACGGCAGACAGAATTTTGGTAAAACCAACAAAAGTTCATGTATGTATACCCAACAAAATATTTATAGGAGGAAAATATTAATAACATTTGTGAAAACATGGTGAATATGATAAAATCACCATTATTACCAATATTTACATGAATTATATTCCGTTTCAAGGAATGTTGAGTTGAAATTCAGGTTTGATTGTCTGCCAACTGAAATCTGTCACATACAGATGATACATGAATTATTTTACTTACTTCTGATCATTTTACTTTAGGATATTTGTAGTAAATATTTTCACAAAAACCTCCCAACAAGTTCATTGTGCCAGATGGAGTTAATAAAAAAAATGAAGTTGTGCGATGGTAAACTTGGTAATAAAAAACAACAACGTTTGGAAAGAAAATGAAAGGGACTAGTCTACAGTGAAGAGTCACCCCAGTGCATCTCAAACCTTGGAATATCAGTGGAAGTAAAACATGATTTATGACTATTATATATACCGTATTCCACGTAATAAGCGCCCCGCTCTAATAAGCGCCCACAGCGATATTTGCTAACATATTGGCAAGTGAACAATCCCAATTGGAACCCCTTCCAATTGATCAATGTACACAAGACATTTTTTCGCGAATAATACGCACTCGTGTGTTATATGCACCCTTAATTATGGGCAATAAAATTCTGGAAAAATATGTCTGTTGTACATAAACATTTCAGGCTGTCAGCATAAACCACGAAATTTATCTTTCAACTCTGTTTTTTTTCAGCAAAATAAAATTCTAATAAGAACCCCCTAATTCTAATTTTGAGAGCGCCCTAGGCGCTTATTACGTCGAATATGGTAATACAAGACAGATATGTATCCATAGTCCAGACAGTGCTCATATAGGACACTGGGGAATAACGAAGTCTCATCATTTCAAAACATATATTTATTCAAACATGTTAAAGTTGATATATTTTGAGTTAACAATTTTGAGTCATTCTTGTTATTTCACGATAATGAGGTCTGACTGAAATCCCATAATTTTCAGGTCTCTTTTCGTTAGTAAATCAATATGGTCTTCCAGAATATGCTGTTGAAAATATTAAAACTCTTTTGTGTGTCGATACTAAGCATCCTGAGTGAAACTTGTGCCATTGATTTTACCAGCACAACAAAGTGTCGGGTGCATGTTACTGAAATTGTTGACAGTCATCTTTTTTCCAGGAAGTGTTAAACATGTTAAAAGGGACAATGGTGTTAAAGCTGTAAAGTTAGAGAAGGTGGTATAGAAAACCATGATGGATTACATGATGGAATGCTTTGTGAGAATGTACAACATAAAAAGAAAATAAAAACACATGATTATTCAAAATAACAACTTCAGTTAACATTGATAACATTTCACAGAGCTAAGTGTTAACTTTTCAAAACATGTAAGCACTACTGTTCCTTTTACCAATAGAATCAAATAATGTCAATTCAGTGGCAATGACATAAACCTATTTTCTTTCTCATGTTTTTTTCTGAACATTTTGATGTACACCTTTCCAATCATCTGACTTTAGTTGGTAGATGTTTGGAAACAAGTGAGGATTTTCCCACCTTTGCACATAGCAGAGTTGGATGCTGCTTGGTGCTATCTGGGAACAACTAGTGATGAATAGTTGACAGTGAAGAGGACTTCTGTTGAAACTTTGAAAATTCAGTTGTAGTGTGATTGCAGCCAAAATACAGGATTTATGGCAATGATATAATAGAGGTAGAGGATTGGTAAGCATTGTTATATTTGTATCCCTGTTTGAAATAGAAAATCCTTGCAAGTTTCACTTCTTGAGTAAAACCCCATGGCCAAAAACATTATCTGGAGCCCTGGCCTCTTGACAAAATTGACCTGACATGATTAATCATTTGAAGATTTCTTTTGAGATGGCTGTTACATAGGCACAACCATAAATCAACTTATGTAACAACTGAAGTTCAGCAATTGTCCTTTGTCTGGCAGATCAGAGATAATATCAATAATGATGAATGTTAAGGCTGCAACGATACAGGAAGGTCACGATACGATACGCATCTCGATATTCTGGTCACGAAACGATACCTATCTCGATACGCAATGATAAAAAAACAAGACTTAAAGCATGTCAAGATTGAAACCTTTCATGATTTTGGAGCAGTCAAAATTATTTTATAATAACAAGACTACTGAAGTTGTTCAGCTTCAAAGTGGAACTTTCTCTAACTTTCCTTCAACACCAGAAAATAATTAATGTACAACTTCAAAGAATTTTGATGCAATGGTCGAAGAAATTGTATCTGAAATTATTATTTTATCAGGAATAATATATTCCAATATTGTGTTACCTTAGTTGCAGCTTTTACTATGGATATATTTAAAATTATAAGAACCACAAGTGCAGCATTTTGGTACTGGTGATTGCTGTTGCAGGATATTTTTACGTATGGAACAATTTGACCAGTCACCCTAGGGACTTCCCGTGCTACATGTATTTCGATTGTGAAAACGTTATGTTGACATATATTAGCCAAATTGCCACAAATATGACTTTTAACGAGTCAAAGAATGGCATTTTTAATATATATGTATCCATTCTCTAGCAACTTAAGTTCGTTTCAATGCGTCAAAAGCGGTAATCTGACCCTGGTTGCTGTATCTCTTCACACACGATTTCACATAACTTAATGAAAACAATATTAAAGGAAATTTTGAATAAGATTAATAAAATATATTGCAAACACAAGTCCAGATATACAATGAACATGTTTTAATAACAAGATAATATAATAATGGTATTGAATTGCGTACTTCAATCGGATTTGCAGACTTGTATTTTCGGTGTTATGTGCTTGCGGTGATCAGCTGATAATGTTTTATGAGATGGTGAAAAACATCTGTCGGTGTAAGAACTGAGCTTATAAAAAATGTAAGTACGTTTTTGGGAGCCATGCGTTAAAGCGCGCTTTAACCAAGTTAGCGGTTTATTGAAAGGCACAATAGCGAGGAAAAGCTGTACTTGGGATTTGGGTTTCGTATCGTGGCGTATTGATAAATGGGCCCACGTTTATCGTATATCGTATCGTGGGTCAAGTATCGCAATGCATCGGAATATCGGTGTATCGTTTCACCCTTAATGAATGTCTTGGTCTGAATGTCAGCAAGTAACCCGAGGCATTCAACACACGGTGGGGCGTATTTTGATTTAGACTATCGGTATTTTGATTTTGCAAGGACATTTCTTAGGGTTTTATGTGTTGTATACCGCTCAAAAGAAGTTCAAGAACACCTGATGGTATGACAGATTAACTAGAAACAAATTGGGTGTTCTTTAGCTTCTCTTGAGTAGTAGTGCCTAATAGATTTCGTATATTAAAATATTTGAAAGAAACTTTCTTCACATAGCTTCTATCAATCAATTGTTGCTTCAAACTAATTATGTTAACCAAGGTGTTGATAATAACTCCCACAAAAATATTAATTCCAGCACAAAACATACATGATAGACTTCATCAGATGTTAGGCCACAGGTTGATAAGGCCACAATAAATTAATTATTAGATTTTCAACCAAACAAATCTGAAATGTCAGGCATGAGGCTTTTTATTTTGTATTTTATGTTCTTTAAACCATCTGTGTAGAGCAACTGTTAATGGATATCAGTGTTGTATATTTCATCAAGTAAAGTTAACTTGAGTGAGTATGGTTTTACACCACTTTAAGTAATATTCCAGAGTTATCACGGCGGCAGACACCAGAATTGGGCTTCACACATTGTACCCATGTGGGGAATCGAACCCGGGTCTTTGGTGTGATGAGCAAAAGCTTAACCACTAGGCTACCCTACCGCCTCTCATCAAGTAAGGAAACAAGGCAACACATGAATTGCTTTTCTTCATTTGTACATGCTGTAGGTACTTGGGGAACAATGAATGGTGTGCAGCAGAGAGTTTGGCATCTTCCCGAGGCAAGGGAGTTACCTGACTTTAGAAGTCCAGTTTCCATGTTTACTGAACTAGTCTGGAATTTCTAAGTTATGTTTTGGCTGGACTGACGTGTCTGCATAGTCGTAACGAAATGAGCATCCAGTTCATAAACTGCTGTGCAGATTTCAGTCGATTGCAGGATTTGCAAAACATGTGTAACGTTAACTGGGTGTCAACAGGAATTTTCCAAAACTTTTCATTTTTTCGATCAAGCTGCTCAAGTAATTTGATGCATTTTGCAAGATAAGACCCGTTTTGTAATAATATTTATCTTTATAATCGAACAGATCATCTAGAGTGGATGTCGCCATATTGTTTGAAGCAATAGCCAGTGATATGATCGGTGGAATCTGATTGGTCAGCATGAGGGACACAGAAGGGACATAACTCGAAATACCAACTGGTACCATCGAGCCACTAAATTCCAACCTAGTTCGGCGAGGGTGGAAACTGGACTTTAAATGTCCGTTAACTCCCTTGCCTCAGGAAGATGGGTGTTTGGTGTTTGGGCAAGGAGACGAAAATCTAATCATCAATTCATTTATGGCCTGGCTAGAGATCAACACATCAGACTGAGTCAAATATACAGGATTCCTATGCTCAGGGAAATCTGTGTTCTTTCTAAACACTATCAACAATTCAATAATCATCATGATCATAAGAAGGATGTTTTAAAGATATTTTATGTTTGTTGTTTCATAGATTTAATGTGAAAATAGATCCATGCAAGTTGTGTCTACACTATGGTATATATACTACTCAAAGAGGTTAATGAACACGAGATTCCATTAGTACTATAGTTAATCTGTCATGGCATGAAATATTAACTGTAGTCATATGAATGAATCGGGTGTTCTTTAATTTCTTTTGAGTAGTACATTAATAGCCAGTGCCACTTAATTAATATTACATAAATATCAAACATGAGTGCTTGCTAAAGTTTGTTCTTTTGATGGTCAGAAACAGTAATCTAAGCAATGGGCAATCCAATTTTTCTAAAATGTTATTTGAGTAGGTTACAGATGCTACTTACCAGAAGGCAGCTTTTGTAAATAAAGTGATCCATGGAACCCCATGTGCTTCTCTTGTTTTGTCTGGGTACCCGGACCCATCATGTGAATGTAAGTTGATATACTTCTTCCTATGACGGTTTACAAGACAGTATCTCATCAGCAACATCCAGCCCAGACCACACAAACCTATCAAATACATACAGAGTTAGACAATAAGACTATGAGCATTTTTGTGGTACATGAATCTGTAGCTATCTATTAAGAATTGATATTTGCAGATGAAGTTATGTGTGAACATATGCAAAGCAAGGTATTGTCAAAGCCAAAAGAATCCCTACCAAAGCAATTTCACCTGTTATGAAAGAATAACAATGAAATTCCATTCTGAGAGCATCAGGCCAACACTTTGGATGACAAATGTTCCTCTATACGCTATATAACCCTCTCAATTACAGTCAGTGACTTTACACACTGGTCTGAAGCTGAAGCCTAGGACAATTCAGGCTAGGAAGCTCAGCTAATGATAATCTATATGACAACACAATATCATTAAATTCAGAGTGAGTGAGTGAGTATGCTTTTACGCCGCTTTTAGCAATATTCCAGCAATATCACGGCGGGGGACACCAGAAATGGGCATTAAATTCAGATCTTAGTGCTCACTAAGTCTACACAAAGATCTGAGGACATCCCATTACAGGTAACATAAGAACAACCTTTTGCTAACGTTGACCGACCACAGAGATGACTGACAAGAAGTCAACATCAGCCAATCAGAGGGCTGTTTTCTCAAGCTTCACGGCACTAGTAGACATCCATTCCAGACTACGCTTTGAAAAATATTGAACAAAAATTTGAAAACTGAACCAAAGAAAATCCTGGAATGTCTAATAGATGGCCCAGGGGCTATTGAAAGTCTCTTCTGTTTCAAATGTTTATCCCAAAGAAGCGAGAGAAAGATGATTAAGATGGAATCAGTCGTGCAGCCTGTAACTGTGGGAATACCCTGTGTTACCCTTGTCAAGGTTGCATGATTAGAAAACACACTGACCTTTGGGATCTTTGTTTAGAGGTAGCGAGAACTAAGATCAGATTTCAATGAGATTGTTTGATAACACTATACGCTACTGAAAATGATGATAAGAGACATAATATGGCTAATATATTCAATAGCTTTTGGTACAGACTACCATACAAACATGGTGAAAGAGTAATAGGGCTATTGGAGCTGCTAACAGCCACTACAATGTCCATACTCTATCCCAGAGTGGAGGTCGGCAGTTATACCAAGCTGTAAATTTCTCAGCCTGGGAACAATTGTTTTCACTTGAGCAGTGTGTCAAGAAAGAACATTTTGATATCTACGTAACAAATGTTTTAATCAGCAGGCCACTTGCCAATTACCGTATTTGACGTAATAAGCGCCCCGCTCTAACAAGCGCCCATGGCGATATTTGCTAATATATTGGCTAGCGAACAATCCCAATTAGCAACCCTTCCGATTGATCAATGTTCACTTATTTATTCGAGTATAATACACACTTGTGTGTTATGCAACCTTATTATGGGCAATTAAATTCTGGAAAATATATCTGTCGTGTATAATATGCACAGACTTTTCTTTTGTATCATTTCAGGCTTTCAGCATAAACCATGAAACCATGGTTTTTTTCATCAAAATTATATTCTAATAAGAGCGGCCTATTTCTAATTTTGAGAGCGCCCTTGGTGGTTATTACGTCAAATACGATATATTTAATAAAAGACATTCAGCAGCATATTGTCCCATTCTGTATGGTGGTGTTAGTGGGTGTTCTGGTATGTTATCCAATAGGCCTTTCAACTTAGTTTCTAACCCTGAATAATCGTGAGTAGCAAATGGACTACTTACCAATAAAATAGAACGGCATTTGCCAGCCATATCGGTCTAATAGGAGAGACCCCACACTGCCTGTCAAAAGAGTGCTAAAACACAACAAGTGAGTGAGTGAGTGAGTGAGTTTGAGCCCTGTTGAAGCTCAGATCTAAAGACAATTATTATAGCACCATATATCATCTGTATATAGCAAACAATGCATAAATGCTTACTGTATGAGAACATATATATTACATTATTTTGATGTACGCACTGATTCTTCTCAATGATTTATAGGATCAGTTACACAGATTGCAAACACGTCTCATGTACTGAAATTATACGAGGTGTGCGAGTTACTTGGATAAAATTTAATCAAAACACTTTAATGTTCTAAAAAAACCAAAAGAAACAACAAAACACAAGACGTTTTCGTTTGAATATGAATCATGATCTTAAATATGGTTAGCTAGTTGTAGTTTTTGCAGCAACTTGTTTTACAGTCAGTATGTGCAAGATGGCTTATATATACCATTTAGTTTACTAATAAAACTGAAATGCATTGGCGGAACTGCAATTTACAGTCACCCAGCTTATCAAGGTATGTTAAGGTACAATGTATGATCATTGACACGTGAAATATACATATAATCAATCAGCTGTTCACTGTTTATATAGGACATGTAACATATGTCTGCCAGCATACAGCTTTATCTGGCAGAGGTTACTGGGGTAAATAATACTGCTATTATCATTACTTTCATCATGTATTAATCTTTAATTAAAGTGTGTAAATAATTTATATATGCATCTCTGCATTCTGATTAACCATTTGTTAACAATTTCAGCAACAATAATAATAGCAATCATCAACCAAATTGAACGTCAACATGTTTGTCGGCTTTCTGAAAAAGAAAACAGCTTTATCAACAATCTACAACATAAACAGATTTCAGACATTTTGTCAAAAGTAAAGAATTTCATTTTTGAAATCACAGCAAACTTGACTGACATTTTCATGTTACAGTTGTGTCAATATTTGTTAATGGAGAAACAGTATGAAATCTGTTTTTGTCATGCTAGCTGATAGAAACAGGCAGTTACATAGATGGAGAAAACTTGGTAGTCTCTGGTTGTTTCTAGTTCTGGTGACTCGAGTGAGTGAGTGAGTGAGTGAGTGAGTGAGTGAGTGAGTGAGGTTTAACACCACTTTGAACAGTATTTCAGTTATATCATGGCATGTCAGCTTGATGTGGGGGAAAGCCAGTAGTGATGCTGGGTTTAACAAGGGCGTGATGCTCAGGGATTTATCTAGGATTAACTTCCTTGGGAGGCAAATTGGGAAATTATTAAATCTTTGAAAGGCATTTAGAAGTGATACACATAAGGAAGAGTATTTATGGATGTCAGCTTTTCTATTATGAGGAACACCACGTTTCGGAGTAGATGCTGACTCTTTCATCAGGTGTTCCCCATAATAAAGAAGTTGACATCCATAAATTTGCTTCCTTATGGGAAAATATTGTTTGTTCATTCAAAATTAGGACTTACTTCAAAAGAGTGAGTGAGTATGGTTTTACGCCGCTTTTAGCAATATTCCAGCAATATCACGGCGGGGACACCAGAAATGGGCTTCACACATTGTACCCATGTCGGGAATCGAACCTGGGTCTTCGGCGTGACGAGCGAACGCTTAAACCACTAGGCTACCCGACCGCCCCTTACTTCAAAAGAACATTTACATTGTCCTGTACAGTGACATTGCATTCAATTCAATAATGTGAAATTAAGCATTCAAGGCCCTTCCTCTATACCGATCCTGTTAGAAGCAAAATTCAAGCCATCACAATGTAAGTAATAACCATATTTACATGAATGGGAAATTAATTCCAATTTGGGAATTTTTACTGACATTTGCTTCAGATATTGGCCTCTGAGCAGGTTAAGATAAACCAATGGGTGCTGACAAACCAAGAAACATACTCAGGGTGAATCCGGGTTTCAACCCTATCATCATTGGATTCTGGCATACCTAAGGGATGCAACTCTGCAAAGTGAAGATGTTTGGATTACCTGTGCACCAGAAAGAGGACTGTTCTATTACCATTATTATTTCCTTGAAATCATTTGTAACAGACATTGCATATACATCATGTTTCAGCATAGATTAATTTAAACTATACCACTAAATAAAAAGATAACGACCAGCTGATTCTTCCTGTCATGTCATGACATATTATCATACCATAGTAACGTGAAAGAATCAAGTGGTCCTTAATTTCTTTTTAGAAGTACATTTCATTCACAATTCATTGCTAATGAAACTTTGGACACAGTTTTCTCCATCTATGGAACCTGAGAAGAGAAGACCCTTACCCAAAATGGGATCCCGCTGCTATAAAGCTATATGTGAGAGATCGTTCCTGCTCCACAACCTTCCTTGATATTAAACTTGTCATTCCTGGGTAATGGAACCCTGCCAGAGAGATTAGGCCATAGTAGACAGGGGTAGACAGACTGGGCAAATCCAACTAGTCGGGAGCTCATTTTTGACGATTGTTACAATAAAAGAGCTAGATCTTGGTTGAAAACAACTAGTCCTTCTGGACTTTCACAAGTCTAGGACTAGTCGCCATGTCTCTGCCTGGTAGAGTGTTGGTCTATTACCTCAGCAAGATAAGCTCAGTTATGGCTGTCATGTTGGAATTGATGTTAGACACGTGGAAATGTGGCAAGGAAAACACCAGGCACTTGCCAGCTCACCTAAAGCAACCTTCCTCAAAAGTACAGTTTGCCTATATTAAACTATGATGGTGATGTCAGGCTATTGTTGTAGCAGTTGATACTGAGCCAGATATTCACTGGCCATTCTGAGTTGTAGTTTAACAAGAAAAACTGATGCAACTATAGGTCATTACATAAAGAATGTGGAGAATGTATATATCAACCATTACATGGTTGAAGTCAGAGAAATTACTCGAATCTGTCTATTTCTGAAGTAGAACCAACATATTCTTATGATTTCTTTATTACTTATTTTATTATATTTATTGGTAGAGGGCAGAAAATAGAGCTGATGTCCCTACAGTGGCCAGGATGCTCAAACATGCAGTGATCACATCGGCTAATTATCAATCTTAGTTTTACAGTTTAAACTTTATCATGTTATCTATTATGTATACTTTATATCTATGATATTTCTTATTAATGACATTTAAATGGTATTTATAAATTTGAACATCAGATGAAATCTGTATGTGGCTTGTCAGACAGACAGCTGAAATGTGGCTCAGCATGAACTACATTAAAGGCTGCAATTGTTGTTTTATTTAAATCATCAGTGAAGATTTGAAGACGACAGTGCATAATGATTAGTATGAAACACTGTGTGTTATGACGAGTATCATATCCCACTCCATATACTGCAATATACACTGACTCTCATACCCGGCTGACCCGTGAAGATCCAGGGTAGAATAGGTCTTCAGCAACCCTTGCTTGCTGTAAAAGGCGACTATGCTTGTCGTAAAAGGCAACTAACGGGATCGGGGGGTCAGTCTTGCTGACTTGGTTGATGCATGTCATCGATCCCAATTGCGTGTTTGGTGTCACTTGAACATGCATAAACCCAATCTCATTAAACTCAGATCTTAGTACTCGCTGCCGCTGAACAAAGATCTGAGGGCATCCCATTACGGGTCATGTCAGACTGACCTTGCGGGAACTTTGACCGACCAATGAAATGACTGACAAGAAGTCGACATTAGCCAATCAGAAGGCAGCTTTCTCGTGCTTTACGGCACTAATTTCAAATTAGCGACAACACTTTCAAACATATTTTGACAAATTCTCATAAAAAATTTGAAACAAGAATAAAAGAACATTCTGGAATGCCTAATAGATGGTCTAGATTGTATGGATTCAGCCGTTAAGCCCGTAACTATCATTCTGAATACCCCGTGTTAAAGTTTTCGAGGTTGCATGATAAGAAATCACATTCCGACTGTCACTTTGGTAAGCGACGCTCTGATTGGTCGGATGAAAGGTTGTTCTGACGTGACCCCTAATGGGATGTCCTCAGATCTTTGTTTAGCGATAGCGAGAACTTAGATCTGATTTTAATGAGATTGGCATAAACCTGCACTTCTTCAACATAGAAACAGTTAAATTTCTTGATGCAACTTAAGCTGATAGTAGCATGAATCTTTGTTCTCAAAATGATGGATCATGAGATGCTATTTTAAGGAGAGAAAAAAGTGAAAATATTATGCATTTTAATCCAGTAAAAATATGAAAAAAACCAGAAGTTGATTTTTTCATAATCCCGTTTAGAATTTTCAGTGTGAGTATGTTGAGTGAAGGTCCGCATCAAAACATCCTGACATATTATCAATAAAACATATTGATCAGTGTGTCGACCGTCTGTGCGAGTGAGTGAAATGCAACAACAAAATGTCGATAACCTGGCTGGCATAACAAAAACCTCACACAAGGCAACATATTCAGTTAACTTTCTAAAGTACAGAACACAAAATCTGAACCATCTTGTTTATTCTCGTCTATATCCCATATATTAACCAGGAACTGCATACAAAAATATGTAACCCAAGAAAAAAGTCCTGTCTGGTGAAAGAGTCATAATTGTTAATGTCTCCTTAAACATTGTATCTATACCATAAAGTGCCAGGCTAATGATTGATCATATCGTCCAGCCTATAACATATCATAATGCACTGTGCATCTGTGGACGAGTTCAGTCTTCTCCCATGAAATACTATCAGCTGAAAGATGAGTACCCCGTATCAAAGGTCATGTTCCTCAACTGACAAAAAGATGGTGTGAATGTTTTAAAATTCAAGCTATTGCAATATTTTAGTTTGAGTGTAGTTAACATGGTTAACAACTTGTGCCATCTGCCAGTGACATTAGCAACTGTATTTCATTATCTGATGGTACATGAACACAATATTATTTGTGTTTCTTTAGTTAAACGTGACATTTGCTTCTTCAAACTCAGGCCCCATCCATTTTCAGACAAAGAAAGTCATCTGTACCGACTAAGCAAACGTGTGAACAAAAACCCAACTACACATGTATCTAAATATCAATATCAATTCAGTAAAACAAATTGTTCATATTTTGTACATTTTTATTATCAAATTAATATTAAAAAGGCAAATAAATTTGCATTTGCATTAATTATTATCTATGTAAGCCGAAAAGAGTAGTAATAGAGCCACAAGGCTCTGTAGCTCACCTAACTAATAAAGAAATAATTTTATGACACTTCACCCTTACTTTGGTAACAACATTTACAGTGAGTTACAGAAAACATTATTCCAGAAAAAAAGAGAGTACAAATAGTGATGCCCTGAACAAACTTAGATCTTCTTATATTCATTAGACTCCCACAAAGCTAAAGCCCTTGCCCTGTGGTTCTTCAGAATCAGATTTTAATACTTTTTGTAAAATTTAATTTTATATAAAAACATTTTTTTTATATTTTACAATAAAATCACATTGACTTGAAATAAATATGATGTTTTCATTAGGAGGAACCTGCATGCCAAAGTTCAGCTTCATCAGTCAAACAGTAGCGGAGGAGGAATTATCAAAGAGCATGGTAAATGTGTAAGGTCAGTGTCTTGTTTACTGGGGGTCACAGGATTGTAGTAGTCTGTCATGTGAAAGGGAACCCTCTTGAAGTTTGTTTGTTTGTTGTTTAACGCGGCACTCAGCAATATTCCAGCCATATGACGGGGGTCAGTAAATAATCAAGTCTGGACCAGACAATCCAGTGATTGACATCATGAGCATTGATCCACGCAATTGGATACGATGACATGCATCAACCAAGTCAGCGAGCCTGACCACCTGATCCTGTTAGTCGCCTCTTACGACAAGCACAGTCGCCTTTTACGGCAAGCATGGTTTGCTGAAGACCTATTCTACCCGGGGTCTTCACTATTGAAGTGCTTATGGCTGAAGCAATGCGGCAATTGTGGCTTTGGCCAGCCATGGATAACTGACACCCTAGTGAAATCTGTGGACTGTTTGGATCTGTTTGAACTTGTTTTGCTACTGCCTCCTATATTCTATATAGGTGTACATGGTGTAGGGTGTCAAAACATTGCTTGGACCAATCCATCCTACCGACAGTTTTTCCTTATGTTGCTCATGTTGCTTGTGTTGCTTGAACCATTTTTTGGTTTGGGTTCCATAGTAAACATATGCGAAGGCCTACTTTTTGTTATTGCTCCTCAATGTATTCAGATAATTTGATGAAACATGGTGGCAGACTTGTGTGTGGTTGTATCTAAGATATTATTTTCCAATTTTGCACGTAATTAGAAGCTGTTTGCCCTATCAACATTTTAGCTTTGGTGATACCATCTGTTATGCTGTAAACATGGTAAAGGTTGAACCAAGGTCAAAATATACAAGTATTTGTCACAAAGTGACGAAATGTCCCCCGCCTGTATATACACCATAGTACCAAATATGAAGACAATCCAGCGATTAGTTCTCGAGATATTGCTGCAACACCGTTTTCCAACTCCAAAAACAGATTTGCCTGCTGTGACCTTGAAAATGGGGTCAAGGTCACCAAAACCGACTGGTGTATGCGGTGTCTGTATATACACCATAGTTCCAAATATGAAGACAATCCAGCGATTAGTTCTTGAGATATCGCGGCAACACCGTTTTCTAACTCCAAAAGCAGATTTGCCTGCTGTGACCTTGAAAATGGGGTCAAGGTCACCAAAACCGACTGGTGTCTGCAGAATTTGTATATACACCATAGTTCCAAATATGAAGACAATCCAGTGTTTAGTTCTTGAGATATCGCGGCAACAAACAGGTGGGACATACGGACGGACGTACGGACGTACGTACGGACGGTCGTGAATACTATATCCCCCGCTTCGCGCTTTCGCGCGGCAGGGGACAATAATATAGCCAAAATGGAACATACATGTTAGGCCCCACTACCAACTGCAGCTATGCTAAATTTCAATACATTTTAAAGAAAATGGCCGATAAATAGCCACTAATGGGTACCTAAATAAAGTTGCTGAGGTGGCCATTTTTAACATCGGATCAAAATCCTGTGAGCACTTGTTACAGACACAATACATGTAGCTTCATTCATGTGATGTTTCAGATTCAAATCAAAAGCCTTGTAAAAAAAAATATATACCGTATTCGACGTAATAAGCGCCCAGGGCGCTCTCAAAATTAGAAATAGGGGGCTCTTATTAGAATATTTATTTGGTGAGAGAAAAGACAGAGTTGAAAGATTGTAAATTTTGTGGTTTATGCTGACAGCCTGAAATGATATAAAAGAAGAATGTGTGTGTATTATACACGATAGATATATTTTCGAGAATTTAATTGCCCATAATTAAGGGTGCATACAACACACGAGTGTGTATTATACACGAATAAATAAGTCTTGTGTACATTAATCAATCGGAAGGGTGCTAATTGGGATTGTTCACTAGCCAATATATTAGCAAATATCGCCATGGGCGCTTATTAGAGCGGGGCGCTTATTATGACGAATATGGTATATATATAAAAATGCCCAAACCTTTATTATATGTTCTTACGAAAACCACACACCCATGGGGAGCCCCAGCAGCCTATGCCGGTCACGAGGAGTCGCCTAAATTGATTGGGTGGTCTGGCCTGGTGACTTGGCTGATTGTGTGACTTTGTGCCCTGATGGTGTGGATCATTGCTCACAATATCAAACACTGGAATCAGCTGTTTCTAGAGAAACCATAGCTCGGGTCATTCATACAAAGTTTCAGTTACAAAGGCCTTGTAGTTTCAGAGATGTTCAAAATGCAAACGTTAATAATGGATCGGTAGATGGACAATGAACGACTCACAACTAAGCTCCCCTGACTGTCAGCCAGGTGAGCTAAAAATCTTTCACTGTTACTATGAACCATGCTGTATGTTGACGCTGTGGAAACAACTGTCTTCATCACCAAGCCGTGCATCAACAGCTGCATCAACAGCTGTTGATAGGTAATGTCTATATTGTATCTGCAATTATTATCTTGTTACGATCAGACACAACAGCTGCTTTTGTGAGACAAGCTCACATTCCACTGCAGTACACAATGCAACTAGAGACTGTAGACACATAGAATATGGGCTCTAAAATAGGGGTTTCAATTCAAGAATTTAATCCTCAACTGATATGAAAAAGCATTTATAACAAAGCTTTAAATACATAGTTTTCCTTAAAAAATATTGCGTATTGAGTGAGTGAGTTGGGTTTAACGCTGCTTTTAACATTATTCCAGTTATATCACGGCATGTCAGCTTAATGGCATGTCAGCTGGGAATGTACAGGGTAAAGATGTAGGCAATATGTATCTATCTTGTTAATAAAGGCGATGTAAGTTTTTCTACTTTGTTGTAAAAATCGGGTGTTCTTTAACGTCTTTTGAGGAGTATATATTGTTTGAGACCTTTAGGCACCTGCAGAAAGGTTATCAGCACAATATTACTACACATGGACATAAACTACAGATAAACTTAATATTCTTCCCTCGGACTGAGAATTAACATCGTTTCACTCACAGCTGAGTGTATCTTTACATAAGCACAAAGTCTGATATCGGACCATGTTTCAAAGTATACTGCTATTGTAATCTTTCCATGTTGTAGAGCGTTTTCTTTTTCAGAATACATAAAAAAATTATGAAATAACTACATGCCTTTAACAGCAACCATTAACAGAGTAAAACATCCACAAATCTTGCATGTGTGAACTTATCAGCATTGCATTTGTTGATAAAGAATTGGTGCAAACTACTCCGTCACCAACCATCAGGTTCAATAGCTGCAATAAACTAATACAGCAAATAATTGACCTGATTTGACTTGTTGTCAAGAGATAATGCGGGGCTAATTTCAGTAAGGATAATTGTGCAGAATTCTCAAACTTAACAAGGATACAGATTTAGATCATATATTGATCATATACTATGTACAGACAGGTTTGGGCGCTCTCCATACATACTGACGTAAATACAACCAAGCGCCTCTTCAAAATCAATCCTTAAATCACCACTCCAAACTCTGAACATTCTCCTCAGAATGTTTAATAATCAAAACATCAATAACATGTGTGAATGTTAAACTTGTCAAATAAATCATTAAAATTAAGAGGTCCCAGAGTCCTTGAGGTTTCTGGTTAAAGTATTAACACTGTGATCAAACGTGACTGAGGACCTTTGTGATATTTTAAGCTATTGCAATAATACATCTTCAGTTTCGACCACTGTCAGAATGTTGCCACACCAATTCGGTTTTCCAGCAGTTTGAGGATTGATGATGTCTAGCTTGTCTATGATGGCGAGGACCCATTGAGCGTGAGTCTGGATGCGAGCCAGGTACTAGTCTACTAACCGAAGACGAGGACCCAAAGAGTGTGAGTGTGGATGCGAGCCAGTTACTAGTCTACTAGTCTACTAGCCAAAGCAGCAACCCTCGTACTCACCCCCCGTATGTACCAGCGACCACGAGAGAGAGGTATCCGGACCGCTCAGACTTGGCCACGTACTGACAGGTCATACTGGTGGTAGCTGGCATGTGTACACCTTGCATAACAACAGGTCAACACACCACAGCATCAATACAGGCCATGAGGGCAATGATAGAAGCATGAGGAAGTGAAATGGGGAGATTAATACAACTTGATCTAACCAGGGTGCCGTTGTACAAAACAACCTCAGCAATGTCAATGTTAAGGTACGGGAGTTAAAATCGCTATGATCGCTTTGTACAACGGCACCCTGGTGTTTTATTAGTTCCAAAACTAACAAGGCCATTGATGAAGCATGAATGTAAACGATGAAGGGAACATGCATAGCCATTTTAAATGAGGCTTGGTGTTTGGTAGTGAGGCGGGCAGGAATGAATATCTAATAATTCATAATTTCATAAGGTTTTAAATTGGTATAATAGAATGCTTTCATCTTCAAGCATGACAAGGTAGTATATGAAATTTGCACTAGCCTGCTAGTTCACAGCTAGAAAAAATAAAAACAAAAAAAAACTGACTGAACAAAGGCATAAATTGCCTGTTACGCTGCTAAAATAAATCTCAAAAACTTGGTCAGACATTAGTTCACTACTACACAAAATTGACCTACTACAGAGTTGCCAGCTACCTAATCAGCCTTAGAAATTCATTTTTAAAAGTTCTAGTCCAGAGTCCATAGGACTAGTGTAAACCTTTTTTCTCTGGTCCTCAGAGTATGTAGCCAGTCCTGCTTGAACAAGACAGAAATGTTTACCATGTTTACATTTTCGGTCAGCTTTATTCAGGACCAATTTGTAACAAACTGCAATGAAGTATTAAAAACCGGATCAGAAAAAATAGCCCTTAAATGCTACTAGTCAATAAGAACTACTCTCATTGAGTTTTTACTTGCCTTCAGCACAATTAAGTAGACTTTGTCCGGCAGACTAGAGCAAATTTCAAGGCTGCCTAATGGTAAAAGTGGTAGTCCATTAGCATGATTAGGAAATCTTAAGTCTTTCCTGAACTTTCAGGTCTTGGACTAGAAGACTTATGTTAATTTGGAAACCCTGCCAGAAACTACAGGCTACCTCGTCACAAGACTTTCACAACAGATTTCCTTTGTATACCCCATGTTGCTCATATACAGTGAAACCTCATTAGACTGGACCCTAATAATCTGGAAAACCCCACCTACCAAACATTTACTGTTGGGAACCGTTACATAGTGACATTACCATGTACCCATGACTCATGAATACAGACATTCATTAATCAGGAAGATTTCCCATCACACCATATTGTCACAAGCAAGATCAGAAAAATCAACTAAAAAGCTTCTAGTTTAAAAAGATACAGTAAGGGTTAGTAAATGTTTCTGACATACAGCCTGAGTTCGAAGTTATGACGGTCCCAGGGTGGTTGAGGTTTGCTCCGATAGAAATTTAAATTTAAGTATTCGATAAATATTTAACATTTAACATTAGGGTTAAGACAAGGACTCCTTAACGTCCATGCTTAATTTTGAACACTGTTGAAAGACATAAGGACATGAAAGACTTTGCTCATACAATTTCGATTCAGGTCTTGAAATTGATGCCATGGTAGCAAGAAGCAAACATTCCACCTGAGACTGGTCAGCTACCTGAGAAATATATGGCAGAATATTTCAGCTATTGATCCATTTATCTGACTGACCTAAACAGTATATTGCCTTCAAGTCAACCAGTCCTTGTTTTAGCCCCTTAATGCCGAATGCCAGGCAGGGTAACAACAATTATATGTATCATCTTTTAATATCTTTTTGTATGACGCGCCTGGGGATCGAACCCCTGACCTTCCGCTGCTCTGGGCAGATGCTCTATTTAACAGACCATGGAGACATTAGTGAATGAGTGAGATTTTACGCCGCTTTATATTCCAGCAATATTCCAGCAATATCACGGCGGGGGACACCAGAAATGGGCTTCACACATTGTACCCATGTCGGGAATCGAACCCGGGTCTTCGGCGTGATGAGCGAACGCTTTAACCACTAGGCTACCTGACCGCCCCATTAGTGAATGAAGAGACTACTAAATGGCATCACTTGACTTAATGAAACATGAATTTGGTATATTTGGATTTTGCTGTCATGGATTTAGAAACTACCTGAAATGAAATTAGTACTAGTAGCAAAAATGGTTTTCAAAACAGTTCATTTCTCATTTCTCTAGCTCTGCAAAATTAAGTTATTAACTGTACCAAATCTGAAACCTCTTATAATATATGATAATTTATTGCAATTTATGATAAGAAAGAAACAAAACGTCAGCACATATGTTGTATTTGCTGAGTGATTTCCTGTTTGATGAAGCATGGCATCAAACCTCAGTGCTGCAGCAAAATATTTCTATTGTGATGCAAATGTGTCTGAATTCTTGATCACTCTGCCTGACAATGAGTGAGTGAGTATGGTTTTACGCCGCTTTTAGCAATATTCCAGCAATATCACGGCGGGGGACACCAGAAATGGGCTTCACACATTGTACCCATGTCCGGAATCGAACCCGGGTCTTTGGCGTGACGAGCGAACGCTTTAACAACTAGCCTACCCGACCGCCCCTGCCTGACAATGATTATTGACTGCATCTGCACCCAGGTATAACAGCACAAGCTGTCATTGTCCGTCAGGTTTCATTAGCATCACTGACATCCCTTTTCATTATTCAAGATGGTTAAAGAAAGAAATGAACTTTCTATAACCAATCTCACAACAGGGATTTATCTAGGGTTCCAAACTAATTGCCCTTGGCAGGCAAATTGAAAAAAAATCGATATTTTGTTCAAGTTCTTATTGTCCTAAATAAAGAGGTATTTTAACTTTGAATTTTCACATTGTATTCAAAGCAATACTTTTAGATTAAGCATTAAGGACTCTTCCTCTATATTATCCTGTTATTTGTGAACTACAAGTCATCTTACAAAGCCATAAACAGCATGAATTGGGAAATGTTTAATTCCAATTTAAATTTTTGACTGACATTAGCTGCAGACTTAGGGCTGAATATTGGCCTCTCAGCAGGTGTAGATAAATCCCAGCATAACCATGTTAAGTTAAATTTAACAGCTAAATAAATTCATAACCATTGCATATTTGACCTTTTAGCTTTTGCAGTAATAGATGGGTAAGAGGTGACAGAGTGAAAGCTGTTCTGTGAGGAACATTATTTAGAATATCACATAGTGATGTGCACTGTTATTGATCTTATACATTGGAAGACAACAAACTGTTTTGCATGAGGAAGATAATAACCCAACAGTGTGAGTATCTGTCTGTGCCACTGGAGACTAATTATGTAATAGTTAATCTAATTAGCATTAACAAATGTACATAATGATACACTACTAATGTGTTTATGATAATCTGAAATAAACACGTCATATCATATATGATAATGTATGGCATATCAAATAAACATTTTCTCAACAAAAGATTATGGAAATCTACATTTGCTTAAAGCAAAGTTACAGATTAACTGTTTGGTTCGTTGTTTAACGCCGCACTCAGCAATATTCCAGCTCTATGGCGGCGGTCTGTAAATAATCAAGTCAGGACCAGACAATCCAGTGATTGACATCATGAGCATCGATCTACGCAATTTGGATACGATGACATATATCAACCAATTCAGCAAGCCTGACCAACCAATCCTATTAGTAACTTCTAACGACAAGCATAGTCGCCTCTTACGACAAGCATGGTTCTCTGATGGTGCTGATGATACGGATGATGAGATCAGTTGTAGATAATAATCAGTTAACTGAATACTATCATTGAGACCACCTCATGCTATCAAAATGAACTCAATAAAGAAATTCAGCATCAATCTCCAAATGACCAAAGTCTGGATAGTCAGACTTGCCATTTTAAAACAAAATCACAAAACATATATCACAGAACAGTGTGAGCTTACCTTGGCAAACTCCTAACAGGACTCTGGACAACACAACGATGTAGAGAGACATGTGTTTGTCTGTTGACAGGTATGCAACTTGTGGCGTCCAGAATGTGATGAGTGACCACAGACATGCTGCTATGGGTAGGACAATGTCCCCACCAATGCGGTCACTCAGGTACCCACCCAGAAACTGTGTCATGGTGTACCCCCAGAAAAAGGCCGACAAGACAGTGCCCTGAAAAAGAAATATATAAACCACTAGAGATATACAACCATGAACACATCAAGCAACATCCCTGATGAAAACATATATTTTGGATAATTTTAAACGCCATTATCATGGTTTTCATTATTATGGGGGGGGGGATGGGTTACCAGTCATCAAAGGTGCCAAACTATTCACTATGCTGGGTTGTGTCCCTTTTGTGTGCCATGATCCTATGATTGTGGGTTCAAACCTCAGATTCAACCTATTAATATTCTATGACTGTGAGGACCATACCCCGGACAACCTATGCTTGTGGGTTCCACTAAGGTGGTAAACATGGTAAATGCCAAACACTTGCATCACTTCAGACTTTTCTTTTACATTAAGCTGACAAGACACAAAACATGGATATTGTTCAAAGTGGCTCATTCACTCATTAAAATATAACGTAGCTAATGTGTGTGATAAAAGCAGTGCGCGAAAAGTATGGGTAATATTGGCCTTATGACTAGCCCCACGCTTGCCGTTCCTCCACTGAATCAAAGTAGCTAATGTGTGTGATAAAAGCGGTGTGCGAAAAGTATGGGTAATATTGGCCTTATGACTAGCCCCACGCTTGCCGTTCCTCCACTGAATCAAAGTAGCTAATGTGTGTGATAAAAGCGGTGTGCGAAAAGTATGGGTAATATTGGCCTTATGACTAGCCCCACGCTTGCCGTTCCTCCACTGAATCAAAGTAGCTAATGTGTGTGATAAAAGCAGTGTGCGAAAAGTATGGGTAATATTGGCCTTATGACTAGCCCCACGCTTGCCGTTCCTCCACTGAATCAAAGTAGCTAATGTGTGTGATAAAAGCAGTGCGCGAAAAGTATGGGTAATATTGGCCTTATGACTAGCCCCACGCTTGCCGTTCTTCCACTGAATCAAAGTAGCTAATGTGTGTGATAAAAGCAGTGCGCGAAAAGTATGGGTAATATTGGCCTTATGACTAGCCCCACGCTTGCCGTTCCTCCACTGAATCAAAGTAGCTAATGTGTGTGATAAAAGCAGTGTGCGAAAAGTATGGGTAATATTGGCCTTATGACTAGCCCCACGCTTGCCGTTCCTCCACTGAATCAAAGTAGCTAATGTGTGCGATTTAAGCAGTGTGCGAAAAGTATGGGTAATATTGGCCTTATGACTAGCCCCACGCTTGCCGCTCCTCCCCTGAATCAAAGTAGCTAATGTGTGTGATAAAAGCAGTGTGCGAAAAGTATGGGTAATATTGGCCTTATGACTAGCCCCACGCTTGCCGTTCCTCCACTGAATCAAAGTAGCTAATGTGTGTGATAAAAGCAGTGCGCGAAAAGTATGGGTAATATTGGCCTTATGACTAGCCCCACGCTTGCTGTTCTTCCACTGAATCAAAGTAGCTAATGTGTGTGATAAAAGCAGTGCGCGAAAAGTATGGGTAATATTGGCCTTATGACTAGCCCCACGCTTGCCGTTCCTCCACTGAATCAAAGTAGCTAATGTGTGTGATAAAAGCAGTGTGCGAAAAGTATGGGTAATATTGGCCTTATGACTAGCCCCACGCTTGCCGTTCCTCCACTGAATCAAAGTAGCTAATGTGTGCGATTTAAGCAGTGTGCGAAAAATATGGGTAATATTGGCCTTATGACTAGCCCCACGCTTGCCGTTCCTCCCCTGAATCAAAGTAGCTAATGTGTGTGATAAAAGCAGTGTGCGAAAAGTATGGGTAATATTGGCCTTATGACTAGCCCCACGCTTGCCGTTCCTCCACTGAATCAAAGTTGCTAATGTGTGTGATAAAAGCAGTGCGCGAAAAGTATGGGTAATATTGGCCTTATGACTAGCCCCACGCTTGCCGTTCCTCCCCTGAATCAAAGTAGCTAATGTGTGTGATAAAAGCAGTGTGCGAAAAGTATGGGTAATATTGGCCTTATGACTAGCCCCACGCTTGCCGTTCCTCCACTGAATCAAAGTAGCTAATGTGTGTGATAAAAGCAGTGCGCGAAAAGTATGGGTAATATTGGCCTTATGACTAGCCCCACGCTTGCCGCTCCTCCACTGAATCAAACAACACTTGGATGAGACATGATTGGCGACAATGAACTTTTACAATAGTATTCATATTATTGGGATCAGTAAAAGCACTATTGCAATAATTATTCTACGATGCCTGTAAAGCTGTAACAAAACACTGAAGCATGACAAGACATGTATTCCGATAGGGTGGTGATATAATACACCTTTCAAAGAGGTAATACTGGAAAGTTTTAAGAATCATTTGTACAAACAAAAACTTTGTAAACTGACATTGATGTACATGATGTAGATGTCATAATATCTTAAAAATATAAATAAAACTCATATGATATTTTGTTCAGCAGAAAACCTTTATTAATCAAAAACTGTTAGCATGATTACACCATGTACACTTCTAACTTTACATTATGTCTTTTATTAGTTTCACAAAAAATGACCAGATGAAACCAGGCCAAACAATTCCAGAAACTGAACCGAACCTGTGTACATTTTCTTTCCATAAACCTAAAAATACGGTAGAAACTAACATGTTTTGTCCACTAGTCCTTATAATGATAACATAGAGCAAAACCCTTAAAATGGCAAATTTCTACTTGTCCTTACGATACCATAACTATTGGGCAGTTTGGCAAGGACTACAGGACAAGTGCAAATTTCTAACGCTGCTAAAATACTAACCCTGCTAACTGTGACAAATAATTACAAATACATGGAACAACTTTCAGTATTGTAGAGCACAATAAACACATGACAAGGCATGTTTCTTTTATCTGATGAGAAAATAACTTCAATCATTTTCAAAAGCAGCATATTGACTGCCATTGTCGCATTCTTGTAAAACATTTTGATAAAAATCATCTCACAGCTGTTGTGAAAATTGCTATTGATCATAACTCTGCTATGCAACACCACAGTGTCTTTGTTAGAATGCTTGTCCACTCACACTGGAGTAAACCAGATCTATTACATGGAGCAGTGAATTTGATGACTGAATATTGATTTGTTTTCATCAAAAGCATGACATGAATACCAAGATGGCATATTTCTACTAGTTCTTATACCATGTATACCTTAACTATTGGACCCGTGAAGATCCGGGGCAGAATAGGTCTTCAGCAACCCATGCTTGCCGTAAAAGGCGACTATGCTTGTCGTAAAAGGCGACTAACAGGATTGGGTGGTCAGGCTCGCTGACTTGGTTGATGCATGTCATCGTATCTCAATTGCGTGGATCGATGCTCATGATATTAATCACTGGATTGTCTGGTCCAGACTCGATTATTTACAGAACGCCGTCATATAGCTTGAATATTGCTGAGTGCGGCGTAAAACAACAATCCAACCAACCAACCTTAACTATTGATCATCTTGGCAAGGACTATAGGACGAGTTCCAATTTCTATCGCTGCAAAAGCATGATATGAATACCAAGATGGAAAATATAACATGTTCCTAATATAATAATCATGAAAATAGAATCACTTATGATTTTGATATGATACAGCAGCTCACGTTACTGTTTTGTATAAATTGTTTCATCAGATATCGCAGTTCACTGAATATTTTGTGAATCGTTACATCCCTAGATGGCAGATATTAGCTGTTATAATGTAGCATGATATAGATGCAAACTATTGATTTCTGTATGGGTTACGCTGCTTTTAGCAATATTCCAGCAATATCACGGCGGAAATGGGCTTCACACATTGTACCATGTGGGGAATCGAACCCGGGGCTTTGATGTGATGAGCGAACGCTTTAACTACTAGGCTACCCCACCGCCCACGAAACATGAAGAAAATGGCTCAGTTTAACCATATAATCCTTGCACCAGTGCAGCTTTATGTAACATGCTACATCACTAATCCCTGTGTCGTGTATAATTTTGTCATGTTTTCTTGATGTCATCAAACTGGGTACTGCAAGATTATGAATATATGTTCCTCTAATGTTTTACAGCATTAAGTCATTAATTTATATAAACTCATGACACAGTCATCAGAGATTTGCGATTTTATTTATTTAGACTAGTTTATCATCTATGTTTCAACTTTGATAAATTGATGGGACCAGGGTGCACCCTGATTTTGTCTAACTAGGTTTTCATGTCAACATGCATCTTGTGCATGTTAAATATAGTTCCTTAAAGCCAGCCCTGGAACTAATTTTATAGTCTATTCAATCATCTTAAGACTCATCATTGTTTATTTATCAGATGTGTATTAAAAAGTCAGAAGGATTATCAAAGTAAACTCACTGCTTCTGTCTTGTCCCAAGACATCTCCTCTGAAACTGCAACTACCGCCATTGGCATGATTGTACGAGATGCGTATAACATGGATGTCCCAGCAAATAAGGCCAAGGCCCATTGCCTTTTTTCTTGTCTGTAACAAAGCATTGCATAGACATAGTAAATATTGATTCATGAAACATGAAATACAGCGAATACAAATATACATATTGTATGAATACTAGTGTCCCATCACCTGTTTTCATGGGAACACTATTTTCACGATTTTCGAGGTATTTTGATATCACACTACATGTATCTCACAACACAACAGTGTGAAAGATATTAGGAAAGATATATCTAGGACATCAGACAGCAATGTGGGTGGACATAAATACTATCAGATTTGACATTACCCATTTATCATGTTTACAAACAAGTTAAATTTTGGGTGTCGTGCCTGGTTAGCAAAAATCCAATTTTCAAGTATCCAAGTATCAGTAAAGCGAAAACCCAAGTTGGGGTATTTGTCCTACATAAGCGAGAAATGAGTAATTGCTATAAAAACACCGGATTACTGTAGTGTAGATTAGCGCCCGTGCTACTAGCGTTTGTGCAACTATACTATACTTCAGCATCTAATAAATTACTACTGTGATTACGGTATACGCATTTCTGTGTTTTTCTTGTAATTTGAGAGTCCCGGTACAGCAATATCCCGTGTTTACTGTAGCTTGACCAGTCTTACTGTAGCCTCACGAGAGCGAAGAGATTTTAGAGTTGATTATGGCTAGGTTTCGCTCTTCCGGCCCAGAACCAAATTTTGGGGGTTTGAGGGCGAAATCATGATGGTGCATAGAGACACCAAATAAATCCTGAAAAGTCCTCCAGGAAAAGTGTACTAGCTCTGAAATTTGAGGTTTTGAAAGACCAAAAATGGTTGTTGCTTTACTCAGCATTGTTAGTCAGTGAGTACTGCTCTCTCAGAATGCCAGTTCACCTGGCCATATACACCGGTAGGCCTATATATATATGTGGTCTTTGAATACACGTAGCGACTAGTCTACGTGTTACGGTAGCTTCTACATAAATTATGTTTACAGGTTCGTTGTCTCCTTGTAATCATATAAGAAATCAGTGATCACGGTGCCCTCAAATAGGTAAAGATCAATTAACGCAGTGAATCGGAACGACTTGTTAACAGACTTCTGATCTTCCGAGACTCCCAACCACATCTAGTATGATCTAGGCCCTAACAGTTTGCACCGCAACTTCTCTGAACTTTGACTGCCGAGAATGTGACAACAGTCTGGATCAGATTAGCTTATACACACAATCATGAGCTTTAGTGATTTTTACTGTACCTATTCCAGAATACTCCACCAGGAACCTTTTTGTCTTTGATCGAAATTGTGATGTCTGGTTTGTAAACGTCATCTTCGGTTTTCGCCATGTTTTGAAAGGTTGACTTAAAAAATAAGATGTCGGAATACAATAATTAAAATAAATATGTTCTTTGAGACATACACATGTCATCGAATTTCTTTCTTTCCAATGAATATGACTGTCCAAAATTATATGTTATGTTTGATATATAGACAATATTCTTTGGATGTTTCAGCACATTGGCACTCTTATTTCGTTTTAACTTTGTGTTTTACTTTTAAGGCATCTGTTTGTTGCAACTTCCGGTTGGAAAGCACGTTGCGTTGTTATTCATTACTGAAGTTGGATATGTGCTTAAACTGATTGGATTTGTTGTTAATTTCATGTCCAGATGGTGAGGGTGGACTTATTGTTTAAGCATTACAGACTGTGAATTTCGTTTGACAAAATGGTATATTTTGATACGATAAATCCAAATACGTGAGTTATTTGCAATCACCAGCTGATCACACAGAATATAGGGCATGTACATATTTCTGAATGAAGAGTTCAGTTGTTCACAGATTCGTTGTCTCCTAGCAATCCTGTTTGTACTTAACGTGTCTCAGAACGTCTAATAAACGTGACACAGAGACAGTTGTTCTGTCGCAGCATTTTGATGAAAATATCTTTCCTATTGGGAATCGTAGAGATGTGTGTACTTTCTGATATTAATATGAGTATTGACGTACATATGTGGGTTTTACCCAGCTCACTTTATTGAGTCAACAAAATCAGTTTCCTGGGTGCAGTTTATATTTAGCTAATTGGCTGAGGCTGGTGGCTGTGGCTCCATCTTCTCAGATCTCCCTTCAGGCCACTTCGATCCTTCGGGTTAGTTGTGTTAGAGATAGGGTAAGTTAAAAATTACCCCCAACTCTATCCTTAGCCCTTGGAACCCCTTTCCAAACCCACCCTTTTATGATCACTAGGGTTAGTTATGCCTCTCCGATCAAAAACCCCTTTAGGAACCTTGTTTTTTATGTAATTTCAGGGACATCCATACATTATTTTTATCAAGTTTAGACTTTTGCATGTGCATCATCATGATCATATGACTTGTCTTTGTCAACTATTTTCTCATAAATTTGTCATCTGTTTTAGCCTCACAGAAAGAAGAAGAAGTTTATTGATAAGAAGAATGCACAAACATTCCGCTTAGTTCACAGAAGTCAGAAGGATCCCTTACAGGCCAGCGATGATGTTGGACAACGTGTCCTCCTGCCTGTTGAGGATAAGGTATGAAGGGACCACAATCTCATTAAAATCAGATCTTAGTGCTTGTAACCGCAACACAAAGATCTGATTACAGATCAATTACTGGTCACATCAGACCGACCTTTTGTGAACCGCCTAATGAAATCTCACAAGATTTGAATGTGGTCATAATCATGATCATATTCATAACTTCTTTAGCATGTTTAGCCTTCCAACTTTGTGAGCTTGTATAAAATATCCCCATCTATATTATCAATGGATCTGTGAAATATGTGAAAGGGAGATAAATTTGGACTGTTTGATTGTCATGGTCTTATTGATCGTGTTGATGGGTTTTTCATGTTTATTGCTCAATGAACATATGCTTTGAGGAAGACATAGGAGAAAAATACTGCATGACAACCATGTCAACATCATTATATACTATTCCACTTTTGATACAGATATTTGTAATTCTCCATGATACACAAAACTTCTAATATCATGAATATGTCAACATGGTCAAGTGTATATTTAAATAGAATGACATGTCTAATTATCCCTATCAAAAGTTGTGAAGTGTGTGTGCATGGAGTAAGTAACTCCTGACATGGCAAATATAAATCAGTTCTTTTCATTATATATATGATGTTTTGATACAGGAAGCAGAGAAACGTAAGAATACTCAACGTGAGTTTGGTGTGTTCTTTGAAGACGATTATGACTACCTTCAACATCTCAAAGATGCAGATGAAACAGTGGAATTTGAACCTGTGGAAAGTGTCCGTGTTCCCAAGTCTTCGCAAGGAGTTAAACAGGTTTGTTCACCTCACCATTCTATGGAGACATGATAGAGGGCTTATATTGTTTAACAGTTGTGTTGAAAATTATTTCTGAAATTTTATTACAATGGAAGATGGATACTAAAGTTTAAGAAATAATTTTCAATGTATAATTTATGTAATTGTTCAGAAATGTTCAGTTGCTGCAATTCACTATTTAGACTTGTGCCTCTTAGGTGATTGTGGGTTCAATTCCCGGTTCACTTTGATTATGTTTCTAGGTTTGTCAGCACCATGCCCATTCACCAAAGTGGCAGACATCCAATACCTGCATCACACTTACTTATAAACTTGTCAGCTCTCAAGTTGTGTTATTAACATGGTTAACATGTCCCAATCTGCTGTACAAACATTGATGACTTTTGTCTTGGATATTTACTACAAAAAATGTTCTTAAAGGTAAAGAATATCCTAGCTTTGATGCCACACTGTCCTTTCACAACAAACACAATATTGTACACCATGGACAGTTGTACACATATGAAACTGCTAAATGATGTTAAAACATTTCTTACAGTATAATATTCAACTCAGTGCATGCATATGGAATGTAACCATGGTAACTGGTGAGAAAGTGTAGGCAGGAAGTTTTGTTGTTTCATCTCACACAACATGCACAATGTTCAAGATGATTTTCCTTTATAAAACATGGTTTTACATCATTTAACATTGTGAAGAATCGAATAATATGTGAAAGGATAGACATGTGTCAATCAATAATAATTCAGATATTGTACTTGCTGTTGAGTGTTGTTGATATCGATTTAAATATGGTGTATGTTTATTATCCGTATCCTCATCTTTAAGTCTGACGCGACAGCAAGGGATTCCAAACTGAAGCTACCGTCAACTGTCTTTGCCTCTCAAGTAGAGACGGAGGTCGGTCTCCTCAACAAGGCAGCTCCTGTCTCAGGTGATCCTAACCTTACATTGTCTACCGGGGTACGTCAAGGTGTCCATGGGGACCCAGGGAACGATAGGTCCCAAGTATGCCATGCAGCAGTAGAAACTTACATTTTTAGTCCACTAGTCCTTATAATGTCAGCATATAGCAAACCCCTTAAAAATGGCTAATTTCTGCTCGTCCTTACGATACGTTATCTACTAGGCAGTTTGGCAAGGACTACAGGACTAGTGCGAATTTCTAACGCTGCCATGCATGTATAAGAGCTGACTGAAGACAAACATGGGGCGGTCGGGTAGCCTCATGGTTGAAACGTTCACTCGTCACGCCGAAGTAACGGGTACGATTCCCGACATGGGTACAATGTGTGAAGCCCATTTCTGGTGTCCCCCGCCGTGATATTGCTGGAATATTGCTAAAAGCGGCGTAAAATGAAACTCACTCACTCACTGAAGACAAACGTGGTCTCGCTCGGTCAAAGGATTACTTCCCTTCCTGTATTGTCATCTTTTGAAGTAATTCATCTTCAAGTATTTGAAGTCATTAATGAGATAAGTTGACCTGTTAAAAGATCAGTTGATATAAAACAAAAACATTTCTCTAAGTTTTATTTATAGGATAAATGGTTCTAATTGAAACTCCTCCTGTTGCCCAGTTATCAGTCTTGTTCAGTGTCTAGTCATTAATTACACTTCTTATTAAAATATGAACACTTCTCAGCGGTAGAAACTAACATTTTTAGTCCACTAGTCCTTATAATGATGACATATAGTAAAACCCTTAAAAATGACAAATTCTACTAGTCCTTATGATACCTTAACTATTGGGCAGTTTGGCAAGGACTACAGGACGAATGCCAATTTCTAATGCTGCTTCTTTGATATCCTGAATATTCATGTATAGTAGATTACAGATAATGTGTAATGCTGTTTGCAACGTCAGCCACTAGTCCAAAGCATGAGTCTAGTAAAATTTCTTCTGGTCTAGTAAAACACATTATACTGGTCCACAAGCTAAGACTAAACTTTACTGAAAATTATGCCTAAAGTAAAGTTTTTGGCACAGACTTCTAATATGAAGGTGATTGGTTTCAGGTCCACGATTAGACTGGGATCCAGACATTGTTGCAGGCTTGGATGAAGACTTTGATTTTGATGACCCTGAGAATGTCTTGGATGATGACTTTGTCCTGAAGGCCAATGATGCTGTTGGAGAAGGGGGGCATGGGGAGGGGGAAGGGGAATGGTAAGGACAGGAGGATTCATACTCTTTCATTAATGCAAAACACACTGTTGAGGTCAAATTAATTTTGTATGTAGATCTAATGTCTCCGTAGTTTTGGACGAGAGCCATTATTGTTGTTATGATAATGGTTGGGGTTCTGTGAAATAGGCCTGTCCATGTTGAAGCCCTATGTTTGGATGAATTTGCTGTAGCAGTGTTATAGAATGCTTACTCGCTCAGAGCTCTAGATAACACGCGTATGTGTGTAGAATACGCCATAATATTTTACCATTACGAATCTCCAGAAATGACATCATGACAGAACAATGTTTTGTCGTGAAATAAACCATGCCTCTTTCTTCATCCTGCTTTGCGATTTATTGCGTAGCAATCTTTTATCATGTTTATATGTATAGAATACGGCAATAAATTTTACCATTCCGCAATTTGAGGTGGTTGCATACAAATATGCACGAGAAACTAAGCATGGGCCCAGTCTTCAAAGGTGTTGCAATTTGCTGTGCAGAGTTGCGTCCCTTAGGCCCCAGGTTCCCCTTGTTCATGTCTCCCAATTTGCCAACGTCATAACCGTGGTTGTGGGTTTCACCAGAGTGACTGAACTTGCATCACGTTGAGCTTACCTATCTAGCTGACATGCTGTGATATAACTGAACATGCTGAAATACTGTTTAACAAGTTCAAGGCGGTATTTAACCAAACTCGCTACAAGACACAGTGATATAGCTGAGTGGGGCGTAAAACAATTTTGCTCAACATGTTCACTCACATCCTTGTTTTCCAGGACTGATGATGAAGACGCAGCATCAGATGCAGCAGATTTCTCTGACGAGGCCATGGACCAGCTTGGCGATGGTGACATGTTTGAGAACGAGGAGACAAAATCCCGTTTCACTCAGTACTCCATGACCTCCTCTGTCATTCGCAGAACAGAGGGACTTACGCTGCTCGATGATAGATTCGAAAAGGTGGAGTACCTTAGCAGTAGTTGGATTTAAATTTAACCCTTTTTTAACCATGCATGATTTGATAGTAATTATCGTTTGATTTTGACATATTATAAGAATGTCTGGTCATGTAAGATATTCTTTTTAAGCTGAATCTCATGTACTCTTTTATCATGTTTTTTTGGTAGCCTAGTGATTAAGGCATGTTCTTTTGAAGCGGATTGTTTGAATACTGGCTAAAAGTAGTTTAAAACTATCCCAACTCACTCACTGCTGTGCCAACCAGTAGGTGCTCATGGTGTACAGTCTATCTGTTCCAGCTGTTCGAGGAGTATGATGAGAGCGAGATTGGAGCACTGGACCATGAGGACATCGATGGCCGAGTTGAACCCAGCAGTCAGATACTGGACAGTGTTCTAGATGAGTTTGAGAAGGAGCAGGCTAAAGTGTGAGTAGGCAGACGTGGCCTTGTTAACATGGTGTGTTAGGTGGGGAGGCTAAAGTGTGAGTGGAGATGTGGCCTAGTTAACATGGTGTGTTAAGTAGGGAGGCTAATGTGTGAATTGGGAGACTTGGTTGTATGAACATGGTGTGACAAGTGGGGAGGCTAAATGGGAGTCAGGGAGACTTGGTTGTATGTACATGGTGTGTCAAGTGGGGAGGCTAATGTGTGAATGGGGAGACTTGGTTGTATGTACATGGTGTGTCAAGTGGGGAGGCTAATGTGTGAATGGGGAGACTTGGTTGTATGAACATGGTGTGACAAGTGGGGAGGCTAAATGGGAGTATTGAGACGTGGCTTTGTTAACGTATGTTAAGTGGGGAGGCTAAAGTGTGAGTAGGGAGATGTGGCCTTGTTAACACGGTGTGTTAGGTGGGGAGGCAAAAGTGTGAGTATTGAGAAGTGGCCTTGTTAACATGGTGTGTTAGGTGACGAGGCTAAAGTGTGGGTGGAGATGTGGCCTAGTTAACATGGTGTGTTAAGTGGTGAGGCTAAAGTGTGAGTGGGGAGATGTGGCCTTGTCAACATGGTGTGTTAGGTGGGGGGGCTAAAGTGTGAGTGGGGAGACGTGGCCTAGTTAACATGGTGTGTTAAGTGGGGAGGCTAAATGGGAGTCAGGGAGACTTGGTCGTATGAACATGGTGTGACAAGTTGGGAGGCTGATCTCAGCTTTGGATAAATGTAGAGATTGGAGTATGTGCCTGAAGCAGATATATTCAAGTAAAACCAAAGGGCAAAAAATAATACTATTTCACTTCTTAATATTCTTATCTTGCCCAGAATCTCATGCCCAGTACTTAATGTTTTGTTACCATCTTATCATGCTTATTATTAGATTTCTGTTTTTGTTCTTGCAGACAATTGTCGGATGTAGTTGGGAATAATGTAACTGCTGATTCTGAGAGTGATGATGACACAGAGCTGGTGAAGATGGTCATCGAGGAGCCTGGGGAGAAGTGGGACTGTGAATCTATACTTAGTGAGTCATGCAGACAGAGCATCATCTTTGTGGGGATGTAGGAGCACCTGCTTCTTATTGCAGGGGATGTAGGAGCACCTGCTTCTTATTGTGGGGATTCTAGGAGCACCTGCTTCTTTGTGGGGATGTAGGAGCACCTGCTTCTTTATGTAAGATTGTAGGAGCACCTGCTTCTTTATGTGGGATTCTATGAGCACCTGCTTCTTATTGCAGGGGATTGTAGGAGCACCTGCTTCTTATTGTGGGGATTTTAGGAGCACCTGCTTCTCTTTGTGGGGATTGTCGGAACATCTGCTTCTTTGTGGGGATTGTAGGAGCACCTGCTTCTTTTTGTGGGGATTCTAGGAGCACCTGCTTCTTTATGGGGATTGTAGGAGCACCTGCTTGTTTTTGTGGGGATTCTAGGAGCAATTGCTTCTTTGTGGGGATTGTAGGAGCACCTGCTCCTTTTTGTGGGGTATTCTAGGAGCACCTGCTTCTCTTATGGGGATTCTAGGAGCACATACTACTCTCTCTGGTGATTTTAGAAGCTGCTATTGCTCTGTGTGTCGATTGTCCTAGTCATTTGAGCACCTGTGCCCTTTTTGATCAAACGTGCAGATAGGTGCACTTTTCGAGTTACGCCATCATCATGATCATTGGCTGACGTCATGACATTTTTCAAATTACCTCCCCTTTTGACCTAACGTATCCTTGGTAACGTTGTTCTATCAGTCCTGTCAGTCAAGATGGTGTATCCACATCTATTATTGATTTGTGAAATAGTTTCGTTAAGGGAAAAATATGGCAAGCATCCTTGTGCTATAACTATACTGGTTCAGGGAAAACTTTGGTGTACTCTATTGTATCACCACTGGCACTGTTTCCTTTGTTCTCAACAGTTCAGTAACCACCGATACACCAGCGAGGGGAGTCATGTAATTATATGAGACCTATACCTCTTATTACTGGTCCATCAAGCATATCCTGTACCACCTGGGGGAGTAGCCAAGTGCTACTCACACACATGTTGCAAGGCATACCCATGGCCTTTATTATGACAAATGTCAGCAAGAATCGAAAATTAATTTCACTAAATATACCTAAAAATATCTCATGATGCACCAGTCAAGTCATTCAGTAAATGTAACTTACTCTTCATATGGGGGTAGAACAAACTTTATTACCTAATTAGAGAGCTTCTTCCCGCGGCAAGGGCGTTAACTGACTATAAAAGTCCTGTTTCCACCCTTGCTCCACTAGGCTGGAATTTGCAGGCTTGATCGTTGCGCCACCAGTAGCTATTGGAGTTATATCCCTTCTATGTCCCTCCTATTGACCAATCAGATTTCACCTCTCATATCACTTGCAATTGCTTCAAACAAAATGGCAGCGCCCAGTCAAAACCATTTGATCGATAGTCAAAATCTTTGTTATAATAAAACGGGCCTTACCTCGCGAAATGCATCAAACTACAAGAGCACCGTGATATTAAAATCATGAAAAGATTTGCATAATATCTGTTGACGCCCAGTTGACGGTACACATGATTTGCAAACCCTTCAGTCGACCGAAATGTGCACGTCGAAATCCATGTTGTTTACGAACCAGATGTCAAGTTATTTACAGGATTTTGATTGGACTATGCAAAGAATCGTTAGTCCAACCAAAATGTAACTCCGAATTTCCAACCTAGTTTGGCAAGTGTGGAACCTGGACCTCTTATTGTCAGTTAACGCCCTTGCCTTGGGAAGATGATTAGAGCGAATCTGCAAATCTATATAAATATCAAAATATCTTGTGATACACTCGTCAAGTCACTCAATGAATGCTACTTACACTACACATGGGGGTAGAGAGAACTGTATCAACTAATTAAAGGGGGGCTGCACCTCTATGTCCCGAGACAAGAGTAAGGGTCACTCCTGTCCTGCAGATTTGTCGTTGTTTGTGAATCTCTATACCTCTTTACTTCAGGCACCTACTCCAATCTCTACAATCATCCCAAGTTGATATCAGAACCAAGAAGTCAAAATGTAAGTAGATGGTTGTTGGCCTGTTTACACGGCATGATCCATACTGGTAGACTGAAGTCAGTGATACTGATAGACACAGCACAGGAGCATGGATAGAGGATACTCATTAACTGAAGTGGGGAATTTCTGCTAGCATTCTGCTGTAAGCATGGTAACAAAGATTCAAAAGTGTGTAAGGCTAATAATATAATAGTCTTGGTTCTCAGGCACTGCCCGCATCATCATAAAGTTCGCAGCATGTTTCATTTCCATTTTTTTTTAAAAACTAAAAAAATCTTCATCTCAAGAACAACATGATTTTGCCGAATTTATTGCAAACAAAATTTGGTTACATTTGAGCTTGAACAAAAACAAAACAAAACACACTGCCCTCCATCACAATATTTTCAAAAGCCATTGTCTAAGAACCATTTCTTGTATTTTATTAAGCCTAATTATTCTTTTTTTAAGTGAAGTTTGCAATATATGTGTTAGCATGAGTAATAATAGGGAAGCAAATAACAAGGCTACAAGAACATGATGAATTTAAATGGTTATGCTATTTGAAGCAACAATTCAGATTCTAATACAGGGCATGTTCGGTATTGAAAGTTATGCATTTAACATGTTTGCTTGTGAGGCCCTCAATGAAACAAATCCCTAAAGCCTTTGTTATGAATCTCAGAATTTTGCCACAGGGATGTAGTGATATTGTTTTCAGAATAAGAACATCAAGTTAACCTCCAAGCTGGGGATTCCCCTTGATGGTCTGGAGCAGCCCGGCCTGACGCAGAAGCAGATAGAGAAGGAGATGCATGCCTCGCAGAAGGCCGACCGGGCCAGCACGTACAGGCCTCGGGGAGAGACGCCAGATGAAAAGAAGTCTCGGAAAATGGCCATCAAAGATGAGAGGAAGGTCAGTGTACATACATTGCTGGCTTGATAAAGGAGAATCCAGGTGTGCAGGGCTTAGATGTATACCAGCCTAGCTGCTTTAATCTTATATCTGTGCTGCTCCCTTTAAACATGAGCATCGATCTATGCGATTGAGATACGATGACATGAAACCAAGTCACCGAGCTTGGCCACCTGATCCCGTAAACCGCCTCTTACAACAAGCGTGGGTTGCTGCAGAATAATAATAACCACTTTGGTCTTCACTTTGGTGAAGGCCAAGAGCCCAAGAATCATAATCAGGGCAGATTAATGATTTGAGGCAAGGGGGCCATGACACATCTGAAGGAACCAGCTTTGTAAGGGAAATTTCAGCAGAATCGACCAACTGGCTATTTCAGCCTTAACCGGACAGCCTGTGTGGTGTGTGATTGGGTCTTATGCAGGCATCTTCATGTAACAAGTTCTTTTCAGGGGGGGGCACAGGTGGCCCAGTCGTCTTAGGCGCTGCGATTCGCTGTGCAGAGTTGCATCCCTTGGGCACGCCAGAAACCTATGATTGTGGGTTCGAATCCCAGTTTACCCCGATTATTGTTTCTCGGTTTGTCAGTTTGTGGGTTTCACTGAAATGGTAAATGTCTGAGACCTGCATCACATCGGGCTTTCCTCCCACATTAAGTTGACACGCCTTGATATGACTGGAATAATGTTAAAAGCGGCGTTAAAACTCACTCACTCACTCACTCACTCACTCACTCACACTCACTCACTCACTCACTCACTCACTCACTCACTCACTCACTCACTCACTCACTCAGGCTGCTGTGCTACGGCTGAACTTGTGACCACTGTGGCATTTAACAACGAACGAAATGCTAGAGGGTTGAATCTTTTTTCATCATGTTCATAGGGTGAGATTCTTTTATATAGGTTTTGAAGATGGACTTCAGCATGAATGTGCTGCTCTGTTAATATTATTGTATGTTTTGCTTCAGGAAAGACGAGAGGAGAAGAAAGCTAACAAGGTGGCCTTTGGTAAGGAGAAGATACGCCAGGATAAGGAACAGCACAACCTGAGACAGAACTTACAGGGTGTGAAGATGCTTTAGCCCTGGTTGGGTGATGGAGCTCTCTGACTACATAACATTCATGGGGTGAAGAGGCTTTAGCCCTGGTTGGAATGTAGCTCTTGACTCTCTGACTGTACATAACATATGGTGGGTGAAGAGGCTTTAGCCCTGGTTGGGACAGAGCTCTTGACTCTCTGACTGCACATAACATAAAATGGGTGCAGAGGCTTTAGCCCTGGTTGGAATGTAGCTCTCGACTCTCTGAGTCAGGGGGTGAAGATGCTATGACCCAGGTTGGAATAGAGCACTGGATTTACTGACTCTTGCTACAGACCCAAAAGGGGGTGAAGTTTCTTTAACCAAGGATGGAACAGAGCCCTTGACTCTCTGACCTGTACAGATCCTACACAATCGTCAGGGGGTGAAGATGCTATGACCCAGAGTGGAACAGAGTACTGGATTCACTGACTCTTGCTACAGAACCCACAGGAGGTGAAGATGCTTTAACCAAGGATGGAACAGTGCTCTTGACTCTCTGACTGTACATAACATTCATGGGGTGCAGATGCTTTAGCCCTGGTTGGAATGTAGCTCTTGACTCTCTGACCGTACAGATCCTACACAATCTTCAGGGGTTGAAGATGCTCTGACCCGGATGGAGCAGAGCTCTGGACTCACTGACACAACAAAACCCTGGTTCCCTGTTGTATAAGCAGCTGTCTAACTGTCTTGAAGGACAGATCGTTGCTAATCATTCAGCACTGCTAGTGTCTGTTGGATCTAAAATTTCTCTTGTGTTGAACAATATTTGACCATGTAAAGGATGTTCATCAAATTAGATATTTTGAAAGTTCAGACTACATATCAAATTACATTAATAATTTATTTGAAGATATCAATCAATGCTTCCCTCTGACAGTCCCGATCCTTTCTTTGTCACTACAGGGGCACAGGTGGCCCAGTTGTCTAAGGCGCCGCGATTCGCTGTGCAGAGTTGCGTCCTTTGGGCACGCCAGAAACCTATGATTGTGGGTTCGAATCCCGGTTTGCCCCAATTATGTTTCTAGGTTTGTCAGCACCATACCCGTGCTCTTGGGTTTCGCCGAAGTGGTAAACGTCTTAGACCTGCATCACTTCGGGCTTTCCTCCCACATTAAGCTGACACGACATGATATAACTTGAATAATGTTAAAAGCGGCGTTAAACCCAACTCACTCACTCACTGACTCAGGCTGTCCTGATAAGGCAGAAATAGCCAGTTGGTCGAATCTGCTGAAATTTGCCTTACAAAGCTGGTTCCTTCAGATGTGTCATGGCCCCCTTGGTTCAAATCATTAATCTGCCCTGATTATGATTCTTGGGCTCTTGGCCTTCACCAAAGTGGAGACCAAAGTGGTTATAATTGATCTGCAGCAACCCACGCTTGTTGTAAGATGCGGTTTACGGGATCAGGTGGCCAAGCTCGGTGACATGTCATCATATCCCAATCGCATAGATCGATGCTCATGATGTCAATGACTGGATTGTCTGGTCCACACTTCGATTATTTACCGACCGCTGAGTGCGGTGTTTAATAACAAACAAACAAACACAAAATTCACCAAAGTTGTATAAATGAAATACTGTTGAAAGGTGTGTTAATCCCAGTATTCACTGACAGTAGTGAACACCAAGAACACACAGTGCTATTCTACTTCAAGGGGGGCGGTCGGGTAGCCTAGTGGTTAAAGCGTTCGCTCGTCACGCCGAAGACCCGGGTTCGATTCCCGACATGGGTACAATGAGTGAAGCCCATTTCTGGTGTCCCCTGCCGTGATGTTGCTGGAATATTGCTAAAAGCGGCGTAAAACCATACTCACTCACTCACTCTACTTCAAGGCTTGTTTTCTTTTTCCAGACATTCTGTTTATTGTTGCATATCTGGAGTTTTAAAGACACGTGGCACAAGAGAGATGCACATCTCTGTTTCATTGTGTTTCTAAGTTTGCACTATTATTATTGGTTGATTGGCAAAATATTGGATTGTTTTATTGAGTATTTTATCATTTAACATTTTTAAAAATGTTTTTTTATTTGTCGAAGTGTCATTCTATCGAAATAATCGTTGGGTCAGAAAAACACTCCTGTGTCCTTGTTGTTTATGAGGAAAGTATTTACTGTTAATCTCTTTTTGTTTATTTCGTGTTTGAAACAGAATTACATGAAATAATTCTTTCTGATGTACATAAGTGTTTGCGGTTCTGTCTGAAGTGTATTCAGAGAGAATGTACATAATGTCACTGAGGCTGGAACGATTCTCCACATAGTAATACATCACACTGTTAAACTCTACAACATGATACACTTTGTTCAGCTTTGTAGGGGCGGTCAGGTAGCCTAGTGATTAAAGCGTTAGCTCATCACGCCACAGACCCGGGTTCGATTCCCGACATGGGTACAATGTGTGAAGCCAATTTCTGGTGTCCCTCGCTGTGATATTGCTGGAGTAGAGCTAAAAAGCGGCATAAAACCAAACTCACTCACTCAGCTTTGTAAAATGAAGTGAAGTGTGTGCTGCAATCTCATTGGTTTACAAGTATTTGATGCCCAGAAATATGTATCGAATACTCGATAACGCCTGAACATCTGAAAGCATGTAATGTATTTCTCCTACTATACCAGTTATAAACAAGTTAAGGAACACCCCCAGATGGAAGGCTATGTGTGGCGATACCCACTAGCCATGACAGTTTAACTATAGTTATATGAAATGAAATGGGGTGTTCTTTAATTTTTTTTGAGTGGTATACGTGATATATATGTTGTTTTCACATATTGCGTTTATTGTGTTCAATTTAAAAAGTCAGGGTTATTTTTCGGGTAACTTAATATATGTTTCTGAACAACTTGTATCCGGATGCAAATAATATGGTAATTTGTGACTTTGGTGAATCGTTCCGCCTGGTTATCACCATACACCTCAGAAGTGTGAATACTGTATGTATGACTTGGGTGATACGATGAAATAATGTAGCAGAAATATACTGGAAAAATATGCTCATAAACCAAGTGTTTTGTTTTGATGTTTTTGCTCAACAGTCATCACGTGGAGTTGCTATGGTGACGCATGATGCGTGTATACAATTCCATGTCAGACAGTCTATGTTTTGCTGAAACTTGTATGCTTATGATTGTAAACCCAAGTTATGTTGGGATAAAAATTGGGTCACATGACTTGAAGGCCACTGGACATACGGACATTGTCTTGCACCAAGAGCCAAGGTTCCGCTAGGATTTTGTTCGAGCTTTGTAGTTGGTTTTGCTGGCACATGAACCACACCAGGAGACCAGGAGAGTGATGTGACCCCGATTAGGGTAGTTTTTGAAGGTAAGAGGACAGTTCTGACAACATGAATTTTGGTTTGAGCAACAGTTCCGACATTTTACCTCTTTCCAAAGTAGATTGCCACATCCTGAGACATATTACCACTTTCTGAGGGACATTACCACTTTCTGGGGCATATCAATACTTTTCTACTCATATTACCCCTTTCTGAGGCATATCAATACTTTCGTACTCATATTACCCCTTTCTGAGGCATGTCAATACTTTCGTACTCATATTACCACTTTCTGAGGCATATCAATACTTTCGTACTCATATTACCCCTTTCTGAGGCATATCAATACTTTCGTACTCATATTACCACTTTCTGAGGCATATCAATACTTTCGTACTTATATTATCACTTTCTGAGGCAAATCAATACTTTCGTACTCATATTACCCCTTTCCTGAGGCATATCAATACTTTCGTACTCATATTACCCCTTTCTGAGGCATATCAATACTTTCGTACTCATATTACCCCTTTCTTAGGCATATCAATACTTTCGTACTCATATTACCCCTTTCTGAGGCATATCAATACTTTCGTACTCATATTACCCTTTTCTGAGGCATATCAATACTTTCGTACTCATATTACCCCTTTCTGAGGCATATCAATACTTTCGTACTCATATTACCCCTTTCTGAGGCATATCAATACTTTCGTACTCATATTACCCCTTTCTGAGGCATATCAATACTTTCGTACTCATATTACCACTTTCTGAGGCATATCAATACTTTCGTACTCATATTATCCCTTTCTGAGGCAAATCAATACTTTCGTACTCATATTACCCCTTTCCTGAGGCATATCAATACTTTCGTACTCATATTACCCCTTTCTGAGGCATATCAATACTTTCGTACTCATATTACCACTTTCTTAGGCATATCAATACTTTCGTACTCATATTACCCCTTTCTGAGGCATATCAATACTTTCGTACTCATATTACCCCTTTCTGAGGCATATCAATACTTTCGTACTCATATTACCCCTTTCCTGAGGCATATCAATACTTTCGTACTCATATTACCCCTTTCTGAGGCATATCAATACTTTCGTACTCATATTACCCCTTTCTGAGGCATATCAATACTTTCGTACTCATATTACCCCTTTCTGAGGCATATCAATACTTTCGTACTCATATTACCCCTTTCTGAGGCATATCAATACTTTCGTACTCATATTACCCCTTTCTGAGGCATATCAATACTTTCGTACTCATATTACCCCTTTTTGAGGCATATCAATTCTTTCGTGCTCATATTACCCCTTTCTGAGGCATATCAATACTTTCGTACTCATATTACCCCTTTCTGAGGCATATCAATACTTTCGTACTCATATTACCCCTTTCTGAGGCATATCAATACTTTCCTACTCATATTACCACTTTCTGAGGCATATCAATACTTTCGTGCTCATATTACCACTTTCTGAGGCATATTACTTTCCCAGGTACATTACCACAGTCTGAGACATATTACCACTGTCCAGTGCAAGTTACCGTTTCAACATTCCAAGCATATTGCCGGTATCTCATTATAGGCATATTACCACTTTCCCAGGGATATTACCACTTTCCCAGGCAAGGCAGGCTGGTGGCTTCAAAGACAAGACCACGGCGCATTAGCATTCCAAGCTGCCTAAAACCCAACTCTCACTCATTGTATCTATACTCACACACAAAAGAAACGCAAGTGGTTTTAAGCATATAGGTAACAAACACGGAACCATAAATTGATACGAGTTTTAGCATGTCGTGAAGCCTGATGGTGTTATCAATATTTTTGATTCATTTTGGAAGCCCCGAATAAAAACGCAACATAAAAAACGAATCGCCAAAACGCACCATTTCAATGAATATGTGGGTATCATGCAACCATTTCACGCGAAATCGAAAATGCACGAACTGTCACAAACTGTAGTGGGTATAAAACTGTGG